TTATGAAACCATCCCAGTCGATCCCGCCGCTCGTGATTGGCCGCGCGCCCAGCAACGCCCATGCCAAGGTTGCAAGATGCAGAAGATGGTGACTACGATACCTCCAGATGCTTCCCGCGCTGCGTCGACGAGCAGGAAAAAAGCTGGCGGCGGGCTGCGAGTACNCCGTGACCTTCCCGCCGTGACCTCCGCGGCGCCACCGCGTCCGCGTCGACGCGAGCGAGCGAGCGGCTCTGTGGATGTGGATCAAGCCGTTGTGGCAGAATTGCGAGCAGCTGCGCTCCCTGTTCAACATCATCTCCAGCGGCCGTGGACGTGCTGGCGAACTGCTCCACCATGTCGCTCACTCTGCGCTCCTCCGCAACTCTGAGCTGGCATGTGAACTCTGCGCGTGCAGCTGTCCTGGAAGCTACAGTATCCTCACCAGCTTCGCCGCCGTGGCAACGACGCGCGTTGAGCTGTACAGGTACTGTAGCACAAACCTTCCGCCACCTTACATAGCCAAACCACGCTCCACCAAGCCGCGAATACGCTGGGACGATATGCTGCATCGGGAAGCCTGCCGCAAGGGCTCTGGCTGTGGTTTATCGACACAGTACTTCGCGGCCCACTCTCTTATCGAACCGCTCGCGTGAACAGTGGTGGCGACCGCCAGGCGAATCCGCTGCAATGGACAGATTCAACGCTGGCCAAGGATGCTGAGGGAGACTTCTTGTTCGAGCTTAATAACGTGCAGGCATGTTCAATGCCTCTCCACGTTCCCGAAATTACCGAACGTCAGTTGCATCACCTGTACAGCACGTCAATTGCCTTTACTCGCTTCGGCGTCGCATCATCTCAATCGTCGAGCGCGCAGTCTGTACCAATGGATGGTTGTCTCAACATATCAAACGTGTTGAGCTGTGGGGACGGAGTTTGGCGTGTTGCAGCTCGCGCCGAGGTGAAGACGTGGAGCTCCACCAAAAACTTGAGATGTGATCGAGCATGCAGCCAAGACTACCTGACCTGTGGACCTGATTCCGGCTTGTGGACTATCGCTACTTCACTCCATTCTCAAGACATTTCCCCCTCAAACTGGCCATGATTGCAATCGTAAAAGCCAATTCCACATATCCTCCACTGGTCGCAACATCGCCAATGAAGTGTGGCCAAGCGAAGGTACTACTCAGTCTTGATTGTTGCACACATTGCGACTCCAGAGCTCATGTTAACCCACATCACATGTGCTCATATTGCCCTGTCGTCTCGTTGAAGTCTGCACAGGCAGTTGTCGAATCAAGGTAGCTAACGCCAGTCGCCGAACTTCTGGTACGTCGATCTAGACAGCGTCAGTTACGCTCACCAGACGCAGAACAGGTCGCACTCACAAGAAAACTGCCTCCCACATCTTGCGCAGCTTGTAAATATCATGCAAGCTGAATGTCGTTTCCTTCACGAAGCTGCTCTGATTGAAATTTTCAAGCTCGTGCAGGTGATTTGACTTCAAGTCCATGCGACGCCTGCGCGGGATAGCCTGGCGTTTGTACCCGATGGTGCTCTTAACATTCCTGTACTCACACTCGACCAGAACGTTGCCGGTGCTCAACAACATGTCTCGCATGGACCCCTCCATTACATATACGACGACGTTCTCGAGTCGAGCTTCTGTTTCGTCGCTCGTTCGTAACGTTTCCAGGAACTGAGACGTCTGAAAACAAGGTCGCAATTGCGCTTTCGAAATGTCATCGCCCAGCCGGTATCGGTCAGTGATGAGATAAAACCTCAGCTCGAAGGTCACCAACTTGTGAAACACCGGGAGTGCCTCCTTCCGAAAGAGCTTGCAAACCCTTGTGACAGGAGGTTGCGTGGGACAGAACAGTCTCTGCGGCAGCGAGCTGATGTGGAATTGATGGATCCGCTCGCGCAATTCGGGTGGGAGGTCTTCGAATCTGTCGGACTGTTGAACTTCATCTGCGCCCATGAGAACGGAAATCATCGCCTTGCGCGTTGAGATCACTGGCTGGGTAAGTCCACGATCTTGAATGAAGCGAAGTAGTTCTGCATCGGTAACGCGCTCGTCGTCATAGTGCAAGAGGCCGCGGTCGAGTCGTTGCTGCACTTCCACTAACTCGGACTTGCGCACATCGCCACTGAAGAGGAGACCTCTTGCCTGGAGATCGGCCAGTAGTGTGTGTTTGGAAGTGGTCTGGTGAGCGTTCAGTCGCCAGTACTGATCGTAATGAGGTGCGCTCGGCTGTGTCAATCTGGGAGGCATTGCGATGGAGAAAGAAGCGCGTCGGAAGAGTTGCGTTGTGTATAGGCGGACTTGACGATAAGATGTGGTCGCGAACAGAACTATGTTGGTTTGCAGTGAATGGCCGCGAAAGCAACGCGTTAAAGGAGTCGCGCAAGAACCGAGAAAGTGAGGTCAGACTTTGATTGGCCAGTACGGCGGTATTTCCCTAGTACCACACTTTGTGCAACAACTCGCTAGCGCGATCGAAGTCAGCCGTTCACTTCACTTCCGAGGTGCCCCTGCCTCACGCCTCACTCCAACAGCAATTTCATCGTTACCTCTTCACTTCCGCGTGCGATTGAGCTTCCCTGATCGATCAACTGTGGAGCTTGGTGATATTCAGGACATTTATGTCTTTCTGATTTCTTCCCAGCCACTGTCTAGCGAGCAGTCCATCGGTGGACGTGGACGTACATCACTAAAGAAGTGAGTGAGACGTGGAAAGAATGTGCACTGTGGATACGAGAGTTCCATGAGGTATGTTCATATTCTTTCGATGCAAAGTCACATACGATTTGTTTAGAACACTTGTGAGCCAACAGCGATAGACGGAGAGCATGTGGCAAGAAGTGCCGAAGCACGCTCGTTATTTACATATTGCAAAGATGATCTCTCACATCTTTCGAAGACAGCGATTAGCCTCCTCGATCACTTCTTCGCGAATTGTAGCCCTTTGCTCGGATCCCAAGTCTGCGCTGCTTTGCCCTGTGCTGCTCCAGATCCTCCCCCAAACACGATCGGCATGTTCTCGTTCCACGTCTGGTTCGCCGGAACGGCGTGCACCGGGCTCTGTACATTGGCCACAGGAGGCGGTTGCGCGGAGACACGCTGGGGTATTGGAGCCGGGATAGCGTCTTCAGGTGGATGAGGCTGGACACTGCCGCGTCGTGACGCAGCCTCGGCCGCTCTCTCCTGCAACAGGCTGGCTTGCGTGGTCTGCTGTAGCTGCAGACCGGCAAGAGCATCGGAGACATCAGACTCCAGGTTCGATGCCTCGCTACGTCGTTGCGCGAAGAAGGATCGGCATTCGTCTCTGAACTTCATGGTAATACCACTGAGGTCATTGTAGAATTTCCGTCCCACTTCAAGGTTCTTCATGATCTCCTTGTATGCAGTGTAAGCATTCTCCAGGTTTTGAAGAGCTTCTTCTCGTTCCTTGGAACTACTGTCGCCTCGCTTAGCGTTTTGGAAGGACTGGTTTGCATCTTTGACACGCTGAAGCAAGACATCTTGTTCACGCTCTTCCGTTTTCAGGGATGATTGGTCGACGTCGTACATCTTGAGTCGCTCGTCGAACAGGCTCTCGAATTGTGAGGCCTGAATCGGCATCATCGGAAATTCGCGCTCTAGTTTATTAGACTCCGCGCGAAGCTCAGGCTGAACATCGTCTTCCTTGACTTTCACTCGCAAAGCCTCAACCTTCTTCCTTCGCCTTGACTCCAGCCGGGAGACCTCATTCAGTGTTGCTCGAAGTGCGTTTGCTTCTCGTTCGACCTTTGCTGTCATTGTGGCTCGACGCGAGGAGGGAACATAGTCCTCGAGATCACGATTGCTGCCGCCAAGGAGTCGTATCAGACTTTCATTTTCGCGAAGCCTGTTGAGCACAGTCCGATCTGTGGTATCGGCAGCTTTCAGCCAGCCATCAATAGCACTGATCTGATCGTAGAGCTTCTTCCCAGCTTCGCTTCCTGCCGGACGAGCCCATCGATCTGTTCCGTATTTCCTCCTCGCAGCTTCGTCTTCGCTTGCTTCGGTGCGTAAGAGGTCGATGCCTTCTTGATATAATGCCCGGTTGTTGGATTTCAGCTTTTCTGTGTCTGCGATGGTACTGTGCAAACGATGCACACCTCCAAATTGTCGCACTTCGTCAGCATGGCTCGCTAACGCCGGTGGTAGCCCAAGGGGTTTCTCAAGTGCTTGTAGCGATCCTGGAAGGTTCAAGCTCGAAAGCAACTCGTGGATCCTCAAAGTCAAAGCGTCCAGCTCCGCGATGATCGTATTGTTCACCAATCGATCTCGCCGGTCCGAGTATATTGAGGCAGCAACGTGTACAGCATAGGGTACCAACTTCGAGAAAAGCGGCTTGCCAAGCTCACTCTTCTCGCCCAGCATCTCCTGCGAATTCGACACTTCCTTCGGCACGCGTGATTGCACCATGCTCGCGCGATCCAGCGGCCTTAGCTCGCTCTTTGGTGGCTCGGGGATCAGATAGATGGTGTCGTTATCCTTTTCGGCTCGCTTGAAGTCTTCTGACACCCTGTTCTTCAAGCCGTTCAGGTCTGCAAGTACCAGCTTGCTCACCCACTTGGATTCGTTCATAGCAATGTTGACGCAGTTCAGGCTGTCGCGTAGCCGTGCCACCTCTTCTCCATATTTTCTCTTCTCCAAACAGTCGCAAGCTGCACGATACTGTGCGGCAGCAGCAAAATGGTGATGCTTCGCATTCATATGATGTATCCACTCGCTGCGTATGTTGTTGGTCTTCAAGCTCCACTCGTTCGCATCGCTGTATAGATCGCTGACTTTTGCTGCCAGTTTGGCGATGATCGCATCTTTCATGCCATCTTTGACTGCCTTTTGCCAAAAGCATTCCTGAGCCTGGGCCAACATTAAAGCCTCAAGTGCCTCAAGCGTAACGGTGTCCATGTCCTCCGGAGGCGCAGTCTTCATGTCTGGTATCACGTTCTCTTTGAGATGGTGGAAGACGCCAGCAGCAAAACAAAAGCTATTCGCCGCACTTTTCAGCCCGTCCTGTGTGGCACGATTCGAGGCAAGTCCTATTTGCGAGTACATGGCAGCGAGGTTGAACAGAACGTTGGCAAGTTCGAAGCGGATATTGTTCTCGGTATGAGATCGATTCGTGTCGTAGCCTAGGGAAGGATACCAGGTGAAATTCGCACCCATCTACTTACCTATCAGCCTATGCTCGTACTGTAAATGAGCTTTCTCCTCAGCATACATCGACTGGGAACTTGCCGCCCAGCCATACGAGCTGAGCAGCGTACGCTTGCAGCTTCTTGATGCCGCTACTGTGCGGCTCGAGTGCGTTGACGGCATCTTTGCGCAGCTGGTCGACGATCTCCAGGTCGCGTGTGAATAAGTCAGGATGTTGGTCAAACTTGTTACCAATCTGGACCTTGATTGCATCTGACAGCTGTGTAGCATGTGTCCGTCGAAACGGGACCTGGAGTATGTTGCTGGTCGACATGGCGATGCGGGCGTGAGTGCTATCGTTCTCGCATGATCGGTAGTGGCCGTTTGCAGACTTTCTGTTTACCTCGTCTCGAAAGTGAAGTCATCGCTGCGCCGCGCATACAGCCCCGCCAAGCGCGTTCGGCACGTGCGCACGTGCCGGTGGATGGATCCGTTCGGCCCTCTCCGTCCGAGTAGAACAACATCGACTGCTTGACCGGCAAGAGCTTGAGCCCTCCTTCTTGGTCTTCCCTCAACAGGACTCCGCACGTCGTCCAGCCGAGGAGAGCTCGAATGTTCTCCTGCACGTCATACTTGATGTGCATTGTCCAACCGTGGCCGCTTTCCCACAGACACGAACAATTGGAGACCCGCCGCCTCCCTCGAAAGCTGTATCAAAGAGCCAATAAGTAAGTCGCCGAGGATAACACTGGTACGATGTGCTTGTGCTACGTCTGCGAAATGCACTCCGCTCGCTGTCTGCGTCCACTCGGGCGATGGAGCATACGTGCATTGTACACATTTGGCAATGCTGCATAAGGGTGGTGGGGCCATCGACAATGGTATCGGAGAAGCCGAGCTGGAGTCCAACACTGTCCACTGGTCTCACCAAGAAGCCGTGCTAGCATACAGGCATTGCTTGCGGCCAACTCTTGTCCCAAAGCAACCCTCACTTTCCACATGCAGAGCCGTGCTTCCTCGTTGCGTGGCGCGCAAGCATCACGCTTCTGTTACAACCCCGCGAGAAGCCTGCAGCAGTGCAATTCCTTCGGACTACTTACGTCTGTGGCCAGCAAAACTCGACCACTGAAACTGAAGGTCTTTGGCGAGTTTCTTTCACAGACTATGCTCGAGCATCAGTCCGCCAGGTTCGCGTGCTTGACAACGCTGGGAAAGCGGCTCGCGCATCGAAATTCAATGTCTAATTGCACACATGACGCATTCGGCAACGAGTCATGCCAAACTCATACCTCAGGTCGCGTCGCTGTCGTGTCTTGTACATCAGTCATTCGTCAAGCTGCGGCTCTTCTTCTTAGCTTTCCGAATTGTTCATTGCCTCGTAGCCGGGCACTCGGGCCTTGCTGCTCAGGCCTTCGTCAAAACCAGGATCGGGAGCTACAACGTTGCTTAGCGTTACTCCACCTAGCTCCTATCTAGCTAGTACACGCCTTCACACAGAACGGGCTGGGAGGCACGTTGATGTTTCCATCTTGGGCAACAACATGGAAACGCGTGCGACCGCACAAACTATCTCCAGCGGAGACGAAAACCGATGTGAGACGCCAATGGAACCACACACCAAGCGTCAACGAATATCTTGATGAACACCGCCTCCACACGAGATGCCGGGGTTAGTATTTCAGGAAGTGCCGAGCAACGCATGCTTCAGCACAATGTTCTGCCGTGACTTCGTATGCATGAGGGGCCTCGGCGGGGAGGATGGCTGTATTGCATGAACATTATGGCTCCATCTCGCTACGTCTCTGCGACGGCATGTGCATGCTTCAGATCAATACGTTGACTAATACAATATTTCAGATGACGAGAGGTCGATGTTGCGTTCAAAGGGGCCACAGGCAATTCAATAATCCCGCACCACCGTTTGCATGCCTTGGAGTCGATTAAACATCGAGATCCAAGTCCTAACCTGGTCTCGTCGCTTTGGTTTCTGGGATTTTCGATCCCAGAGATCTAATCCCGAGGCTGTTCAGCAAGTGCTGAAGATCAAGCAGTATCGTCATCAGATCCTGCGAGACTTAGGTGCATGTGGAGCCTGCGGACGCCGTTATCATTGTTGGATGGCTAATGCACACCGAGTGTAACGAATGCAGCCAGGTCCGAATCGCAGATTCCAAGCCAATGCACGATTATCGTGGCCATACGGCAGGTCTGAAGCTATCATTCTGACGTGGACGATTGAATGACTGTCACTGCGAAGCGGCGAGATGCTTAGCGAAACTAGCCTCGACACAGGAGATATATAAAACATGCCCCCTTCCATCGCTTTCGTCTTGCTCCATCAAGTTCTTCAGTAAGAATACTCAAAAAGACCTCAAAGCCTAATTTTATTTCCAGTACGCCACAGCAAAGATGTCTGACTGGATCGGCGCCAACACATACCGCATCGAAAGCTACATCGACAGGCGAGCCGCAGTCGCCTTGTCAGGAGGAGATAAAGCTGATGGCACCAAAGTGGTTATGTGGTAAGTTCTTTGCCCTGCATGTGAAGGCTCTATACGCTGTATAACTCACTGGACGCCCTCAGGAACAATGACCCAAGATGGAACGACCGCTTTGAGTTCGTTTACGCTGGTGTCGGTCAATCTGGAAAGGACGAATACCATATTATCAACCGCAACAGTGGTACCTATATGACCTATGGCGGTACTTGAAACGTGACTCGAATTGGGGTAAAAGACTACTAATACCCGCTCAGAGGGCGCTCCGAACGATGCGGTCTACGGAAACATCCTGCCGCCGAGATCGCCACGCACGAGGTGGTGCATCGTCCCAACTCGCAACAATACCGGCACTTACTGGTGAGATCACGCCCATAAATGTTTCACTAACGCATGGTCAGAAATGTGAGCTGATGCAAGATAGGATCGTTGCAGCTGCCAACACCAAAATGATGCTGGTGCCAAGCTACTATAAGATCGCGGATGGCAGTCAGGTCGACATTTGGAAGGGCGGACTAGACGACAAGAATTGCTGGTGGTACTTGAAGCTTAGCGAGGATGCCATTCTCCAGTGTCCAGACCTGCGCTCAGGTGGCCCAAAGCTGTAGTCTTAAGGCTCGCCGCAAGACATCACAATAGTGCAGGAACTGGGGCAATTCGTGCGCGATCGACCAAGAATTTGAGACTGAAGAACACTACATTCGTTTGCAGGCGATATCGTGATTCAAAGTAACCGGTGGTACATGAACAAATTGAAAATGCTGTTGTTTCGATGTTTCGATCTATTCAGTCAATTGTCCGCGCATGTGACAGCGCTCGGACCAAGCATCGGGCCGTTTCATTCCGGCCCACATCAGGTTTAGGCTGTGTTTTGCGCTTCCCCCTCGCAACGCCACCTCTGCCGGCAGTTCAAGGGTCAGCCAAATTTAAGCCGTACCGATGAGCACGTTTCCAACCAAAGCAGTAATAGCCAACTAATACGGGACTTGCGCGTGTATCAGATAGGCAAGAGGACAAGTTGTGGTAGTGTCGGTCAGCACGCCATCAGTTCCTTCAATTGAAGCATTAAACCAGCGACTCGCACTTGCTCCGACCACTTCTCGCTTTGTCTCATCCGGCATTACCAATCCGCTCCAGCCCACATCTCACGCGTAACTCTCTTACTCCACACCTCAAACGTCCATTGAACAACACGCAATCTCTATACACCATGGCTGAGCACAAGTACAAGTTCAACGTCTCCATGTCCTGCGGTGGCTGCTCCGGTGCCGTGGAGAGAGTCCTCAAGAAGCTCGACGGTACGTGCTCTCCCGCTTCGCTTTCCCGACACAGCACTAACGTGGCATACTCGTAGGCGTCAAGGAGTACAACGTCTCTCTCGAAACGCAAACTGCCGAGATTACCGCAGACGAATCCCTCAGCTATGCCCAAGTCCTTGAGAAGATCAGCAAGACTGGCAAGAAAGTCAACTCAGGCGAAGCCGATGGCGTGCCTCAGTCTGTGGAGTTGACAGCATAGAAAGCACAACTGAAGGCCGAGAAGAAACTGAAGAGGAAGCAACGACACGAGGTGATCTTGGGCAAAGTCGAGAAGGCCACGCGATGGATCCCGACTGTTGGCGGCGTGGGTGGAGGAGCGGGCGGTGCTTGATCGAGACACGTGAAGGGCAATGGGGAGAAGACTAAGCGATAACCTGCGGGAAATTACCTAGATCACTGGCTACGAACGATATGACTCAATCTTTCAGTACACTCTGCGAAGGACCTCAATCAACGGTGAGTTTGAGAGGGAGCGCACTCGCTCGTGCTGACAATGTCACGACTTTCCAGCAACTGGAGACCAGCAGAATGAGATGAAAGGCATAGGCCACGAAGACAAGTCTGCACGAGTCAGCAGTACTATCTGGCTCCAGAGGATAGACATTGTTTCGAAAGGGAGGTACATCGATCGACGTGTGAGCGAGCATTGCGAGCTGCCGCTCTGAGTATCCAGTGCGGTCGATGTATGAACTTCGAGCGCTCAACTTCGCTGTCGCCTTGCGAGCCGTTGAAGTCCGTGGCTGCACCTGCCTTCGACAATCAGGCGCGCGCGATCCCTGCCGCGCTTCGCACTAGCCAAACATTTCTGCTCCAAAGTTCTTGACCACGACATTGTTCCCCTCTACTCGTCACCTGCGCGGTGAGCCCAGCACCAGCGCGCCGAGATGGCTTGTTCCAGCACTGAACCGCCAGATACTGACATCCACGGACTCGCCACGCAACCTCCAATGGACCAGCACCTGCGCGGCAAAGAGCTGTTCAAGCACCATGTTGGCAACACCTTGCAGCACAGGCTCAGTAGTAACCCGCCATCTGAGACCATCGATAGTCTTACCGAGATATTCTGGGCCGCGCAGACCGCCGATGCTAAGAAGTGGTGGTCGCTCGCAGTCGACCAGACCAACATGCAACAATGTGCGGTGGCGGCCGTTCTTGTGTTCATGAGGACCTATCGAACTTCCATTATGGGCTATATCAGTAGCTTGGACGAGCCCGCGACAGCTGATTCTGGCGACACATCAGTTGAATCAGTAGCTACTGGTGCTGAGGTAGACAAGATGAATGTTCAGGACGATGAGAGAAACGGAAATGGGGCTCGGGATCCGATGCTGATTGTTGATGGCATCCAGAAGCCCGACGGCGAACTCATCGTGCTGGACCGCGGCAACGAAGAAACCGACGCTGAGGTCTCTCAGGCAGACAACAGCGACAGTGGTCACGCTGCCGACCTCGTAACTGTCAAGCTTGGGTCAAGCGACGCCAACGACTCCCATCTCCTGAAGAATGCAACGAATGACTGCACTTCCAAGCCTCCACTTCCAGCAGGTCGCCCAAGCAAAGCTGAACTGTGGTTTGTCGAACTTCTAGTACCAGCGATCTGCGAGGACCGCGGCGCGTCAACCCCGCTAGGTCACAAGGCGGCACAAGTAGCAGCAAGAGAGGTGTGGCAGGCGCAATCAGCAGGGCAGAAACGCAAATTTGAAGCCGGGGTTCTCGAGATTATCTGCCGCGCAAGAAACCCTCAGCAATCAGAGAAATCGAAGAACCACATGGCGCAGTGTATTGAGTCTTACCGGAAACGAGCCATCAGAGCGTACACATCAATGGAGCATGGTGAAGCAGTCAGCGCCCCCTTCGTCAGGGCTTTTCTGGACAAGAACGCACCTGTTCCCGATTATGTGAACGAGGCTCTTGTGAACTCGGTCATCACTGGCATGAAGAAGAGGAAAGCTTCTTATCCACAATTCAAATTCACGGGCTGGGACGCTGATGGCTCGTGGCTGGATTTCGATCCTGGTGCGTAGACATAGTGCCCAACAAGCCAATTCATCAGTGACTGTTCAGCTAACGACCAGCAGATTCGCAGGGACCTCACAGCTTCGGCAAAAAATGCAAACGCATGGCTAGCGCCAAAAACTTCGTCGAGAAGCTAGACCAGATGCTATGTTCTCTCATCAGGCTGAACCGCCAGGCTTTCCTAGACATTCCAGCGGACGTGTTGACTATGAAGCCGCTGCGCTCGAGGCCACCAAAACGCAAACGCAATTGAAAACGCTGCAACAAAGCACCACGGAAAACAGCTGTGTTGCCATTCAGCACAGCCAAGATTGCATGCTGGCAGCGGAGTACTCGTTGAGTGGGGAAAGTGAAAAAGTTGGGAAGGAAGGCGACGCGGATGGACGATGGCGCTCCAAGTCCAAGGATGGATTGCGAGATACCCGAGGCCTCGTAAAAGAATCAAGATAAATACAGAATACCATCGATCTTCACAGTGTGATGTCTCGCGGTGCCATTGACGGCCCATATGACACATGTGCTACCACTGTGAGAGTGAGCACGAAGTACGAGACGTGAGGCAGATGGCAGTGCGGCTCCTCCCGCGCCAAGCCTGAGCACTCGCACCTTTCGCTCGAAATCCTCTGCCGCCAACGACTTGACTTGAGCCAGCGCCCATCGACATCTGCCACTCGACACAACAACACCGGTAAGTCGACACAATCCCGCACCTTGGACGAGCACCAGCACCAGCGAACTATTCGACGTCGCATTGCGCACCCGACCGCCCCGAACACCGCACGCATCCGCCACAAAATCTCGAACAATCTTCTTGGCCAACAACAACTAACAGATATTCGCAGCCATCATGGGTAAGGGAAAGCCAAGAGGTCTTTTGGCCGCGCGCAAGCTCCGCAACCACCGCCGTGAGCAGCAGTGGGCAGATCTCCACTACAAGAAGAGACTGTTGGGTACCGCATACAAGTCCTCGCCATTCGGAGTACGTACAACCCCACGAATAGATGCGGAAAACAGAGATGCAGAGGAGGTGGACAAGTCAGATGGAGAATGGTTGGGCGTAGTTTGAAGTACGGACAGACACTGACAAGAATTGAAGGGTTCTTCCCACGCCAAGGGCATTGTCCTCGAAAAGGTCGGTGTTGAGGCCAAGCAGCCAAACTCCGCCATCCGAAAGTGCGTGCGTGTGCAGCTCATCAAGAACGGCAAGAAGGTCACCGCTTTCGGTACGATATATCACAATCCTGGAATGTTGATACACTGCTAACAAGCGCAGTGCCAAATGACGGTTGCTTGAACTTCGTCGACGAGAACGACGAGGTCCTGCTCGCTGGTTTCGGTCGTAAGGGCAAGGCCAAGGGTGATATTCCTGGTGTGCGTTTCAAGGTCGTCAAGGTGTCTGGTGTCGGTCTCAGCGCCCTGTGGAAGGAGAAGAAGGAGAAGCCACGTTCATAGACGACTGAAATGCATGGGCACGGCTTGCGGGTATCATCGGGCGTTTTGAAGAGCGGCATCATCATGAAAGACAAAGGTGTACTTTCTAGCTTGGCCTTTTGCTGGACTTCTGCTTCACGCACCGCAGAGGCTGACGGCGACACCTAGAGCTACGCGATACGGAATGAGAAAACTGAACTTCATTGCCGGGCGTCAGTCAAAGATCGTTCTTCGATACAAACAGTACCACATGATACCCAGTACTCTTGCGTCCGAGAAATGTCCAAGTAAATGTCGAGATTCTCATCCGATGCATGGAGACGTCGCGATAAGTCCCGAGTATGATCACCGCTCTCGGCGCCAATCAGCAACATGCCAATATGGTACAGCATTGAAGGGCGCTGATCAACATGAAGTCACTAGCAAAAGTCGGCCATTTCAAGCATGTTCGAGCCGTGGCATTGAAATTGTGCTTGATACAGTCTCTACATGAGGCGGCAAATGCGGCAAAATAGCCATGCTTGCATGGGCAAGTTCCTGCAGTGAGGATGACATCGACAACCTCGGCCTGCGGCTCAGCCAAAATCCCCAGCTTTGTCCCCGCCACGCCCGTGTTCATCAGCTTAGCACGACGAGTATCTTTCGAGTCGAGTGCAAAATCTATTTAGCAAAGTTCCTGTCATCTCATTTCTTGCGATATAATCTTCCAGAGACATTCACAGACATCCACAAGCACCGCAAACGCAATCATGGCCGCCAAAGCAGCAAAGAACAAGCCTCCGGTATGTTGTGTTTTCTTGCATCTATACTCATTGCTGGAATGTGCTGACATGATCTCTCTAGGTCTACGTCTTGGGCGTGGGCATGACCAAGTTCATCAAGCCCAGAGGAAAGGTCGACTATACTGGTAAGGACTGTTGTTCCCCAGGCATAGAAAGAGCTATCCACTAATGTCTATTGTCAAACAGAGCTGGGTTACGAGGCAGGCATCAAAGCTCTTGTAGACGCACAAACGAACTACGATGACATCGACGCTGGCGTTGCATGCTACTGCTATGGCGACTCCACCTGCGGACAGCGAGTCTTCTACCAATTCGGCATGACACAAATCCCCATCTACAACGTCAACAACAACTGCTCTACTGGCTCCACGGGTCTGCACCTCGGCCGCACCATGATTGCAGGCGGCATGGCCGATGCAGTCCTTGTCGTGGGCTTCGAGAAGATGAACCCAGGCTCTCTCCAATCCTACTTCCGTGATCGTGCCAACCCAACCGGCACCACAGGCCTCATGATGCAAGCAACTCGCGGACGTACCAACGCCCCCGAAGCCGCCCAATTCTTCGGCAACGCTGGCCGCGAGTACATGGAGAAGTACGGCGCAAAGACCGAGGACTTTGCTGAGATCGGCCGCATCAACCACGAACACTCAAAACGCAACCCATACTCCCAGTTCATGGACGAATACTCCCTCGACCAAGTCATGAAATCCACCATGATCCACGAACCTCTCACGAAACTCCAATGCTGCCCAACCAGCGACGGTGGCGCCGCCGCAGTCCTCGTTTCCGAGAAATACCTCAACGAGCGCCCCCACCTCCGCGACCAAGCAATCCTCATCGCCGGCCAAACCCTCGCAACCGACGCTCCAAGCCTCTTCTCCCGCTCCTCCATCGACCTCATGGGCTTCGACATGACCGCCTACGCCGCCAAAACCGCCATGGAAGAAGCCGGCGTCAAGCCATCCGACGTCAAAGTCTGCGAACTCCACGACTGCTTCTCCGCAAACGAAATGATCACAATCGACGCAATGAAATTATGTCCAACAGGTAAAGCCCACGAAATGGTCCGCAACGGAGATATCACCTACGGCGGAAAAATGGTCATCAACCCCTCCGGAGGTCTCATCTCCAAGGGTCACCCTCTAGGCGCAACAGGTATTGCTCAATGTGCCGAACTGGTCTGGCACTTGCGAGGTTGGGCCAACAACCGTCTTGTTCCAGACACCACTGTTGCGTTGCAACACAACCTTGGGTTGGGAGGTGCTGTGGTCGTGACAGTTTACAAGAGAGCAGATGGCGCTGCACCAAAGAAGGTCAGCGATGAGGAGGTTGCACAGAAGACGAAGATTGGATATAACCCTGCCACGCAAGCGAGAGGTTTCACCAAGAAGCAGGCGGATGAGGTCAGGAGTAAGAAGATGAGGAGTGATTGGGCTCTGCAAGACATTGAGAAGAAGGTTGAGTCGAGGTTTTAGATTGAGGGTTCCTTGATATGTGTGAGGGAAGGTTTTCAGCTATATGATGTATGATCACAGAAATGAGAAAAAAGCTTCTTGATTGAACAGTATGAAGTGTCCCTTGGGTGCTCAGTTCCACCGTTTCCTGTACAGACATGGCCTCCGCGAATTGCATTCCTCCGTTGGATCAGATGTCATGTACACGGACAGTATCACGAACTGTCAGATCAAGAAACTCTCTAGTTATTTCAATGATAGGGAATGAGACACGTTGGTGGCGAAATGAACATCATACATTCGCTCGCAAAGCTCTATGGCTTTGCGGACTATTCATAGTATGCCATCATGCATTCCTCCTTCAGCAGTACCATGCTTATTCGTAAGCTTTTCGTCAGAACGATCATCATCCTAGTAATACACTGCTCGCGCCCTCCGGCCACTCGGCTCTAGCACTCTCAGTGGCAACCCTTGCAGCGCATCTCATCGAAGCCAGCGTTACAGCTGCCTGAGTCGTGTCTTGATTATCGCGGAGCTGTTGAATTTCGGCGTCTCGCGTGGCGACTTCTCTCCAGGCTTGCTGAGCTCGCTCCTCAGCCCTCTCGGTATCTTGCACGCATTCGTACAAGGCCCACGCAAGGCTCATGCGCGTGCGTCGCATTCCTGCGAATTGCTCGAGAAGCTCGGAAGCTCGATCCACAACGGCCTCAGCATAATTCGTAAGTGTCTGTCGCGCCGCGGTCTCATGGGAGAGCTCCGATCTCGCGACAAGACTTTCCAGCCGGGCTTCGATAGCTTGCCTCCTGCATAGCACAGCTTGCTCACTTGCATCGAGAAGACTCCACTATAGCCTCGCACTTCCGCGCTCTGCTGTTGATCTGCCGACACGGCCAGCGCGCACCCTGCTCTCGGGAACACTGTTGTCGCCAACCCTGCCGTTCGAGCGACGAGGCGCGCGTGGTCTGGAGCGTGACAGATTGAGGCCCATGCTCATCCACCACTCTTCCGGCACATCGTCTCGTGCAGCGAGTCGTTCCACAATCCTGCGCATCGAATCCAGGTCTTGAACATCGCCAGTCAGAAGTGCTTCAGAGACCTCTCGCTCTGAACGAGCAGCTGGCGGCGAAACAGGGTGAGCCTCAGGTTCGTCCTGCGAAACCTGTGCCGACTGCGTAGAATCAGCCTGCTGGATGGTATAAAGAGCGCGCATTTCAGCGGCAGCGTCATCTGAGTCGTAACCGTCCGAGAGAGGACCATCCACTGGCCGTGCTTGGTATTGGGGTGGAGGCGAGCGGTTGCGTTGGTTGCTTTGCACCGATGCAAGTGTATCTGCTGTGAAGCGACGAAAGTAGTCATTGACTTGGCTCCTCGTCTCGTTGACAGTGTCGCGAACGACCTGACTGTAATGCCGCCGAACAGCGGGTTCAGTGTCATCTTGATCTTGACCGTCACGACTTTCACGCAGCTGTCGCTCACGCACCCGCCTCGTGGTCTCAAGCATGTCACGAAAGTGCCTGCGGTCTTCCTCAGAGTGGTGTCGCGTGGCCAGCACACGTGTCCTGCCTTCCTCCGACTCCAGAGCCTCCTCGATCAGCCGGAAGCCAATATCAACACGAGCTGGTTCTGTAGCCAAAGCAAAGCGATTGCCATCCCGGTCGCGTATGCGCTGATGACGAGCTATGCGTTGACGGCCTTCTGGAGTGCGCATCTCGTGAAAATAAATATCCTCGGCAAATGCTTCTGTGGTGATCGCTTCTGCTTCCGTGGAAACCATCTCATCCTCTTCGATGTCTTCACAGCCCTCGCCAGAATTCTCCTGATTCTCGTCTCCACTCTCCGGATCGGTGATTTGTGTGCTGCTGCTCGAGGTGTTGAAGGATCTGCTGGCAGCAGCACTGGCGAAGCTGCTCTCCGCACTCGGTAAGGACTCGTCTGGGGTGATGGTTGTCCGTATGATCTCCCAGCCATCGCCAGGTGTTGGGCTGCGAATCCGATCTCCAAGTCCATCGACCGGCGAGTCGGGTCGCCAAGCATGGCTGAGAGGGTGCGCACGGCGGAGCGAGGGTCGGTTGACGGTGATGGTGTCTGACTCTGGCACGAACAAGCTGTCGTCTCCCGACGCTTCCAGAGGTGGCGTAGGAAGATTACTTCGACGTGCCTCTTCTGTGTCGTTCCGATGTATTGGCTCCGGGGAGCGCAAGATGCGCAATGGTTCATTTGGGTCCAACACTATGGTGTGGATGGGCTGAGAAAAGCCGTCTTGGTCTGCGGTAGGACTCGATGAGATTCGCTCCTCGCCAGATTCAGTGCTTTCAGAGGCATGTACTGTGAGTAGTTCTCTGTTTCCGCGCAGACGTCCCGTCAGCATGGTCTGTCGCATGCGCAGCTGGCGTCGCCGTTGGCGTTCGCGCTCGGCGCCAATCTCCATGTACTCATTGTATCGACGACGCGCGGTATTCGGGTTGGCATCTCCTCCCCAGTAGTTGCGCGACTCGGGCACCGGGGGCGGAGGCGGCTCAGATCTTGCTTGACTGGAGTTCTGCTCAGCAGCTTCGAGGAGGCTCGAGATAGGCGGCACACGTCGGTCGTCACGGCGTCGCGGATCGTGCAGTCCATTGAAGCCGACAGACGGTGGAGGCGATCGCTCGAATCGTGGCGGAAGTCCTGAAGGCTCGCGGCGCAGGCTGGCGCGATTCGCCCTGCGGCCATGGACCGAAGGCCGCCTGCGAATGGTTGAGCGCGCAAGAGTCGGCGGCCAGAAGTCGGTCTGTTTGGGTCTATTGCTGGCGCATTTCTCGTCGGGATCGCGCCAGATGCTACACGTTGGGTGGTGACATTAGCCTCAGGTTCGCGTTGTGGCGTGGCTCATGCGCGGCAAAACTGGGTCGCGACCAGCACGCGCCCAGCGCGAGCGCATGAGCGCAAGAGGTGGAGTTTGTGTTTGGAAGGGACTTACGGAAGACCCATGGCGGGGCGAAGGGCGCGGGTGAGGGGGTGGAGCGGTGCGAGCGGTGCACGCGATCAGACTGCGCTCGTGAAAATAATGCAGCGGGGTGGAGGGGAGAGGTGGTGATGGGGTGCGTGGTGTTTGTGAGCGAGGCGAGACTTGCGAGCTGCGGCTGGGGGATGCGAAAGATGTGGAGAATGGAGATCTTGGCTGTGCAAGCTGCTCCTGCCTGCTGCGCGACATGCTGCAGTAGTTAGTAGGCTGCCGCACCGCACATCACCTTGCAGCTTCCCGACTCTGCCGGCTCCTCCTTTTGCATTGTCACTTACAAAACACAGCGCTATGCTCATCGTAATGCTTCCCACGGCAACATTGGTCAAGATGTACGCTGAGTCTCCGGTAGGTTGTGCTGTGAATGCGCCCAGGAGAAGTGAGCTTTTGCCACCATGATCGAGCTGGGCCTGGAGCGCATTTCCAAGCTGCTGTCGACAACCGCATTGTCATGGCGAGCAGTACATGTCGCTGGGACCAATGGCAAAGGCACTGTCTGCCATCTCACCTCCGCTCTGTTGAATGCTTACAACCACTCGTTGTACCGCGAGAGCCGATCGCAGCCACCCATCAAGCATGCGAGATTCACGAGCCCACACTTGGTGGACCGCTGGGATGGCATCGCCTTCAGTGATGCGAAACGACCAGTCATGAATGTCGTATCGAGAGACATGTTTCTGGAGCGTGAAAATGCTGTGAAGGCATTCAACAACGAGCACAACATCAATGCTACCGAGTTCGAATTGCTTACCGCCACCGCATTTCAACTTTTCCAACAAGAAGCAGTCGATGTAGCAGTTGTCGAAGTTGGCTTGGGCGGCCGTCTCGACTCCACAAACGTGATAGGAGAGCCTGTGTCTGGCTCCACGGAAACAAAACTCATTCGCAGACGTTTCAACCCTGCCAAATGGCGCCCAAAACCTCTCATCACTACCATCACACAAATTGGACTAGATCATCAGGCCATGCTTGGCAACACGCGGCAAGAAATCGCAACGCAGAAGGCCGGAATTATGAAGGGTCGTGTGCCTGTTACCTGGGCCGCAGACCAGGAGCTTGATTCTCTATTTCACGCCCGAGCCAAGGCGCTCAATGCTCCTGTTGTCACGTACAAAGATCTGCCTGTCGAGACTGTACACTTGGACACTCCAGCTGCGAGAAGGGTCAACGGTGAGCTCGCCATCGCCTCATCATGGACTGTGTTGTCGGGACTGGGTAGACTGGATGAGCCAGAGGAAGCAAGGCGGTCAGGGACCCCACTCCACTCCTTGATCTGTGACTGGCACGAAATTGTTCGAAGTTACGTGTTTCCTGGTCGACAGGAGACTGTTTCTCTTGAGCCTATCATCGGACGACCGAGAGAGGCTCTCCTCGACGGCGCTCACAATGAAGATGGAGTGGCTTCATTGGCACAAAAAGTCGCTTCGCAGCTTCGATCACAAGGTCGTCCCATCGTATGGGTGGTTGCGCTCTCCGAATCCTCGGATCGACAACCTGAAAAGATGTTGAAGCCTCTGTTGCAACAAGGCGATCGCGTGGTAGCGGTTGAGTTTGGTCCTGTCGACGGTATGCCTTGGGTCACGCCCAAGCAAGGAGAAGCAATTGCGAAAGCTGCGCAGAGCATTATTTCAGACATCAATGCGAAGAGTTTCGGCACTGATGTGAATGCTGCGTTGAACACGGCATGCCAATTCGCAGACCAAATCGAAGGGCATGTGGCGATATGTGGTAGTTTGTATCTCGCCGGAGATGTGCATCGCTTGTTACGAGGAGCGCAGAGAACGTAGATTTGCCAGATGCCGTGGGAGGGAAGCAGAATAGTGCCGCTCGGGTGAAGTCCCTCTAAGCTCTTGACCACGCTCCGAACTTTACACTTTGCAGTGAGAACCACTTCGAGATGTTAGCTGCACGATCCTCATGCCTTGTTCCAGACAAAGAAGCCTCCGCGGCTGGATGCAACGTTCTTACGCTCACATGTCCAGCATCAATGCGCAACAACAAGTCTTTCGAGGAACAGACACCCGCGATCTCCGAACGGCTTCACTTCACTTCACCTCAATTCCGGCCAAGCAATCCGTCATTACTCAACTTGGCCACCTCCTTGCGCTCTTGTAAATGTCCTTTGCTATCTTTCACCAGCCCAGTCTCCTCGCTGCGGTCCTTTCTGTGAACCTTCCAATACAAGCACAGCCACGACGGCAAGAGCGAGTCAGCGCACAACCGAATAAGTCCGAAAAAGAGCACCCAGCACGCTGGCACTCAAACAAGCCAAACCGATTGCGGTTTGCGCGACTCATCAACCTTTCTCACCTTCCGAAGCACAGTCCCTGAACCCTGTCCCGAAGGTGCGGACTCTCCCCATATTTGCTCGAACTATACAGAGTCATGGCTCCAGCATCGCGGAACAGTGATGAAAGGAGGGAAAGACGGAGGACAAGAAACGAAGTTGTAAAATGTCAAGGTCAGGGCTCATAGCACGGCTGAAGAAGGACAATATGACAACAAGTAACTTCTATATTCCGGATAGTCTGATGAAATATACCATGTCGAGCGAGTAGACAAGAATCATCGATTTTTTCAGTTTATTACTTACAGTCTTCAATCACCGCTCCCAATCCAATGATCCAAATACTTGAGTGTTTCAAAACGAAGCGACTGCATTTTCGTTTGGAAAGCGCAAGCAGCACGCTGCACTCCCACTATAACCAAAACGACCACCGGGCTGGAGCGACTGGTTGATGCCAAGCAAGAACAATGATTCATGCACAAGTTTAGCTCAGCTGGCAGATACTGTAAGAGGGAAACTGGAATACTCATAAATAGATGAAACCCAGAAGACTGCAGTGCTCCCATTACGACGGCAACGATTCAACCACTGTCGCGACATTCAACGGTGGTCGATGCTTGACGCAACCGCCGTAACATGTGCAAACGACAGCTCGTTTGAACTTAGGCAGGGTCTACTCTTGACGCACGAGTGATCGCAACAGCATCATTAACGTTCGTATAATGATATGGATGAAGAAAGAATGTGCACTTCAGGTGGACAAAAACTCTTCGAAGCGCTCATTCACTCTTTCTCTCTCCTATTGTTATACATTCCCAAAGAGCACGCATACTGCCTGCCTCTAACCTCCTCTCTACCCATCCATCCATCCATCCATGCCTCTCCTCTATGTGGCAGATCCCGATGAATATGTCCCCGTTTCTTCCTCCCCGCGTAGGTTCGATGCAATGCAGATAGAGTGCAAAACTGGAAATGATGCATCTGGGAATAATCTCCTCTCCTCCCGCGTCTTCCTGCAAGACTTGTTTCTTCTTTACAAGTAACCTTCGTTGCTTTGTAATGCATAAGTTTACTCCATCAACGCCATCGCTCATAACAATAAAGCAAAAGCACGTATACTATACAGTTTCTCCAAAATAGTGACAAAGCTCGTTGATGTGCAGCCGCCGTTGCAGTGTTGATGCAAATTCGACAACAAATAAAAACTGCTGCGGCACTGGGGGGGTGTCGTTACTCGGTAATGGTGTTCATGAAGGTCTTGGGTTTCATGCTCTGCTGCTTCTTTTCTTGCTGCTGCTGCTGAGCTCTCTCTTGTTCTGCAATCACGCCACCCTACGGCTGTTGTTGTTCTGCAGTGAGCGAGCTCAGCCCAAGCATGCTGGAGACTGGTTTTCGCTTCGTCTTCGCCTGTTGTAACCTCGGAGCCCCTTGAATACTGCGGGGCTCTTTCATCAATGTCGGGTCCAGTTTGCCTGGTGTTCGCCCAGTGACTGTCTTGAAATCTCCCGGGAATCTGCCTGTTGGTGGTGCCGCTGATGCTGAGCGCCACAAATGGTCCGAGGTGTCGCTGAGGAAACTCGTGCTGGATTTCGAGAAGAAGCTCCGGTGCCCACGATTGCGCTTGGAGAGAATGATCTCGTCGAAAAGCTTGATGCTCGGATCTTCAGCGCGCGTCGCCTCTCGCTCGTGGATGAACTCATTGAATGCTTGCGTCTGTCGCAGCATGTTCATATATTCGCTGTCGCCATGTGGTACACTCTTCAAGAATTGGTCCATGTTGAAGTGGTAGATGAGTCCTTGCTTTTTTCGCTCGCCAGAGGCAGGGTGCAGGTAGCGTCGATAAGTGTAGAGCAGTGACGCGAAGCACCTCACGAACGCTGCACGAACTTGATCTGCACGGAACGCCACAGGGCATACAACGCAGACTGATGGTGCACAGCGAGCGTGGATCGTAATCCCACAGCCTGGAAAAGGTTTAGCTATTGCTCCATACGACAAGCAGGAAGACCACTCACCATTGCACCTGAACAGTTCATCATCGCACCTCTCGTCGCAAATCGTACAAAGGGTCCGTCGGTCGGCCTGTCTCCGTTGCAGGCAGTGACCTTCTACCCACTTGGTCATGTCGGTGTCTCGGACGGTCTGTGTCATTGTCGGTTGCATGATGGTGCTTGCCGCCAGCGTGCTCTGCGCATACACACTCGGCGCGTAGCTCGAGCCCGATAGACCCCCTCCAAGGGTGGATGTGGACATACTTGATTGGTGACCAAGAACTTGTGGGGCTGGTCCATGACCAAGGATTGGTGCGCTAGGTCTGCGGACTGTGTTCATGCGATCCATGCCAAACTGATCCGGTATGTTAGTCCTATCCGCTAGAGGATTTCGAGCATGAAAGAGAGAATGTACCGTAGAGTTCCGCCTGCCCGTACTATCGGCAAAGTGACCTGAGCGCTTCTCGCGTAGCGAAGCCTGCAGGGCAAAGCCGCTGTCGTTTCTCGAGACTGGTGTGCTCGGAAAGTTCATCGACACAGGCGATGGTGCTGTAGTGGGCGAGGGTGGCGAGGCTCCAGAAGAATTGCTCTTAGCACCCGTGGAGCTGGTTGAAGGCCGGTCACTACCAGGTCCTGAGCCAGGCCTCTGCACGAGGAAGGCATTGCATACTGTTGCCCTTGAGGTGGAGTCCAAGCTTGATGCATCGCCGAATGTCGTCGAGCTCTCGCTGACGTAGTTTGCCAATGTGGAAGGAGTCGGTCTCGAATTGAAGACTTGCGGGTTCTCGGAAGAAAAGGAATCGTGAGGGAACGTCTCGATTGCATATGCTGGAGGGCCGATCGGTACACCAAAGCGGGTGTGATGTGGAGCTGCGGCCTGTAGCAATGCTTGAAGTTTCCGTCTCTGTGGTCGTGGAAGTTGAGTCTGATAATCAGTGCTAGTGATGGTATTCTCGTCAAGATCCACCAGGCAGTAGTCATCATCCGGAATCTCAAGCTTCTCATACCGCTTTTCCACGCCAGCAATATAAGGACATGGTGCTTCAAGAGCCTGGATCAACCTGTACGGGAGCACAGGAATAAGCACTCCGGTCCACTTGAGGGGATAGAGCAGACTTTGCAGCGCTGAGCATGCCAGTTGCAGCATCGCTGTATGCGACGAAAGCAGAATGATCCTAGATTCTGCAAGTGCATACTCGAAAAGAGCGATGATGTTCGGGATGGATAGGCAGCGGAAGAGCGCGTAGAGGTCGGTGTTTCGTGACCCAGGAAGTTCGTTGATCGCTTCCTTCCTCGCGTAAAGCCGCAGGTCTCTGACGGCAACTTCAACCTGGGTAATGGATGTGATGGGACTCAGAGCTTCAATGCATAGATTGCAAACATAGCGCTCGAGTGGCTGCCACAAGCCAACCTTCGGAGAACTGGGCGGAACGCGCAGAATGGCGCCGTTCGTCATCGGCACGATAACTGCCTTGAGCCATTCCTTCCAAAAGCTCGTTAGACCCCCATCCCGTCCAAGAACGCCATAAGCGCGAGGGATCCAGAATCCAGTGTCGCCCTCTGTGAGGCCATCGATTTTCGAAGCAGCTCCGTGTCGTACAGGCCTCAAAAGGTCAGTCATAAGGCCAATCTTTTCTTCCACAGCACTAATGTCCTCTTCGAGTTTCTCCCGCTCCGCTGAGCCCAACTCGTAATTTGGAAGATCTGATAAAAGCCGACTGAGCTTGGCTCTCTCGGAAGACAGACGTTCTCCAAGACTTGCTGCCAACTCGCGCTCTTCTTCACTCATATTTGCTTTTCTCCACTCATCACACTCCTTCTCGAGTCCCTCAGAAGCTGAGTCGCTGAGTGGCACCCACATAGTCACGCAGATGCCATGAAGCTTGCTGTTGTCCGAGTTTGTCATTGTGAAACCATGCCATGTGGATCTGGGCCTCTCATCTGAGGAAACCACTGTGACATCGTTCGGGAACACAAACATTGGTACATAGTCTGGGAAGGGCGTGCGTCGTTTTGATTCGTCGAACATGGTCTTCGTGGGATAGCGATCGAGGAGCACCGGCTCGTATCTTCGCTTGAGTGGGTGCATGTCTGCGGGCGTTTGAAATGGCTGCGGTGTAGGTATTACTGAGTTATACCCGCTCAGTCTTTTGGACTGCCTCGCCGAGTTTTTGCTCATCACAGATGACGCCCGCTTCATGCTGTTCATCGTTGACAATCGCCTTCTCAGACTTCCCACGCCACTCTTAAGACTTGTGTGAGGAGTTTCATCTTGTGTAATGCGCACCGTCTTCGGTCGTTGGACCTTTGCTCTCGCCGGAGGATCCCTAATCACGGCACCTGCTGCAACGTGGATATCCTCAAGGAAGCTGTCTCGCTCCGAAGCGAACTTCTTAAGCGCCTCTTCGAAAGCGTCGTCGCTCAATCCCGACCCTCCTATGGTGCCTGCCTTGATCGTCGTGCTACTGCGATTGCTGGCCGGTAATCGTTCCTCAGTCACATTGATGATGCTGCCCACGCTCTTTCTCGCTTCAAAGCTGTATCGCGAGCGTCTCTGCGTGTCATTGGGTGACCCTGGCGTCGTCGGTCGTCCTGAGGCATGTTCGATGGCGAGCTCGAGATCCTCATCGATCGTTTCTTCTACCGGGGCAGCGGGAGCTACCGCAGCGAACTTCTCGTCAAACACTTGCGCCGACTCGATGCCCGCAATAAAGAAGTAGTCGGCGAGCGGGGCGGAGGTGTCGCCATTGGGAGAGCCTTTGCTCGAGGCGTCCTTGTGCGATTTGGCGGCGGGAGCCATGGAGTGAGGAACGCTGCACGCGTGGTCGAAGGAGTGGACGTGCAAGAATTGCACAGGGCGGTGGGTAGATGGGGTCGAGTGTTGGTGCTAGTGCTGGTCCGGCACGCAGACGGCTACCTCATGGAGCGGTGTCGCCAGGAAATATCGTGGGCTACAGCATGTGGTTGTTACACAAGCGCCAGGTGGAATGGCTGCGCGGACCCGCTCGACAGCCGGCTGGTATCACGTAGGAGCCGGGAGGGCTTTTGATTGCTGTGAGCGTTGACCTGCAGCGCCGTCGATGCTGGCTTTCTATGCCCGTTCTGTCGCTCACACGTGCCTGGACAGGCGGAAAGGCGAAGTGGAAGAAGTGTTGCTGGCTTATCTGCGGAACCAACGGTCGCCCGCTCGGCAACTGAGCGCTCGTTCGTATCGCGCTGCTGGGCGACGTCCAGAGCAGCCCAAACAACGTGGGCGGGGCGTCAGCAGTTACACCGACCGGGACAGGCCAGTGGCAGCGGAGGATGTTGGCGGAGGAGAGCTGTCAGTGTGATTCCTGCTGTCCGGGCTGGTGATCCGGGCGATGCTGAGGTCTGTCGCTGGGAGGGTGCTGGGTGCAATATGCCTCTGTCTGTGCAGTCGACAGCGCGGTTACTACCACAATACTACTGCTGCTCCGGCGTCCGAGGGACCACTTGAGCAGGGGCTTCAGGGCAAGATAGCCGCAGCAGATGCCTGAAGTGCAATGGGTATCCTGGACACGCTGCAGAAGTAGTTCCCGGCCGCTGCTCCACTCGGTCTGCGGTGTGGCTCAAGCTGTCCTCCTCGATCAAGACTGCGTGGCGGGCCTGCCCACGACTGACTCTGACGCTCGCGGCAATATTATCGAAAGGCTGGCGGTCCGACTAATGGGTGGATGGGTCGTGGAACAGGAACAGGACGGCAGCAGGAGGCAACAACAACGGTAGCAAACGACGACGACTTCAAAGGGATGATAGCCACGGGATAACTCGTCAATCATCAACCACAGCTAGCAGTTGCTCGCGGCGCTAACGCTGGCGGGCTCTCAGCGATCCCAATCCTTTGACGCGATGTCTAGCGCCTCTGCAGCCATACGATTGCTGCTCCTCGCCAAGCCAGTACACACGGTATGCTTTGCAGTCCAGGTACGTACACCGTCCCCCTCCCTCCACTCCGTCGCCATCGCTAGCGACGACGCGATGCTGCTGATCGCCTGGGCACACCTCGTCCTCGCTTGGAGCAGAGAGCATCATATCGCTGCCGCGCACGCCGGGGCTGCTCTGTTCACTCGAGTCGTTGTCTTGTGTGAAGAAGAAACACGCGCCTTCTGTACGCCACAAATGTCTCACGCACGCACAGCAACAACGCCGAGTCACGTTTGTGCATTTTGCCAGACCAAACGAGTCTATTTCCGATGCTATACTTTAACGAATCCCAAGCGACCACCGGCATGCTGGACGATTTTTTCTCTCTCGATGTGAACTCCAGCATGCCACATCCACATCTGGTCAGGGCTATCGGCCGCTCTTTCGAGCTTAGCTGATCCTGCTAGTTCGAAGTCTTTCCTACACCATGCCGGGGCTCGTGGTTCGGCGAAGGCTTGTCCACGTCGCTTCTCCTGTCAACCGGCCCTCGGCACCCAGCACTTGATGATTGCACAGCAGCCGCTGTTCCTGCACAAGCGCCTCGTCCGCTGCATGCCATGCACGGCATGTGCAACGTCCGCGCCAAAAACCACCCAACGGCAGTGGTTCGCTGCAATCAAGTTTCCGGGACAGTGAACACCAGCATGGCAGACCGTTCATCACAATTGGCAAACATACGGTGTGTGTAGTAGCGCACTCCTCCATTGGTGGCACGGACAAGGGTGGCCCTTCTTTCGCCATCTTCTCCACCCTCTTAGCCTCTGCCACCCCAGCAGAACATCCTGGAGCGGCACATGTTCTTGACGTCTTGTGTTCCACTCTGCTACAGGCACAAAGATCACAAAAAAGTGAAATGCGACATCATGTTTCAGTAATCACAGACATCCATGGCGAACTTCTGATCTCTGCCGCTCTTGGACAGCAGTATTTGAAAAACATCCCTCATGTATCTTCACGACGGACACGACCAAGCCCCGCGGACGCGTCGAAGCGAAGTTTAGTCGAGCCCGTGACGGCCGAAAATAGCATGGCCGTCGCCGATCTCAGATTCTACATTATCTCAAAAAGGGAAGACATGGGCTTGTAACTTTCCAGCTTTGAGTTGCACGTTGTCAGCGCAATGCGGGCGCACTTTGCCTGATCCCCGTCAAGAGGACATGTGGCACAGAAAACCTCCGCTAGCAACATCGACTCTCAAACTGTTTCGAAAGGCGTGTGTCGACACCCACAACCACATCCTTGAATCTGGCAGCAATATTTAGGAGGTGATACGAGGCCAGCTCACTAATCGACGCGGCAGCGGCCGAACCCGAGACTGCACAAGTCACTATGCCGCAATGTGCACTGTGCTCGTAAACAATCAATCAACGGCTCGCTGGAGAAACATGCGCTACGGAGCAGCTGAAACAATCGAACCCTTTTGTGGCTCAAATCAAGAAGCTTCGAGGGGAAGCTTGCGCCATAGGAGGTATCAAATATCGGATGCGCTTTGGTGCGCTGTCAACTCACAGACTCTGTGAGACCGTAAAATGAACACGGGAGAGCGACATCCAGCATGACGTTCAGTATATCACGGCTGAGACGGAGAAACTCTCCATCGAAAAAAGCTTTCCACCCTGATCCCTCTCACGCGTGCGCGCGCGCAAACACGAGAAGCAGAAGTCCAATAATCCCTCTCCACAAAGCCACCGCGCGACGCCACACTCCTGAACCATTGGCCATCGAAAGTTCATGTTTTAGCAAGTGCCAATACCATACGGGATTTCTATCGTCTCCACCGCCGCACGTTCGGCAGCCGCAGGCCGAAGGATGCAACTCCGACGCACGCTACACAGCAGCTGCTTTTCTAGCTTCTTCCTTGCGGTGGCTCCTGCTCATCAGTTGTGGATACGATAAACCGGAGCGAAAGTGAAAGAAAGGTAAACGATGAGGCACAGGAAATCGCCACGTTTACGGTCAACGCTTCCTATTCGTAAGCGCGAACCCGCTCGCTCAGCATCCATTTACAGAGGGCCCGAATATGGGACCGAAAAGAAACCCGTTGCGCCGGTAATGTCACGTCCACGGCATTGCACCCGCCGTCTGGCTCACGAGAGGAACGATAGATGGGGATTCATCTCTCTTCTGCGCATGTCCAACTTCACGCGTAGACTGCTTGATCAACTCCAGGGACGGCAAAATCTCAACTCACAATCTGCAAAAATCTGCAGAAATGCAGATCACATTCTATGCAGATTGGTCGTAGATATCAGTTTCGAGTACATGATGCTCCACTCATCGAGGGGAAAAGCTTCGGTCCCTGACTCCCTGATCTTCTCACGTGGAGACCAATTGCAGCGACGTCTCCGCATCTTGAGAGAATTATATCATGTGGAGTCACCAGAGATCAAAATACTGGAGCATCGAATAATAATGCGCACGAAATTGTGATTTGTCTCCGCGCCAAGTCGAGCCAAACTGTGCATCGCCAGGGGAGAGGCTGCTGGCGGCGGTCAATCGTAACTCTATGCTATCGTTGCTGGCCCGTGGCAGATGGGTGCCTCATCGTCGTTGGAGGTCTGGAGATCTTGACGTAGAGTCCAATTGCATGCATTACGAATGTGCTGGTGCAAGACTATCGCGCACAGTCGACTCTCCTGTAGCTCATGGGCATCGCACCATAAACGGACGATGTCAAGGTGATCCGCAAGGTCTTGCCATTGGGATTATCGAGAGCGTTGGCTGTTGGTGCTGATCGTTGATCGTGTGCCGGTAGAGTCTCTGGTCCACACCGTTCGGCGATGCGAATCATAGATCAATTGAAGAGCGCACATGCCTAGTAGGGTAAGGAGTAGCTCTTCCTTTCAACGGCACAGTCACAGCAGTAGTGATGAACATTCTGTGCGTTGTAGCATGTCTCCAGTGCCACGTGTAGGTCTAGAGCCCCAGCTCTTGTTTGGTAGCGAGTATTCTTGCCCGATGAGACCACTGGGGAGCTTTGTCTAGCAACGAACGCGGATCGTCGATATCAACACAGAGCACTGGCGAACTCATGGTACCTGCAGAGACATTCATCATGTGCAAGCTCATGCTGGACACCACCTCAGCCGATTGGAGTCGGCACCCGTCCCTGCGTGCCTCTGAAGTGAGATGAGTGTTCCAGACCACCGGCTCTGAGGCGTCACATTGGGTCACTTCGCAGCGCCATGACGTGTTGTGCAGAGATGAGCTCCTAAGCTCCAACTGCACTCCGAAAAGTACGTGTGGCTTGATCCAGCACATCTCTCAGCCAGACTCGCGTCACTCGCCAGACTTACGAGAGCCGAGATTTCCAGATTCCTTGTGCCACTCCACTATTGTGCCTCGTCGCACATCTCGCTGTGCAGCGTCTCCTCAAAGGCACACTCAACTCATCGTCCTCTGCTCGACAACCATCCGGTGGTCAAGCTTCCTGGCTCGCCCATCGCGTTTCTCCAGTCGATGTTCAACAGTCCTAGGGGCACCTTACTGCCCAGATCCTCGCTCTTATCTTTCTCGGTCACCAAAAACATGACCTGCTCCACATCCTGCGGTTTCAATACTACCGCCTCTTTTCCCTCTTCTTCGCCATTCATCGCTTTCCCGCTAACGCCTTCGCTCTCCTTTAACCAAATCTTCTCCAATACAATACTCGACTCTCCGATGTTCTCCAATTGAGCCTCCAACACCCACTGTCGCGGAGCATCTTTTTCTCGAATCTTGCGCTCTGTGACTTTTGACCGCACAGCGAGAAGTTGTTGCGAGACGAATTGGTACAGTTTGCGGAATGTGCGAGTTCGTCCTCCGCTCGCTGCTGCTCCATCTGGAGTGTGGAGTGTTTCGGTGTAGCTGATTGTCACCGCGAGGACGTACTGTCCTTCATCCTTGAGCTCGTGACGAAGCGTGCGCTGGAGTGTAGTGCCTGGTTCTATGTGCTCCTCCTCTTCTGCTGATGCTTTGCCGTCCTTGTCTCCGCTTTCTAGCTCAAGAGCGATGCCTGTAGGCTGAGTGGGTGTCTGAAGCTCGGCGAGGATCTTGATCCCACTGACAGTCTTGCGTCCGGCGCCATCTCCAGCCGGGAGCTCGTTGTTGACGCATAGGGTGCACGTGAAGGTCTCGCCGACATAGGCTGCGCCAAAGGCGGAGGGAAGTGTGAGCGCGGTAGTCAGCGGGAAGGTAGAGTTCTCATCGGCACTGGGGTAGGCCAGCGAGGCATTGGGAGGGATATCGAGCCCATTGCCAAAGGAAGTATGTGGCAGCGGCGTCTGCGCAGCGAGGGTTGGACGCGAGAGTCGCAGGACCTTGAGCGAGAGACTGTGAGGCCCAGACACAGTGCCTGATCTCCCTCGGGCGTGCTGGGGAGCATGCGGCGGTGCCGCCATATCGGAAGATTGTGGATGTCGTTGAGGAAGTCGAGGCCTCTGTGCGTTGCTGCTACGTCGTCATCGTCGTGATGCTCATCGCCGCTCCGGCGCGGTATCACCAGATTCACCAGGCGAAGTCGATGGCAGCAGGGATATCACAAATGACGGCGGACACGAAGCCAATTACGTTCCAGGGTCGAGGCATCGGCATCGGGTCCGAATAGCAGCCATCGCGATTTTCTCTCCCACTCGTCGATCTCTGCTCCTACGTCAGAGCTATACCGGTGACGAAACGCCTCATTTTTGCGGACAAGCATATGCCCACGGCAACAAGCCCGGCCACCCACGAGATGGCGCATGATCAACAAAATCATCATGCTGGCATCGTCGATGGTGGTGGCAAAAATGATTATATTCTTCTCCAGCGCTTCCCACATTTGCATTTAGCTAGCAATACCCCCAAAGGTAGGCCTAAAAGGCGATGATTCCAACATCATCTGTCTGCGTGAAGCATTCTTCCCCAGCCTTCGGAATCGTGTTGACAGAGTTGACTAGGACGAGGCGTCGTTGCGGGGGCACCCATTCCCTCTGGGACGGTCATCGATGTCTCGCCGGTGCTTGTGCTGGGCATAGTGGAGAATATCGAGCACATAGAGCAGACGCAGTTGTTCAACTACACCTATAACTGGCCGTCCAAGAATTCCATAGGAGAGCCAAGGACCGCGCAGGCCGTTGTCTTTGGTCTCGGATCGATGTTCAATCACTCTGCCGAGGAACAGAATGTGGGCTGGAAGCGGGACCTGGAACGACGAGTTATCGTTTACCAAGCCTTGAGAGACATCCAGGAGGGAGAGGAACTCTGTATATCATACGGGGATCATCTCACTTTTGTCGATGCGGACGGCCCAAGAAGTCCGGTGACAGAGGAAGGCAGCGAGGTCCTTGGAAGGATCTCCGTGGAAATGTGACCGGCCCCGGAACCAAGATGAGGAAGCTCGTTTCTGGGCAATGTTATGAGACCACGGCACCAGATATCCGGATGCTACAGGAGTGGGTGATTCTTTCTGTCAGAGGGACGAACCAGTGGACGGATTTCACCTGCGAAGCATTCTTCCAGCATCGGAGCTGCGGAGGCGGTGGTCACAGTCCGGCTCCGGAAAATGTACTGTTGCATACTGTACAGATTGTCTTAGCATCTAAGGTGGCAGTATCAACGTTAGCAGTCATATTTCATCATTTACGGATTACGAGAGCAGTCTACTCCCTTCGATTGCAGTGTGAGAACCGCAGACAGGACTAAGCCATGCCGAAAGCACTTCAGGAGAGCATTTCGCCGAATCTTAGCGCTTGAGAAAGAACTCAACGTCCTCACTGCGCCCTTGACTGACGGACATAGGCTTCTTTGGGCGATCATTGAGTGAAATGGCTCCCAGGCAAGCCTCCAATGCACCAGGGTCGAATGCCTTGGGGGTCGTTGAAACCGACGGCGAGCGACAGATCACAGCGAGGCACCAAGAAGGCCATACATGCTAGCAATCGATCAAGCGATAATTGTGATGCATTACAGGACCGATCAAGAGATCTCTTGAAGTCTTTTCCCTGCGCGAGGTTCGTCAGCTGCAGAACCCTCAACGAACGCTTCACATGTAGGAATTTCACAAGCTAGCCTACTCCAATGGGTAAATCCTGGTCCCGAATCCACAAAGCAACATTTCTGGAGATTTAACATCGTGAAAAGTGTCTGCACACAAAAGTTACTAACACATCGCGATAAGCACAAAGGGCAACGCAAGAGCATTTTTTGTGATCACATATGCTCCCGCCAAGAACTGACGTTAACGACCCATACCGGCATATTAACGGATCGGCGCCCAACGACGCGTCGATGGACAGATCCATGTGGACCGCTATACCATGATCGATCAAGAAGCACTGGGCACGAAAGCGGAACTTCCGAGACCCGTGGACACACAGGCCTGATAAGCCGGACCTCAGGAAGCAGCGGGACATTCTCTCGTATCGTACTCATAGCCAACAGACCTGATGATTCATACCATTGCTACTTAGCCTCTGCCTGTTACACACTCATCATCCTTCCTCTCTCCCCTCTCACAACAAGTACCTATACGTCGGACTAAGATCGCCCAGCTCGGTCTTCTCGTGCTCCGTCAACCCAACATCCGTGACCGACTTGTCCCTCTGTCGATTCTGCGACCAACATGCGAAGCCATAGATGATACACGAAATGATGCTCAGAATCGTGAAAGCGATGCAGATCGAGTAGCCCGTCACATACTTTGGTGCGTCTTTCTTGAGGAAAGCGAAGACGGCGATGATACCGCCGATGTTGCCGAAACCAACTTGCCACGCGGAGCCGACAGAGCGGCGATGGTGGCCTCCGAGATTCATGTTGAACCAACAGACGATGACAGGCATGGCGGAATATGTGCCCATGGTGACGAGGAAGAGAGCCGCTGGAAATTAAACGTTAGTGATGTGATCCCTGCAAATTCGACTCAAAATCACAAGCTGTGTAATGCTTACCATATTGAACTGTATTGTTATTGTGAACACTGATCAGAATTGCAAATCCAGCAATGCTGATGCATGTACTGAAGACCGCGAAACCGAATCGATGTTTCGTTGCGTCCGAGAGCACAGCGAGCAGCATCGCATATCCGAATGCTGCGGCCCAAGGTGGTACGGAGTGGAGCTGTGTCTGAATAGGGTCGTAGCCGTAGCTTTGAATAATTCCAGGAGCGAAGTAGGCGTATCCGTAAGCTGGAACAATGAGACCAAAGTACATGAAGCCAGCGACGATGACCTTGTAGTCCTTGAAGACATTGCCGACGTCCTTGGCGGTGATGGATCGCTCGACGGCCGAGCGACCCTGATCCTTCTGGAGGCGAGCTGCAACATAGGCCTTCTCGTCGTCGCCGAGCCATTTGGCGTCTTCCGGGAAGCTAGGGATGAGGAAGAAGAACAGGAAGGAGACGGCGACTGTGAGCGCGCCTTCGAGGATGACTGTGGATGTACTTAGTGTCCATTACCGCAACGGAATGTCGAAGAGTACTTACAGATCCATCTCCATCCTTGATAGCCTTGCAGACTGTGTTCGACAAATGTTAGTATTCACTCGTGAGCGCAGCAATCTGAAACGAAGCTCTGACCACGTAAGCCGAGCTCTGACTTCACTTACCCATCCATCTTTCCAATAGCCGCCGCCAGCAACCCACCAAATGCACCAGCTAGAGTCGTAGACGAGAAGAAGAACGTGTATCGCTTCTGCGCCTCATGTCTCCGGTACCACATTCCGATCAAGTAAAAGCAACCCGGAAACATGCCCGTTTCGAAGAGTCCAAGGAAGAATCTGGTAACCAGCAAAGATTCATAGTTCTTCACGAGACCTTGCATGATAGTGACGAAGCCGAACAGGAACATGTTCAAGCTAAGCCATACATTTGGTCGGAACTTCTTGAGGAGGATGTTGCTTGGGATTTCGAAGCTAGGAGGAGTTATGTTAGCAGTGCATCTTTCGATTGAGAGTAGAGTAGATCAACGTACAGCACGTAAGGCACGAAAAAGATCACGAGCGCCGTATTGTATTCATTTCCTTCGAGACCCAACTCCTTGGAAAGTCCAAGGACATTGGCATTGGCGATATTAACTCGATCCAAGAAAGCCAAAAGGTAGAGAATACACAAGACCGGGATGATGTGGATATCGATGCGAGCTACCAGCTTGCGCTCTGTAGTATGCGGCGGACATTCGACATGCAAGTCTTCATCGTAGCCTTGGGGTTGGTAGGTGATGTCGTTGGGCTGCTCGAAACGTTCCGATGAAGTCGGCGAATGGGCGACCTTCTCGTCCGTTGAGCTGAACGGTAGCCGCATCTTTGGTTATGCGTCGATCTGTTGAGCTCGAGTCCAGGGGAACGGCAAGAAGCTGAAGTTGGACTTGATGAGTCGCAGCAGTGGTGCAGGATATGTCAGCAGAGTCACAGAAACGAGGCTGAACGAACAAGCTCGCGCAAGCCCGTCCAAGCGATTTCGAAGACTTTGATCGTGGCGTATTTTCAGCCGTGCGAGACACAAGAGGTGAATCAGACCTCAGAACATCCGAGATTGAGAGTGTCAGAAAATCATGAAATGTTGAAAGACTCAGCAGAAAAGTCGCTGAGATCTGCTTCGGCCGGCGAGACGACGTGCATGTTCTTTCGCTCGCGTGGCACGCATGTAACCGTAACCGTGGCAGCACTTCACGCTTGGTGCTGGCGGAAGAGCAGATCCTCTCCTCATTCTGGCGCCGACAAGCGAGATTGTGGAGAAGAAGGGCGGAGGATGCTGCACTTGATTCGCCGACCTCGGAGCTTAGGGCTCCGTTCCCTCGTGTCGTTTCCTTCGCGGGACGTTTGGTTCGGCTTAAAGATGGACGGCGGCGTCGGATTCGGGAGGCGTTGGGACGTTCACAAAGCCGTACTTTCAATGTTGTCAGCTGGAGGAAGTCGTGATGTTCTGCATGGGACATAGTCAGCACGATGATGTGGGTCTATACCAAGAGCAAGGTAAGCGACATGCTCCACACAATGCCTACGTCTTGGCAGTTGCGTCCGGAGAAGGTCACAGACTCCAGCGAGCCTTGCAGTACACAAGTTGGGAAGGTGAGAAGAAGATGTCGTGTCTCCCTATCCGAGACTATAATTTGCGCTATGGCGAATGCGAAAGCATAATCCACGAGTAAACGACGTGGGTCGCTCGCTCCCCGTTTACATCTCCGTGCATTATTCTGTTCTCATGGCAGTCCAACGCTGACAAACGTTTGCCGCAATTCATGGGCCTTGAGTAGTACGTGCCTGCCGTCAAGCAGGCCATGTCGTCTTGCAAAGCCCTCAAACCATGCCTCTACCACCATTTGATTCTCTCAGCGGTATCCCGACACGTGTTTTTGATCTTTTGCACTATGGCCGTGACATCCTCCAACTTCAGTTTCCTAGAACAAATGTCAGCAGAGAGTCCGTCTCTACTTGATGAACACCGGGCCTGCCCTAATTTGTCTGGGCCAAGACTGTCACTAATTGCCGCTTCGATATCCTGCAGCAGTTGCTCCTGACAATCCTCGAGCCTCGCGTAACCTTCGTGCGTGCGCCTGCGACCCTCACTACACTCGAGTACGGATAGAGGCCAGTATCCAACAACCTCGCTCTGGAACACTACAGGCGTGGACTTGTCGCTCGTCATGGTCACGTCCAGGGTTGCCCAAGGTTCTCTTCCGTCGTCCCTGCTTCTATCGTCAATGTGGATGCGGAACTTACGAAGGTACGCAAAGTCCTCTGCACGAAGATTGAGCAAGAAGAGCAGTGCCTCGTGTGCGATCGCAACTCTGGGCTCGGTCTGACCCTTTGCCGGGCCCTTGAACAGAAAATCAAGCTCGAAACGCGTGGACTTGTAGAAAGGGGGCAAAACCTCTGCTCGCATGAGTTTGCTGAGCCTATCGAACGTTAGTTGCTGGACCCTGTGATGGACGCTATTTGCCTGTGCAAGTGGATGTCTGACCTCGCCAATGGGGGCTGCGTACAGCGGGGCCAAACTACGTCTGGAAAGTTGGAGAAATAGTAGTCGTACACTCGTCCTCTCAATTCAGGCACCAGATCGCCCCATTTGTGGAACTTGGGGGAAGCATCGGCTTCCACGAGGCTCGCTCGCAACTGTACATCGATCAGCGTTCAATATAGCACGGCATGATTAGACGTTGGGATGGATGTTACCTGCGCATCTGTCGCCTTCTCCGGGTCCTCCAAGGTCTTACAAGCTTCGGCGAATTTTAGCAAATCATCCCGCTCCACGTAACGATACTCGGGGCGGGAGGTCCATTGCATTCGGCCGACTGAAAGCATCTGATCTCTGGACCAGTCCTTTGGACAATAATAGCCGGAGCGCCGAAGGAATTCGTCGAGTTCGCCTTCTTCTTCAGAACCGTAGCGATACTCGTCGAAGCGCCAGTAGCTGTCATTGGCGAGATCTTCCATGTTTCGCGACTGAGTTATGCCTCGACTACAAGCTCAGAAAACGTGTGAGACAGATCAGCGAGGTCAGACTGATTGCCAGAGGAGTAAGTGGTTGGGCGAAAGCGCAATCTTGTTCAGAAGTAGGTCTCAAAGACGCCTTTGCTGACACTTGCTGTGATGTCGAACTAAGTGATGGACAAGATTATCATGTAGTAAATTGAGCGCCGCGTTGAATCTTATGCTGGAAGAGCAAACTGGTCAACAAACAATCAAAAGAGTGCAGCCCCTTGCAGAGACACTGCAAGTATGATCTAGGTCATTCGCTAGATGATGTTAGCCAACTCTCTCCCACTGACATGCGGCAATCGGGATGTGCAGAAGCTGTTATGCGCGCCGGAGCTTTGTAGACTTGACCCGGCGTACTCCTGGGAAGTTAAGTGAGGGTTCAAAAGAGTAGGCGTCGAAGAAGTTTCGATACTACTTCTTGAACAGAACCGCCAACCTGAGGGTCACAAGACTGTCGTGTCGTCCTGTGTGAGAACTCCAGTATGCAGAAAGAGGCGGCAAGTACCACAGTGTCGGGGTGTCATGCGCTTTCGTCCTTCGCAATATGCGGCAGTAAAGTGAAGAATGTCCTCTGGGAGTAATCTTCCCTTCCCTTCTCTGATCATGATACCTTGACACAGGTTTTGGACATCGTGTAAAAGCTTCACTGCCCAGTCCGGTATAAGTTCTTCTTGCTCTGTGTCATGATACAGAGTGTAGTTGATCTTATAGCCCGATCCCTGCTCATTCAACGTGATGGACACGGATCGAAAGGACGGGCGCGGTCCATACTGGGCATGCATTGTCTCTTTCTTCTTGTGTGTGCCTCCGATGTGTAGCTTGGTGATGCAACCGATAAGTTCCACGGCTACGTGCTCCCAGAATTCATGCGAGCTTCGTGTAATAGAACGTGCCACACGGAAAGTGCATTCACTATAGAAAAGCTTCAAAGTCTCCGCACGAAGTTGCTTGCTGGCATGTGCGATCGGTGGCTGGCTGGGCTCGTAGAATGGTTGCTCGAAGTCCGCGAAGTGAGCGATATACACGCGGTTTCGCATTTCTCCTGGCAGCTCGAAGAACTGTGCAAAGGTCCGCTGATCGTCTGCTTGCTCAAGAGTTTCGATCAGCTCTTCTCTGGTATCGCCATTCCCTTCTGCCGAGCCTTTAGACACTTCCAGACCTCTCGCTCTGACGAACTCTCGCATCTCATCGTCGCTACATTGGGCATAATCTAGCAACCCAAGCTCCGAGCGTTGTAATTGTTTGCGAAGTTGCTCTTCGCTTGCGTCTGATGTGATTTGTGCTCCCCGCTTGTTTAGCACATTTTTGATCTGGTCCACGGACAGGTGGGAGTGATCTCGGACTTTCCAATAATCGTGACGGAGCTGTGCTTGTTGTGCCATGACAGGCGCTGCTTGGTGATGAACGAAGACACTTTGTGATCGGTAGATCAGCTGGTGTTGGGAAAGAGGTTGCGGTGCTCGAGGCTGGGCGGAAAGAGACGCACGGAGCACGGGATGACATGGTGTCAGGCGACCAGAGTCGTGGAACCTGCCAGCGGCTGGGCTCATTTCTGTGACAACAGCTGAAAGTGAGGGACCTGTTTGATTTAGAATTTTGATAGAAATACGTACGCATGTTCCGTCGACTGCGCCTTCGCAGTCATTCTCGACTACTCCTCAACGCCATGCTGTAGAAACGCCGCTCTCAATGCTGCGCAGGTGGAGTGTATCGTCTACCACATCCGAACTGATAAATGCCGCTGTGTTATGCAAAGCCGCCCGTATGTGCACATCGTTCTCCAACCACATAATTGCGTCCGTTCAACTCGCCCCGTTCTCGCTTCACTGTCATCCCTTAGCTGCTCTCCTCCTGTAGCGCCCTCCCTTCTTCCTGTAGCTTGCCCAGCGCAGCTTTGATCGACTCAAAAGTCAGCATCGTTGTCATTGCAGCAGGGACCGCTCGAATCATGTTTGTCCCCATGCCATTGTAAAATGCCCGCCATCCTTCCTCCTTTAGTATGATGCGAAAAGTGTCCAGCACGCCTCGATAACGCGGCTGATACGGCACGCCGTCAGTATTCGCAATTCTCCTCGAACCGGATATACTCTGACTGTGTCTACCTACACCATTGTGCGCGTACTCCGGGTGCAGCCTCTGTTGGGTCTGCAGTCGTGTGCGGAGTACTTCGTGGGGATATGTCGCGGATGTGGCGCAGACCTTACTAAGAAAGGTTGCAGCCAAAATGCCAAATGTGTTTTGTGCTTCCGATGCAGACGTAGGAGAAGCCCCCATTTCGACACCTGTGAACTGTTGTTTGAAGTACTCGTACAATGGGAACTGAATCGCAACATGGGTAAGTCCGAGGAGGGCCGGTGCAAGTCCCGAGTAAAATGCTGCCAGACCTTCAGACCTGTACATCTGTCGGGCAGCGTCCAGCGTGCTGGAGTAGTGCCAGGGTGTTCGATGGCCGTCAGAGGCCGTGCGTGATATTTGCGACATTAGTCGAGTCTTGATCACCCAAATAGGATTCGTCGTGATGGTACTGCATGCTCCAGCCGTGACCGATGCATAAACTCTGGCCAGCCACTTGTCCCTATTCGTTTCGCCGTAGCCATGTGCGTAGAAATATTCCCGGCTACTGTCATAGACGGCCATATAGACAGCCCAGGTTGGCAGATACCCGAGCAGCATTGGTCCCAGTCCGCGATACATGCCTTTCACTCCATCTTGCCGAATGATAGCCCTCGCAGTTCCAATCATACCCCGGTATACTGCGCTGGCAGGCGGACCTTTCGACTGCAAGTTCGGGTTCAAGAAGGAGCCTTGTGCCTGCAATTTCGTCTTGATCACGTCCAGCGGACATGTGACAATACCACTCGCCATGCCGGCCATTGCCCCCGAGAACGAGTTGATGCTCGCATTGGAGAGCCTCGTCGACCATATTGCAAGCTTCGGGTACGGCGAACGCTGCACCAATGTGGATCTTGTGTATTGGCCGCCATCGGATTGTGAAGACATGGCAGAACTCGGCGGGTCCTGCATAGCCCGGAGAGGGCACTATCGTAGGGAGTATATCCTCACGATCATACTCGAGGCGATGTGTTCCAGGTGAAGGAGGAGCAGCGGTTGCACAATATTCTGTTGAGTGGGCGATCGGGTCGTTATCGTGCGAGCGGCGGGGTCGGATGAAACGATGGGCAGTCCCGTGATCACAGGCGAGTTGCTGAGGGTTGGTCGCACAATGTAGTTGTAGTCATAGGCGTGAGAGGGGAAAGGATGGTGTGAATGTGTCGGTGTCGGCAGAGCGGGCAGAGTGAGAGTGGTCGCGAGGGTGGAGACACGGCCTTCTTGCGAGCTGTGACGTTCGGGTTTGGTGCTTTGTTGCTCACCTCAAGCTTTCGTCCGTCGGCGAATGCCCTGACCCCGTCAGCCGAACCGTGCGAGCCAATCAGCGCAAGCAATTCCTCTTACATTCAATGTCGAGAAAGTCTGGCTTCATATCATCATCCAACAGCACGACATCCCCACCACCGCACGACCTCCACGCCGCTCGCAATCATGTCGGTCCCGTCGCTCGCCCCCTATATCATGAAGCGGCCATGGCTGCACAAGTGGATGAAGCCATTGAGCCAGTGGTACTTTGACAACGCCGGATACAGGAAGCTGGGTTTGAGGTAGGGCGCCACGGAGAAGAGGAGAAAGAGACCAGATTGGACACAGGGACGAGCAGAGAGGAGTGTGGATCATGTGGCTGACACATTGGCTACTACAGGGCCGATGATCTGATCCCAGAGGAGAGCCCAGAGGCACAGCTTGCGCTCAAGCGTCTCTCACCTAAGGAGGCATACGACCGTGTCTTCCGCATGCGAAGAGCATTCCAGGTAATATAGGAGCGGGAACTTGAGGTTGTGGAGGACAGAATGGCTGATATATGGATAGTGCTCGCTCGCGCATCAACTTCTCCCTAAGGAGGAATGGACCAAGCCAGAAGATGTACGTGCAGATCGCACAGTGTGCAAGCGCATTGGATATGGGCGCCAGAACTGAGAACTGAAGTGCTGACTTGTGTACAGGATTACCCATACCTATCACCAATCTTGAAGCAGATTGAGATGGAGACCACGGAGCGCGAGGACCTCGAGAACCTGCAGATTACCAAGCCTAAGGCCAAGTAGAGAATCTGTATACTGGTGGCAGAAGTAACACGAGGTACGGAGCAAGACAACATGTGTATATATTGCAGCGCGCAGAAGTTCACAGCCTCGCTTTTGCTCAGGCTGGCATAGAGCAGAGGAATGATTGTATCAACACTACAACGAACCGTCTCACGTCAGCAGCTTTACTCTCTGCGAGCGATGCGACTGCATGTCTTGAGCGTCCTTGCAGCATGATGTCGAATGGGTGCTGTCGATGACATTTCTTCCCATTTTGGCCACAGCGCACATGACTTCGCGTTCGGACGCGCCGATCTGCGTCATTAGGCTGCAATGCGCATCTCCTTTTACAATCTCACTCGTACATTGCTGCGCAACTCATCAACTCTGGCTCATCTTGTGACTTTCTGCAAGAGAAGAATTCTGGCTCAGTTGCGCTTGCGTTGGCGTATAGCAACGCTTCAGTTGGTCGGTGCGTCCGTGCCCGCCAGTCGACGATTCACGTCACCTCGCCTCTCGATCACAAGAACCGACAGAACCATCACGATGTCTCTGAGAAGATCAACCCGTGTTTCGAGCAAAGTGATTCCAAACGAAGTTCCTAACGGCAAGCATGACCCATCGCCGGCCTCAATGGCAGTCAAGCGAGGCCGCAAGCGCAAGTCCACAGAAGAACAGGTAGAGTCCGCAATCCAAGCGATTGCGAACACTACTAAGACCGCGAAGGACGTGAAATCAATGCTTCCGCCTCCCGCAACTCCAAAGAGCAAGCGTAGAAAAGTGGCCCAAGATGCCGACGTCAAGCCACCACCTTTCACGCCTACCCCTTCAGCAATAGGTCTCATGACGAGCAACAGCACCCAAGGCCAGAACTACAGCACAGGCGACATCGACGACCCAGCTCCCCCTGCTACTAGGCCAATTCAAAAACACCACACAAACGCAACTCTAGTAACACCCGGCGGAACGCAGCTCCAACCAGCCTACTCCAACTTCGAAGAAGCCTCCCCCTCCAAACCCGGCCCCCCCAACCCCACCTCCAAAACCCTCCTAGACACAGCCTGCGCCCACCTCATCAAAATCGATTCCACCCTAACCAAAAAACTCAAACCCGTAATCGAACAACACCACTGCCACGTCTTCTCCCCCTCAGGTCTAGCCGAAAAAATCGACCCCTTCCGCAGCCTCTCAAGCGGTATAATGGCCCAACAAGTCTCCGGAGCCGCAGCCTCCTCCATCAAGAACAAATTCATCGCTCTCTTCCCTCCTGAATCCTGTCCTAATGGCTTTCCTCCACCTGCTCTTGTCGCAGCGACGGATATCGCCACGCTCCGCACCGCAGGTCTCAGTCAGCGGAAAGCGGAATATATTCAAGGGCTTGCGCAGAAATTCGATTCGGGGGAGATTACTACGCAACAGCTTATGACGGGATCGGATGAGGAGGTTATGAAGACTTTAGTCGCAGTGAGAGGTCTGGGGGCGTGGTCAGTGGAGATGTTCATGTGTTTTGGACTCAAACGGTTAGATGTGTTCAGCACGGGCGATTTGGGTGTGCAGAGGGGAATGGCGGCTTACATTGGTAAGGACGTGGGGAAACTTAAGGCTAAAGGTGGTGGGAAATGGAAGTATATGAGCGAGAAAGATATGTTGGAGCTTGCGGAGCACTTCAGGCCGTATAGGTAAGTGTCGGAATTAAGGCTGGAAAACCTCGGAGCCAGTGAGTGAATCATGCACTAATTCGATGGAACAGAAGTCTGTTCATGTGGTATATGTGGCGAATCGAAAATGTGTCGACAGCGGCGATCGAGGATAATGCCGAGGAGTAGAGAGGCTTTCACAGCTGCTGGAGGACTCAAATGGCAGACCATTACGACAACAAGATGGCATTTTCTTATACAGCTCTTGTACGAAGAAAAAGCCTTCTTGCAGTTCATTTGACACTTGCAGTACTTCAACAGCGGACTGACGTTCGTACGACAACAAGACCGCCTTTCGACATACTTCACTGCGCTGCATCACTTGATAACACGAAAGAACCTTTGAGCTTTTGTGAAAGTTTCCACGCCATATCGACGCTCTTCTAATACAATGTAAATACATATCGCAAAACATGTCCCGCAACGCGCCTCAGGCAATGCAAACAACTGCGCACGAGGACTTTTTTCCGCGCGACGTTCATCATGAAAATCTTTCTATCTGGTTCTGATTGCATTTTTTTCCACATCCTTAGAAATCCCTCTCAGCTGCCATTTGATTTAGGCGTTCGCTGGAGAGTCCTTTCCGATTGTCGGGTTGTTACCCGAGTTCATTTGCACATCCGAATCGAGAATTTCGCTGGGTTTGTCTGTGATCAAAATTGTTAGTAATCTTTCTCACAACGATCGTTGCCTTCGTGTCTCGCATCGCTACTCACCATGTCTAGCATAAAGATGATACTCCTCATCTTCATACTTTCCGACCTTTCCTTCCTCAACCTCCTTCCTTGTCAAGACCTGCTTAGACTTTGGCAGACCCATAGAGACCAAGAATGACATAGTATCCTTCCATTCTCGCTCTCTTCTTGTCTTGTTCCACTTGAGCTCTTCGCCCATAATGTCGATGACTTGTGGTAGAGCCTCGACGGCAGCTTGTGCGTTGAGGAAAGCCAATCTCGTTCGTCGTGCGAGCACATCGACGGCGGATTGGGCGTACTCGTGGCGTACGGCGTAACGAATTTCGCCATCGACGTATGGGTATAGCTCAGAGATGCGGGTACCTCGGACAGGGAAGCGGTTCTCGGTAGGGGCGCAGAGGGCAGCGACGGTCCAGGCTCTGTCACCGTAGTCGATGCACAAGTGCTTGGCGACTTCAGTCTCGAGGCCGTAGTGCTGAATGACGTTGATGAAGAGAGTCTTGGAGAAGCCGTGAGCACCAATCAAGCGAAGAGCGTGCGTTTTGCAACCTCCATCAAGTTCGAGGTTCTCATGGAAGCCTTCCACGCCAGAGACCAGAGGCGGGTTGGCAACGCCCTTTGGCTTGAGGCCGAATTGCGTGATGGCTTCATCGACAGCCTCCTCAGCCATTTGACGGTACGTGGTCCATTTGCCACCAGAGATGGTAAGCAAGCCAGATTCAGAAGTAGTGACCAGATGGTTGCGGACAAGACCCTCAGACTTGGCCTTGTTGGGATCGCGGACGAGTGGACGAATACCAGACCAGGCGGCAAGAACATCACCGCGGCGAACATTGATCTCAGGCTGCAGGTAGTTCTGGACTTCCTTCAAGATCCAGTCGATCTCATTCTCCTGTGCAACTGGGTTGGGCTCGATTGGGCAAGGCGCATCGGTGGTACCGGCAATAGTGTTTCCTTGCCATGGCAAGAAGAAGATCACACGGCCGTCAGAGGTGCGAGGATCGATGAGACCCATATTTGAAGGCGAGTAGTATCCGGGCAGAATGACGTGAACACCAGAGCTTGGAGCAACGATTTCAGGAACTTGCTGGTCGTCCATCTTGCGAAGAGAATCGGTGAAGGGACCAGTAGCGTTGATGACGCCCTTTGCCTTGATCGAGAATTCCTCTGGAGTCTTGCCATCCTTGTCCTGAACGAGATCCTTGACTCTTGCGCCACAAAGCTTGCCATTGGCATCCTTTTCGAGGCCAGTGACCTCCATGTGGTTCACAAGAGTAGCTCCGTACAGGGCAGCAGTCATAGCCAGCGAGATGTTCATGCGAGAATCGTTGTGTGCGCCATCGTAGTAGACCAGAGCACCCCAGAGGTTCTCCCTCTTAAGCATGGGGAAAGCGTCGAGCGCCTTACTCTTGGTCAAGAAGTACGAGGTTTCAATGTTTTCGGAGCCAGCGAGGAAATCGTAGAACTTGGTTCCAGCCCAGAAGTACGGTGCTTGCCACCACTTGTTGACGGGAATCATGATCGGGAGCCATTGCGACAGATGAGGAGCAGTGTCGAGGAAGTATCTTCGCTCGCGGAGAGCTTCCTTGACCAGTTTGTATTGATTGTAGTCCAGTTCGAAGACAGCCTTTTCGAGATACCGCACACCTCCGTGGACAAGCTTGGTACTCTTACTGCTTGTCCCCGCAGCGAAATCATCCTTTTCGACCAGCGCGACCTTCAGTCCTCGGGAGGCAGCATCCAGCGCGATACCAGTTCCAGTAGCACCGCCCCCGACGACCAGAAGATCATACTCTGAGCCGCCTTCGCTGTTTGTCTGCAGCTCTTGCCCCAAAGCTTCCTTGACCTTGTTCTTGGCCTGGGTGAATGCAGCACCCGCGCTGGCTTTCAGATCATCAATCTGCTCGCTCCTGCTCTTCACACGTGGGAAGTTTGGTGGGCGGAAGACTCCTCCCTCGCCATATGTCGGTGGTGGTACAGCCGCAGCTTCTAGGCCGGGCACGTCTCGAGGTCGGTAGACGAAGTAGAGCGTGCCGGCGCCGACGGCACCAACACCGGCGGCTGCGCCAGCATAGCGCAGCAACGTGCGTCCTCGACTCCGGGCTGCCATCCTCTATGCCTCAAAGAAAGGGGAGCAGAAAGAGCGAGAGGAGTGGTATATGCGACTCGGGAAGTGGTCTGGCTCCTCCGAGCGCTCCACCGCAGTCAGCTCCACCGTTACGGCGTGATGATGAATTGGGCGACGATGATCTCTGGGGTGTCACTTCGGGATTGCTGCGGTCAATTCATTGTTGGCGGAGAAGAATGGGTGCGTGATGCAATGGGGGCGCGCGCGGTGGTCCCCCAACGACAGCAGAACAAGTTCTTTTTGCTCGTACACTGATCCTGTCTACGCGAGCCTCTCTCCCCCATTGCGCTGCTCTGCGTCACCTTGCCGATGCTGCCTTCTGCCGAGCTCCGCTGTCACATGCAAGGGTCGCACGTGCAAGACTTGAGCCTCATCAGAAATGCTGCCCGTCGTCCCAGGTCACAAGGAGTCGAAGATTCTGCTTCATCAAAGCCAAGACGTGCACTGTGTAGAGGGCAGACTGATCACTCCATGTCGGCATCATCGAGATGCAGACCCGCGCTAAGGCTTCGTCTCGCCGGATTGCCCAATCGAGTCTTTCCAGCAGCGACAGCGAGCATGGACTCCTGGACGCTGCCAACAACCTCACCTGCTGTTCTTGTGCACGCCAGCAGCCGAATAGAAGCGACTATATCAACCAGGGCACCTGCACATGTCAGCTCTGCCCGATCATGACCGGTAAGCGGATGTCTCATTTTCCGGCATGGCAGCAGCCCCCAAATTCTTGTGCGACAAACGCTTTTCCAGGGCGCATTCTGTCCAATGTATGCGATTCCTGCTCTCATCACAATCACAACCATCAATAATATCAGCATCAATATGCAATCATCAATTCTTCCGCCAAATCATTAACCCGAAGCTCCGCTCTCCGCCACCTTCACGAGAGAAAACGTGCGACCGCATCACACTTTAGTGATCAAGCTCCCAAGCCGCGAAGGAAGGCGCATACCAAGACGCTTATTAACCTCCTCTCCTCACCCCTCCCCAAATTAGCGTTCCATCCGCCCCCAGCTTCATTTCCCGGTCAACAACACCGATCAAGACTTCTGGGCATTCAATTGAGGCTTGCAGCACTGCTCCTTGGCAAAACAGTTGGCGGCATGTACACAGTGACTCGCGCGTCACACCCGCGTTCTTTGCCTCTGTGCCTCCTCCGCGGCGAACCGTGTACGAGGAGAATCCTTGCATCACGGATCACGAATCTGGAAAGCTCTGCTGCTTGCTGCTTTGCTGCGCCAGGATTATGATCTTTGAATCGCGATGTGCTGTGCGGGGAGAGCGATGCGTTTCTGCAAATGTCAGATTCGTCTTCCCTGCTGCGGTTGTCTCTGCAGACACATTCGAATGGTACCTTCATCGGTAAGCTCTTTCTTATCACTCGTCGTGTCACACAACATCGTTCGTTACCCAAGATTTTTCGCTTCGACCGATATGCTTCAAGGTTCCCCAAAATTTCATGCAGGAAACGTGCATACACTTTTTTTGTGGAGAGCTCTGAGCTCCGCAAAAGGTACCTCACATCGTGTGAAGGTCTGAACTTTGAAGATCTGGCGCGTGCCGAAGAACAAGCCGCTCGAGCTAGAACAGAGACGAAACGGAATGATGGCGAATATAGCAGAAGTAACAGCAGCAAAGAATTGAATATGATCGCTACAGGATTGTACTGCAACGAAGCGAACAAGAAGCGAAATAGAGAGGGCGTGGTAGTGAGATTTCGTAACCATACATTAAGAACTGAGCGTATCGCCTGTAGCTACGAGCTGGTCTTTTTTGTCGTCGTCCGTCGTCCAATACACGACATGCCGGTGGGCCTGTTCATCCTCCACCACACCATCGAGATATAGATACGAAATAGGTATGTCTGCGCAATGGTATTGCACATGCTGTACAGCAACATCTCATTTTTTCAAACAACAGCAACATTGTCATCCCCCTAGAACCGCGGCGAAAGCGTCTAGTATGCGAGCTGGCCACGGACGGCACCAGCAGTGGCGTTGATACCCTGTGCTGGGTCGGCAAAGTTGGTGTGGACATCAGCGTTGAATCCCTTAGGGTTGGCCTCGATTTGAGCGACGCGGAAACCAGCACCCTGGTCCTCGCCAGTGGCGTTGTTGGTGAGACCAGTGATGAATGGACCAGTCATGCAGCCGACGGAGACGCGGTAGTTCTTGCCAGCAACTGGCTGTGGGTTGGGGAATGCGATTCTTGGTGGACCAGACTGGCCGCGAGCAGACTCGTGGATGTGGGTGGCGGTGCGGGCTGGGGAGACGTACTCGCCACGGATGTTGTAGAGGCGGATGTAGTAGCAGATGGTGTCGAGCTCGCTGTTGATGCCGAGGTCGTAGAAGCCGACGGCACCTGGGAGACCGCCGGTCTTTGCGTTCATCATGTTGACGACCTCCTCTGGAACGGCCTTGACGCGGTAGGTGCTGGTGAATGGAATTGGGAAGCCCTTAGCGCCCTGGGAGGATGTTAGCCGTGTTCAATGTTTCCGATACTGAACGCTTGAATCTCACCTTGTAGTATCCATTCTTGTCGCAGTCCTTGTCGTACACTGGCTTGCTTGGGGTGCCATTGTACTTCTTGCTGGCCTCTGGGGCGGCAGCGGCAAAGCCGGCGAGGACGGATGCGCAGATCACGGAGGCCTTCATTATGAATTATGTGTGTGGTAAATCGTTTGGATGGGATGTCAACGAGTGTGTTGTTGTGAAATGCGATGCTGCTGGATGAGAGAAGTAGTAGAAGACCAGCAGACGCAAGGTACTTATGCCCGAGATTCGATCTCCTATTACGGTTGCGCCCAAAGTTACGCGGATGCGACTGGTACACGATACCCACACATGGCGCTGTGCAGGCCAAGTCTCCAAGAAACACGATGACGATCGACGCGTGCCCATGGACTGGCTACATTTGGAATTTCTGGGCACAACATCACCACCGCATGCTTGCCGCGATGGAATGCATTTGATGTGAGTCCGTCTCATGCGGAAGACTCAACACCCGGCGGGAGCCTCGACATGCCACAGAATTGGCGTCTTAGGCGCAGAGTCTGTGGCGAGACATCAGCAGAACGACGAGGATGGTCCAGTACGGCGACGTCGAAGTATGGCAGCCAGGATCGTGCCGCTCACCATGACCAGTGCCGCCCAACGCTGCCAATGCCGCCTAAGACGCTATCTGACTGGTTACAGTTTGGTGGAAAGTAGGCTTTGCTGGGACAACGACCAGATGCAGAGGCCAAGACCACCCTATAGGGTAGGCGTGATAGAATAGAGTTTGGAATGGCGTCTCAAACGGGCCTCGCGCCTTGGCCCTAAGCATTCCTCACGCTAGCGCGCGGAGTGACGATAGACCAGAGCCCAGATCGTTGCCAGTACCGTCTTGTCAGCAACGCTTGGGAGTCAGCCACTGGAACTCATGAACGCCAAGAGGATGCCATTCGATGGACCGGCAGTGCCTTGGTTGTGATCGACGACTTTGTTGATGAGAAATCGTGAGAGCTGGATGAATCTCACTTGTTATGCTCGAGATATGTCGCAAAGTCTATGCTCTGCAACGCAGTTCTGCAGCGTGAGAGTCCAGCCCAAATACGACGGTTGCCGTAATTCGCAATTTACAGGATGGAACAGCCACCGGGAGGCTGCAGAATGCAGTCCAGATGCCCGCGGAGCGTGGTTCGGATGAAATGACCGAATGTTGAGCATTAGGTGCTTGGGTGCATATACAAGCGCTGACCATTAAAGAGTAGCTTTGATAGTGGCCGGTGCTTTCGAGCATGCTCATTGAGCGCCTGTATAGAAACCCTGCTCGCCCGTCTCATCACGCGCTTGAGCGGTACCCAGGATGACCGCGCTAGTCTCAAAAGTTGGGCGAACATCGCTGCTGTCTCGCCCGATAAATTCAGCAGCCCGTCTTGCAATCGCTTCGAATCCGTTGCGACCATGTCTTGGTCGTAATACTGACATGCTCGCTAATGCATCAGAGTACATGCCAAGAGCCAAGGCCGCGATGCGATCAGAGACCACAGCTGCAGCTGCAGGGAAGAGCTATAGCTACCTGCAGGTCATCCATCTGACAAGCGCCAAGAGCCTCGAGATGTTGATGATATTCAACGACGACGTACTTCGCCTCAATGGCGCGCACTTGTGTTCATCCGCCAAGAACGATGCGAACGAGCTGGTCGGCCATTGATCGACCGAGTGTGCTGGCGGCTGCCTTCGCCTTCAGAATGCGTGCCGCTTCCTTCAGCACTCGCGCCGCAGCATCGGGGCCAGAGAGGACACCGACACCAGCAAGCTGTGGTCTGCAGCCAGTACTATGGGTGATCCAGCGCTGCGCCAATGACGACTCGAAGCCTTGATCGACGCGGATGCTTTCGCCCGGAGAAGCTCTCCGCGACTCTTCGGCACTCGCGTCACGCTCCGGAGCGACCAGTTTGACCCAGGCCCAGATGTACAACGAGGCGGCGAGGAAGGCTTGGAGGTCACATCTTGGTACGCTTCGCACAGCTCGGAAATGCGAATAGAGCCTGCCAGCATAGAGCAATGTGATCCGAGCCCGGGCCTCATCGCCGGAGAGAATGCCTGTCAGCTCATGGATCGCCTGGCTTTGAGTCTGACGTCCAGGCCTCAAGCCCGAAGCAATGCAAAGGTTGCTGAATGGTGTAAAACGAAGGATTGACATCAGGTGGAAGGAGACCTCAAAGTCGCCGCGGGGTCGCGTATGGGCATTCTCTTCGAAGCGTTCCATGTCCGCATCCAGGTATTTGTGAATCACCGAGCCATCACTGCGATCATTGGCGTTGATGCGTGGCTTGATCCATATTGCGTAAGTTTCTGTCAAACGTTTGTGAGCAACTAGCAATGTGAGTAGAACTTGTAAGAACGCTGCATCGCTGAGCTCCTTGACGACAGTCGAGGTCACAGGGCCCTGCGAGATTACGGCTGCGATGCTGGACTGAGATGTGTGATCTGGACAGTGTTAGAAGAACAGGAGTACGAATGCTGGATGACGAACATACCCTTCTCAAGCTCCTGCTGCCACTCAGCAGCTGTGGAGCACGACCAGAGGCGTTCGTGGCATGGAAAGGTACTTGTTAGCTCCCCGGTGTCCATTGTCGGGGGCATGTCGAAGGTGACGTATTGCAGACACTCAAAGTTCCAGACCGTGGCGACATATCTTCTCTCCTGTTCAAGCAAGGCCCATTGCTTCCAAGCGCTATCAAGGCTTTGGTCGGGATCGACTGCGGGCGGTTTGGCTGCCAGTTTCCGGCACGTGGTGACCAGTAGGGATCGATGATGCTGAAGGAACAGTAAATGGTCTTGTGAACCATCATACAGTAACAAGTGGGAGAATATCAAGACGCTCTGGGTAGTGGAAATGGACTCAATGTTGGGCGAGTGGGTCATCTGGACAAGTTAGTTTCACAAGAGAGAATCAAAGCGGCACAAACTTACTGTGAGAGAGATGGCACGCATCGCGAGGTGCTCAAACATTGCCATCAGCTGGATCGAGCAGAGCTCCGAGTGCTCACATCCGACAGCAGCCACGGCAAGGACTAGATGCCAATGATCCTCGGAAGGCGTGAAGGTGGCTTTGTGGAGCAGAGGCAGTTTCGCATGATGATATTCGAAGTACAACTGAACAAACGCATTCAGGGCATCGATGCTGGGTAAAGCTGCATGAGCCGGAGATCGTACTCGCTGCTCCTCGTAAAAGGCCGCGATCCTGCTATAGGTGGCTGCCGGCAACCGTGGGACGTGTCCAAAATCCTCGGCCGCGATAATGTCGGCATCACTGTGTGGTGGCACATGAAGCTGAAGCGAAGCTCGTCGGGATGAATTCACTGATGGTGGATTCGCATGAGCAGAACTCAGCCTGTGGCTGTGTGAAGTCGATGTGGCTTGCAAGTCTGACTGGTCGTTGGCCTCGATTGAAGGATATATTGAGGAACCAGGGGCACGATGTGCATTGACAGCAGCATAGACTTCCGCGATCGATGCTCTCCGTGCTTCTCTTCTGGCTTCCACGAACCGATCGTGATCGTTGTTGAACCAGGTACTGTTCCCAGTTTCGACAGGCTCGGTCTTGGTGCGCATCCTCGGACTTGCTCGTTCTTCCTGCATGCGGTTTCTTTGCGACACAGGCTCGATTGGATCGTCTCGTTCACTGCTATGTGCTGTGATGCCGGGCAGAGCTGCCTCAAGACTGTTCGTCTCTGGGACAGCAGATGTCGACCTTCGACTGCAATCCATCCCTATGATGCAGTCAGAAAATGCCCAGGCCGCGGAGCGCTGTAAGTGCCATCCAATGCGCCACACTTGCGAAAGCGATGATTTTAATCGCGCGCCCGATGCGCGCCGGATGCAACGTAGACATCGCAAACGCCTAAATTTGGACGAATTCTTCCGTACTGGCAAGCGCGAAACACACCTTTCTGCCTGCACCGCTGGCACGGGCTGTCCCCATCGCAGCGTTGCTTCGACTTGGCACACGGTCTGCATGCTTTTGCAGTGCGGGCGGCCGTCTCCGCACTAGGCAGAGTTGCACCTTGTCTGCCATGCATCGACATGTGCCGTTGCAAGGTGTCGCGACGAGGAAAGGCTTTCCAGCATAGTTGGCATTTGAATGGCTTCTCTCCCGAGTGCCGCAGCATGTGGCGCATGAGGTGCTCTCGTCTCTTGAATTGTTCCGTGCATCCTGGATGTGTGCATTTAAGCTTCGCGTCCTGTGTCGCTCCCTCCGCGGCCTCGTCAGAGGCTGGCTCGGCGTGCCGCACTTCCATTTGCTGCACCGCCAGCGCTCACGCCGCGGTTTGACCTCAAAGAGGAAGTTGTTGGAGTCGAAGTCGTTGTTGGGAAGGTGTTCGGAGGGCGCGGGGGATCGCAAACTCAAGTACGAACGCGAAAGTGCGGGGTACCGGAGGTCCTCCACAAGCCACCAAGTATGAGCCGGCGCTCATCATGCAGAGCTGGTCAGTATGTTTCGTTCATTCAGCTTGTCCTGAATCACCGGCGCATGCACCAAACGATCACATCGCCTCTTCGTCTCCCGTCGTCAAGCCAGTGTGTGTTGAAGAATCTCTTGCACTCTCTGTATCGGCTGCCCTCGAGCACTTGCAGCATCGTTGGCTGGAGCTGCTCGAACGCCACAAGATAATGGGGCCACGGTCTTTTAGCATTGTTGAGAACGTCGGGAGTTGCCATATCCAACTCAGTTGTGACAGATATACTGCTGCGGTCTTGCATGTTCTCGTCGAGCCATTTCGCAGGGTTTGCGTAGAAGACATCCGCTTCATCCAAGTAGCTTTCTCTTGCATCAAGAGGCACGTGAATAGGAGGCTCACAAGTGAGAGCCCACGCCTGAATACCAGGATACACCAAGTGGCTTCTCCACGGGGTGCTGTGACATGGCATTAAGAACCCGACCGAGACATTCGCAGCACCAGCACCCGAAGACTCGTTCCACGCTTCCTGCCGGTGACGGAGATAATGCATCACATCGACAACACCTCGCTGGTGCACGAAGCTGACGTAGAAGGCGATGAAAGCATTCATGCCGACGCCAATGACCAAGAGTGAGAGACGGGCTGTGGACCTGGTAGCGAAGATTGAGGCCAGAGGGCGAGCAGCCAAGACGTGCAGAATCGGTAGTAGCGGATAGATGAAGCGCATTTCCTTGTGCGAGATGACGGACAGTGCCGCAACAGTTGCAATGACTGTCACTGCCAGTATCGATGCCGTGCGCTTCCGAGCGATGTTCTGCGACGTACGTGAGATCTTTGCACCCCGCAAGCTGTAGTACAGTCCAGTTGCTGCAAAGGGCAATGCGGTCGTCAACAACAAAGGCAGTCCTTCTGTAAAATAGTAGTCAGGTCTGTTCTTTCCATAGAAGACAGCCAACGACTGCACGACGTTGAATTGCAAGAATCGCAACGGCGGAAAGGTCCAAGTCTCGTAGTATGTGCGATCCGCCCCAGCGAACGCAACGATGACCGCGCTGCCACATATGACAGCTGCTTGAATCAATACAGCAGCTTTCGCGATGCTGCGACTGTACCAAACCAGGCCCGCACTGATGCTCAGCCAGATGATAATGTTGGTGGGCCGCAGGTAGAACGCAGCCGCCGCAGCCGCAAGTGCCGTATACAGACTGGCGGAAGAGCTTGCACCATCTTGAGCGAGCCTCTGCTGGCCTGCCTGTCGGTCATTCGACGGCTGCAAAAACCGTCCCCATGGAAAGTAAGTCAACGAAAAGATCGTAAGCGTCGTCTCAATAGAATTCGAGAACGTCCGAACCGAGCAAAACCACTGCCACGGACTCAGTACCGTTAGCGCCAGCGCCGCGAAAGAAGCCGCATGCCCAGAGCCATAAAGTTTACAAGCCATGCGCCAGGTCGATAAATCCATTCCCGCTGCCCAGAAAGCTTGCAGCAGTCTTGGTGCTGCAAGGAGAGCGGCGGCGCGGAATTGCTCATTTGCTTGGACCAGTTCGCAGATCTGGGCGACGGCTTTGTATGCGGCTGCGAATAGATAGGGGTGCACCGAGGTGCGAAGGCCTTCTCGCCATTCCTGGACATTTGCTCGTTAGTGTGTTGCTCCTGCCTTCAAGTGAGGTTGTGGTTGTGCGAACCCATGTTATCCATGCACCGCTGTCAGGTCCGAAGGCTATTTGCCATGCTGGTTCGAGAGCTTGGAAGTATTCATCAGGCTGGAAGAAAGTCTGGACCAGTTGCGAGTTGATGATTCGGAAGATCAGGAGGGCAATGAAGACGATCGTCTTGGCTTGGAAGCTGTGCAGGCCGACTGCAGTGGCGGTGGCCATGTTGCGGACAAAACTTCTTTTCAGCCGTTTCTGATGCGGATTGCGAGGTTGACTGTCAAACCGGCATGTCAAGAGACATGGTGATATTGTGCAGGTTGATGAGACTTGTGAATGGGAGGACGCGTTTCGAGGGGTTTGACTTTACGTTGATCCGAAACCGAGGCTCCACTCTCTGCTCACAGTCGATGCACATCTCCAACCAGGATCCTTCTGAGATGCATGGAAATCGTATGCAATGGCTGCGTTGTAGCTTGAGAAGTCTGAACCATCTTTCAGATGCACAGTATCTTCAATTCATCAACATACATTACGAACTATTTCTCATGACCCTCAAACAGTCTTTGCACTCTCATGATTGAAATCCTCAACTCTTAAGCTCCTCCCGGCCTCAGCCTCCTGCTTCCAGATCCTTCTCTCCTCATCTGGATTGACACCAGGTCCATTATACACGCTTCCATATTCATTGCCCGTTGCATAGTCTTTCCCTTCACCATCCTTCGTCTTCTTCGTGTAATTTCGCTTGATCCACTTTCCGTAAACGAGCAAATTATACAACCTGAACGCCAAGAACGCGAACTTGTCTCGCTCCAAATCAGCAGGATACTCCGCTCCGAGATCCACCGCGGCAGAGATGCCAGAGATACAGGCTGTTTCGTGCGCATTTACCAGAGTCCAGGATGAAGCAAAGCGCGTGTGGCGTTTGCCCTGAAGGAACATCAAGAAGGGCACAACAAAGAGGTAATGGGTCCAAGAGTGGCAGAGTTGATGCCACCAATCTTCTCTAATGATTTTGTCTTTTTGAATTTCGTCCCTGGTCCACAGCTTGCTGTCGCGATCATTGTTCAGGAAGATGGTCTGGAAGACGTGCTTATCGAAGGGCACTTCAGGCGGGAATTGCGGCTGGTAGTTGGTGCAGTCGAAGCACATTTCGAGCTTTGTAAAGTCTTGGGGATACATTCGGATGAGATACATGGCTTTGAAGTTGTCCTTGGCCCAGTCGTTCCTTTCCTGCATGCTGACGCCGTTGATGGAAGATACGGCAAGCTCTTGGTTGTAGAAGTTCTCGTAGTGTTTCTTCATATATTCATGATCCTGGTGAGTGACTGTGATATCGTCGGCGAACTTTGCCGAGCCAAGGACTCTCGATTCGAGGCCAGTGATGGTGGGCTTAAGTAGGCGCTTCGCGGTATCAGTCAAGACGCAAAGCACGATTTCGTCGTAGTCTTCGACCGTCTCGACTTTATCTGCATCGGCATTTGATGTCTCATCGGGTGCCCAGGCAGAGTTTGGATTGTGGTTGTCTTTGGCTGGCGTCCGGCCAGTGATCTTGACTTTCACGCCGTCCTTGTTGCGCTGTGTGATCTGGGTGACTTCAGTGCTCAGGCGAATGTTGACTCCACGCTTGAGCAAGTTCTTTCGCCATGTCTCATAGAAGTCGCTCAGGTTGGGGAAGACCACCATGGGAGGAATGTTCGAAGCCACGCTGTTCTTGTCCGGAGGATACCACATGCCGTATGTCGGACTCGTGCAGAGTCGGTCGAGCATTATAGTAGGCACCTCGGGCGCATAATTGCCAGTTCCCAGAAACAGAGCTACCATAGGCAGAGCTACGGCATTTGCGAACTCGGTAGAAAACCTGAAGATCTTGACCAGAAACTTGATTGGTAGCAGCGCAAACAAGATCTCGAATGTGCGAATAATCTTGAGCATGCGGAAGAACCTGACCACTTCTGCCTTGTGCTTCTCCAACATCTTCGTGGGGTACACGTTGCTCCAGAACGTCTCGCCTTTGCCAAAGGACACTTGCAGTCCGACAGGGTCAGCCCAGTACCCATTCCTGCCGAACATGGCCATTGTATGGTGGAAAATGTACGAGCCTCCCTGCACTCCTTGGTTGAGATATGATGCACCCGTCTTTTGCTTATCCAGTGGTATCGAGAACGCCTGTCCTCCACAGTAGTTAACCGCATCGACCAGAGTTACATCGAATTTGTCTGGATGCTCGGAGAGGTGATGCGCGCAGGACATGCCTAGTCACAATTGTGAGCTATTGAGCAGCGAATCTCTGTATCTCCTCTTACCAGCAGCACCAGCTCCCACGATGAGCACCCTCTTCCTCCTCTGGCCTTCTACCTTCTGGCTCATATCGTATCGTGTCTGGGAGCCTTGAGCTTCCAACAGTGGCCTGCCGTCAGTAGGCATGTCAGGAAATGGTGAAAGAAAGGGCTACAACCAGCTCATGCCTACCTCACAGTGTGGTCAATATGGTACGCGCGAAGCTCGCGTTTGCGAACGTCATGACGGCCTGCGAATGGCTAGACCAACACAAAGACGCCCGTGGCAGCACCACAGCACGCATCATCGTTGACAGGCAGATCGGAAGATCGGCGAGATCGACGCTTTGTCTGCTTTGGGACAATCGGGGTGGTCTGAGCTGTTGTCAGCCCGGGTCCATGGGGTGCCTGAGCTTTGAGACAACGATGCTCAACAAGCCACACTTTCCTGCCGTCAGACCTCACCTCTTCATCAACCTGTCGCTCAGTGTTCACACAGCGGATCCGGTGTCTTTTCTGCTTTCCATAAGAGCTGCTCGCAAGCTGCCTCCGGCTCTTCTTGGCGGGTTCCGCCCTCTCATCCTGGAAGCTCAGGGGATCCCTCCGGCTCCGGATTATGTTCTCTTCTCATTGCTCTCCTCGCTCTGCTTCGCACCTTCTCACTCGTGATGAGTCGATGCTTCCACATGGCCAAAGTTGGAAGCAAGGAGTTTCTGCAGTCCTCTGTCCTTTCCCCAACCACCGACTTCCAAGCAATGACGCAGTGCTGAAGATCTTCTGAGGGCACAGCAAACAAAGTGCGAGAAGTCATGCGCATGACCTGCTAGCTGGCTTCCAAGACTGCAATATGGCCAATGGAGGAGCAACAAGGTTCGCATCCTTTGCACATTTCCACCATTTTGCTCCAGTATCATGCGGATTCATTGCATAAATCACCGGCGGAGCCACTGTCGCTATCCGGCTTCGACCCGATACTTCCTCCCAAAGCGCTTGGCAATGCATGTGCGAGATGACCATTGGCTACAGAGCTCTACCGGCCGACTTAGCCTCGCAAGCTTGAGCATTGTGAACAGAATGAATTGTAGGATCAAAGCGCGGCAGTGCACAGTCGAATGTATAAGAATTGGGAGAGCGCGCGCTTTGGACACCTGTGCAACTCGTGTGTAGCCACGCCTCACCATGAAACGACTGACTACCCTAGCGACCCTGCACTTGGCTGTGCTCAAAGCCACTGCTCAGCGGGTTGAGTTCGCAGAATACAGCATTTTTGGAGTTGGCGAAGCACCTGACGATGGATACGACACCTTTCTGGCCGCGTCTCAGTCGCCAATCGTCCAAAACCAAGTCTTCTTCAATCGCACAGACTTGACCGATCTGGACCAAAATTGGACCTGGAATGTTCAGATGAGTAACGTCTCCATGTCAAATGCAAGTCTCTCAAACTCGGACCCTCCACCAAACGCCCATGTCGCACTCACCACCTACAACTTCGGCTGGCCAGAGGGCGATAACATCAATAACGCAACTCGGCTCAGCACCCCATCAGTTCGTGGCGATCGTGAAGGCAATCTGCCACCAAACAGCACTGCTTGCATTTGGCTTCTGTCCGGTGCCAAATTCCCGCAAAATGTCTCCGACAAGTGGGACTCCTCTTCCTCCGACTGCACCAGTGCCCTTGGAGAGGACTGTGTCCAGGCGATTATGTCCGGATTAAAGGGTAACGACTGCGACAGCGGCGCTTTCACGAGCAATCGCACTTTCCGCGAAAGCTGTGCGAGCTCGTTCGGTGTCCTCGGCAGCTGGGGCGTCAATGCACAGCGTACGTTTGTTCACTACTGAGCTCATACCAAATCATTCCTTGTGAGGCACATCTTGTACTGACCCACCTGTAATTCAGCCTTCGGCAATTCTAGGATCCGAAATGCAACGGATGTGCTCGAGAAAGGCGAGGCCCTCGCCTGGCATCTCAGTAATCCCTATCAGGCCGACAACGATACTATCTTTGAAGAGGAGAAGTCCAGGTTGCATGTCATTGGTCTGAGTGTCTATTCCCAACTCAACACCGTGAGTTTTATTCGCCGCGAATATGTCCTATGCAATCGTGTTAGTGCCAGTGAGTCGAGCGCTACTTTGCAGAGGAGCAACATGGCTATTCTGGGCCTCACGACTGTGCTGGCTGCATTGTATCTGTCCATGTAGCCGCATAGACAAGATGAATGAAAATGGAAGATGTTTCATTCCATTCTTTGACCTAAAGCTTGAAGAGCCTTCACATTTCTTGACATTGATATTTGCAGAACAACGACGCATTCGCTCAACATGCTCAACGGGCCATCTTCAACTGAGTCGTCCAATGCCTCGCCGTCGAAAATTCAACGTGCTCTCGAGACAGATTGTGTGCTGCGATAATGACCTCTTCCAAAGTGACGCAAAACATCAAGTAAACAAGAAGAACGCTTCTGCAACATCGTCAACCCTCCTTCGGAACACTTCGCCCTCCAGAACCCATTCATCGAGCATGCACACGCTGAGCCTGAATAATCTCCGGTTCCATCGGGTTAGCTGGGTCCATCGGCAAAACCACAAGCTGCAATTTTTCAACAAAATCCTTCATCTTCTCAGCATCCCAGTCACGAATGGCTTCCTTGACTCCACGCAATTGGAGGACCCGATCTGCCTGGACGCTACCTGCGCCGCTGTCGATCGACGTATCAACATCGTCGTCGTGATAGAAGCTCAAGCTATCTGCCGCCACATGCGGTGCTGTGCCATTTTGACCTTGCCATGCAATCGTGATACCCCTGTCGCCGGCGTAGATTCTGCTGTTTGGGTAGTGGACCGAGGGAGCGAGTGGACGCTCAACTAGTTCGTAAGGCAGTGGGTGGCGAGCGCTTGTGGAGAGGACGACATACTTGGTCTCTCTGTCTTCGCCATGGACGAAGTTGGCAGTGTTCGCGGCTGTGTGTTTGGTGATGGGGAAGGCGTCGATGCCCAGGGTAGACTTGGTTATGTTAATTCTGCGGAAAGGTGTGAGTGTGACAGGGTTGCTTACGATATCCAGAAGCTCAGCTCCTGCGCTCCCAGGCCAGAATGAGAATTTGCGGTCTACTTGGTCGGCTGTGGTGCAGGCTGCCCACATGTCGTCAACGATCCGTCTTGCCTGATCGTCCGAGTCCTGGAGTATTTGGTCGACTAGCTCGGTCGGTACATTTCCAGGGACAACCTTCTTGATGATGCTGCGTTGGAACTGGGCTCTAACATATGTGCGAGCGCCCTTCAAGTAGCTCTCCTCGGTCACAAGGATGCCGTACAGGTTCACAGTCCAAACGCAGACAGCCATATTGAAGATGAAGTGATCGGTGGTATTGAACTCGACTGTTTTGCTGTCACCGCCTCCGTCTGCTTCTGTTGCGGATTGCGAATGGAGAAGCGCTGAACGGGTCGTCTTTTGTCTATCACTTGAATGTTACTGGAACGGATGGGATGATACCAAGTTGGCCATCGGATGGCGGAGCAAAATTTGGCTCCTGGACAGTCTTCTCATTCACTTCGTGTTGGCCGAAGAAGAAGCGAAGCATCCTTATTCACCCCTGACGTAAGTCTACATGCTGTTCAATTCAATTTGCATATGAACAACACAATGCATCGCTTGTCGAAAGTGCCGTTGAAAAGCTCCGGATTTTGATGCCTGGTTAACGATAAAAGCCTTGAGAAGATACAATCGCTATGAGGAGTTTACTGAGCAAACACTGTCAAACAACTACCAAGAGCCGCATATGTGTCTAGTCTCAGTCGATAACAATTCCCCTGCCCCGAATATTCAGCTCTGTACCTTCCCCTCCAATCGAGGCGGTCTCCCCATGACAATGCACATGTTCCAATAGTGCCTGTCAAAGGTCACCTTTGGCAGGCCCTTGATGAGAAGGTCCGTCGGATCTGGAGCTTCGTCGCCATCTCTTACCGGTCAACTCAGGATTATCTCCAACATGTTGCCAGGCACTGGTACTGCAGAAGTTCCGGCTCGAATGGCTCATCGGCATCGAAAGGCACCACCTCAAGGTCAAGTGCTTCAACCAGCTTCTTGATCAGACGTGCGTCCCAATTCTTGATCGCCGCCTTCACATTCTTCAATCGCAGGAGGCGACTGACGCAGATTTCCTCCTCTTCTTCTTCCTCCGACTCTAGCAAGCGAAAGAAAAAATCCGTGTGCAATTGTGGTCCTGATGTCGTGCTTGCGCGAGACGTGGCCACACAGGCTTCCGGGCCCACTTCCCAAATGCTGCCAGAAGCGGTCGGGTACCGGGTATGCGGTACAAGAGTTTGCTCTGGAAAGTTGACGGGCTGTATAGCTTGGCCTGGTATCGAGAGATGTACATAGCGAGTGATACCATCGTGGACATCGTTAGGCGTGGCGAGATTTTGGGGCGCTTTGGCGGCGACTACAGTCGCGTCCACGGCTCGCTCACCCTGTGATGTGTTAGTCGAGTCCCAATTTCTTGGTAGGCTATACGCTTACGATATGGACTCGAACTGCGCCTTGTTCATTCTTTAAGTCATCGTATGAAAACTTGCTCAATCTCTCATCATTAGAGTTGCAAGCATCCCATTTCTTGTTGATGATTGCACGGGCTTGTTCCTGGACTGCCTCGTGCATCAGTTCCAGGAGCTCGGGTGGCACCTTTTCTCCAGCGACAAGCGTAACGAGTTTGCGCTCGTGCTGTGTTTTTGAATAAGTACGAAAACCCTTGAGAAAGCTTTCCTCGGTCACCAGAATGCCGTAGAGCGTGATGGAGAGTATTCCGGTGGCAGCCATCATGAGCAGCAACAGGTTGGGTCGAGATGTTCCGAGGTTTCTATGTGAAGAGGGACACGATTCGAATGAAGTGCTGAAAGCTGCACCGTGGGTTGCTGTCATTTTTGAAGTTCTGCAATGTTGGTTCTTGTTTGATAGCAGCCGTCATTCACTGCGTGCATTCGCCTTCGTTCACTGAACCAACAGGACTTCTCACTCCGTCGCCATACTTTCTATCTTCCCGCGCATCACGCTCTTGCTATATCTCCCTTCCCTGCCTTTTCTGGTTCACTCATGGACGCGCTGGTATTGCAAGATCTCCGGCTCGAAAGGCATCCCAGCATCGAAAGGCACGACCTCAAGCTCCATAAAATTCACAAGATTCTTGATCAGCTCTCCATCCCAATTCTTGATCGCCTCCTTAATGCCGCCAAGTTGCACGAGGCGATGCGTATGCGGGTCAGAATGGCTGGTCGGAAGATCATGAGGATCTTCTAGGTACATCAGCATGTCTGTGGTGATCTCCGGGCTCGTTTGTTCGTTCTCCTGCTTGCCGACAACGAAGCTCTTTGCATTCCCCCAAAAGACGCCTTGCTGATTGGGAAACACAGGATGGAAACTAGTCGCCTGGCCAGCGAACTCTTTGGGTTCGGGATGCTTCTCTGCGGTAGACAGGTGGATGTAGTATGTGATCGGGTTGTTCGGATCGATCGGCGTAGCGGTGTTTACTGCTGTACTAAGCCCCACAGAAGTCGCGTTGATGGTGCGATCAAGCTAGATTCTGGTTAGCCTGGCCGTCTTTGGCTCGTTTCCATGACTTACGAATCTGATCGAAGCCTCCTTTGCTGTGCCAGGAAACTCGGCTTCCACAGCGAATTTGTGAAGTCTTTCGTCTCGTGTGCTGCAAGAAGCCCATTTCTCTTCAACAATTCGCCGCGTATGCTCGCCCACCTCGTCATAAATCTGGTCTGCCAACTCTGTCGGTACCTTGTCCGGAATTGCAGCGGACGCAACTCTATGCCCGAGGCTCGTTCTTTCACCCCTGCGCAGTCCTTTGAGGAAGCTGTCCTCCGTGACCAAAATCCCGTAAAGTGTGATCTGGTAAATGCCAATGATGGCGGCATGTGGGTCGTCGGCCATGGCGCCTGAGCTGAGTGATTATTTTGTATTGCCGCCGATGCAGCACTGCACCTCCAGGCGGTATCTGTATTGGCTGAGAAAGGATCGGGTGCTCAGTCGGTGGAGCCCACGTATACTTCGAAGACCTCGAGAATTTCATCATTGAATATAAGTGGTGAATGAGGTTATCAGTGAAAGCCTTCATTCACCAGTGTCCACAATTTATCTCTTGTGTCCACCCTTGTTTGCGAGTTTCGGAGGCTCAGCAAACAGGATACTTACATTGAGGGTCATGATTGCTGTTCAGCTGGACAATTCTGGGCTCGATGTCAGTCAAACTTCTTTGCTGTAGGCGGTTGCATGTCCGACCAGGCGATCCTGCACGTCTGCAGCTTGTTATATATGTCGCGTTCGACGATCCGGAGACTTTGACGAAGCACATTGGTGGCCGCTGAGGCCATCATAAGTCATTACCTTTTCCCCTCCCCAGTCTCTCCCTACACCTCCCTTCCCACCTCTGCAAACTCTCCTCCAACCTCCTCTTCTCCCTCTCCCCACCCTCAACCTCACAAACCTCTTTGACTCTCCCACACAACTCCAAGATCTCCCCATACTTTCGATCATAATACATCTCTCCCACCACATACCCCAACAGTTGAACGTCCTTCTTTCCCAAGTTCACTTTCTCCCCATGTCCCTGAGCGTCTTGACCTCTAAACTCCAACTCTGGCACAACACTCACTAAGTCCTCCAGCAGGTTCCCCTGGTGCACCTTCGCCGAATAACTCGCTTTTTGTTTCTGAAACTCTTCTTCGGATTGGAAAGTGCGGTCGACGACGCTGGGAGCATCGCCCGCTGCTGCTTCGGCATAGTCGTCTGCGTCGACGGAGATGGAGAAGAGGTCGTTGGAGTCTTCTAGGGTTTCTTGTTGGGTTGTCATTTTTTGAATTTTGAAGGGAAGGCAAGGTCCGAGTAGCTTGGTGGGCAAGGCTTGAGCAAATGGATCACGTTGGTTCTTAATGGAATTTCTCTCTATCGATGCTTGCGTTACGTGTCAAGGCTCGCGGTTTCCGCCTGTGATGTTCATTCATGGTTCTGAGTCTGGGCTTGGCGCAAACTCAGGAAGGTGAGGTCCAAGCCGAATGCGGAGAAGCCGAAACAAGCCGATCTGAAGCAACTGAGGAAGACGGGAGAAACACTACACATATCATAACATACAGGAATTCGTATCATTTCAGGGAGAAGCCCGTAGCTGAGCATACATAGAACGGAGTAGCTAAAGGAGTTTCTGTGTGTCCGCCATCTCCAACACTTCGATGTGACTTTTGCGCCGAACGCACAGCCTCGCTTGCTTCGTCAAGATATTAAACCTCTCGCAGCGTCTGCGCTACATTCTCCATCTACTGGAGGCGAGAGTCCAATGGGTTGGTGCGGGTTCCCCAGTAGGTGAGGAAGAGCGAGAGACCGACAGTCTCGAAGACGCGGGCGAGAGCTCCAACGGCGACGGTGTCGAGTGGGCGCTTCTCAGTGGCGATTTGTGCGATGAACTGCGAGCACGTTAGATGATTGCGGTACTGAGGGTGAATGAATTTGATGACTTACCGATGGGGCAGACGAAGCGAAGAAGATCAGACCGCCGAGGTAAGCAGCTCCCTTGTAGGACAGAGTACCGGTAGCGTTGATGAGAGCACCAACACCATATGACTGGATGGCAGAGCCGACGAGCGAAGTTCCCCAGGCGGCGCCAGCAGATGCGGCCTCCTTTGACTTGAAGAACTCCTCAGAGCTGTTGGCGGCTTGTGCCTTGCGGTAGGTCTCGCCGAAGACTGGGCCGAGGATGGCGAGCGATGCGACGTGGTTGAAGACGGTGCCGAGGGCGATAGCCGATGGCTTGACTGGTGGGAGGTCTGCGAAGAGATGTGTGTTAGTGATGTGCGACGGATGGTATTCTGCTCAGACCGCCAAACAAACAAAGGTGTTTGAGAGCTGGCGAGGAAGCAGGGCACGGGAGTGACGTACAGTGCAGAGTGGCCATTGTGGAGGTGGTGTGTGGTATGGAGTTGTTTGGGTGGTGTGATGAGGTTGATTGAAGTGTTTCGGTGGGTTGGATGGATTGTTATTGGGGAGAGGGAGAGAAGATGAAGCAAGCAGGCGGTGGTGCAAGTGATGGCGGATGGGCGAGCTCTGGCTGGGCGGCGCGACGTCACCATCACGATCACGATTGTCGCTGTCGCTATGGAAAGCCACGCGATCAAAGCCACAATCTGGTCCGCGCGCTGCCTCCGCCACCCATTTCACTCGTCCTGTGCCGAAGCCAATGATGGTACGATCTCCATTCTCTCCACCGCTCCACTGCAATTATCCTGATTTGCACGTCGTGTCTTGCTGAAGACGACATGGCGTGCACGTCTCGCGTTCGCAGCAAGGTGCCGTGGAGCTCTGCCCGCCTACCCCTGCAAAAGTCGTCATAGCTCTCCACGCCGGGCTCAAGACCGCAAACAGCCAGAGCATGATGAGAGGCGTGATGTAAAATGGAGCAGGACGTGAAGATGTTGTTCATTATAGTCCCAGGGAGGAGACTCTCTACTTCAATCGTACTTGATGAACCCAAGCCACGCCGAATTAGCACTTCCAAGCGCCTTCTGCATAGGCTTCAAGACATCCTCCACTTGTTCCCACGACATATTATGGTCTCGTCCCATCCTACAAACCATATCAAACATCGCCGCAGCAGTATTCGAAAAGGCTGCGGGATACTCCTTCTCCACGTTCGGAAGCCCAAGACACTTCCGATGATAATATTTCTCCAACCAGAACATCAGATTTGGCCAAAGTTGCCTTTCCTTGGGCACGAAAATTCTCTGTCCTGGACCAGAATGCGGATCTCGAAAATCTTCGGGGATCTGGAGAAGTGGTTCATATATGAGGTTTAATCTTACGTTGGCTATGAGGCGCCGGGAGAGCGAGGCTTGGCACCAGGCAATGTATGTGCTTGCATCCAAGTTCTGTATCTCGAATATGAATTTATTCTGTTTGTAGTAGACCGATGAGGCTTCTGCTCGGATTTGACGATTTACGAAGAGGAGAGGGGGTTCAGAGGGACGATTTGCGGATGTGAAGGTGAATTCCCAGGCGTCTGGCGCCAGCGGAGTCGCTAGGCGGTAGATCTCGTCGCGCAACTCAGCGGGCAGACGGAGTAGCGAAGGTATGCTATCAGACCCTGCCACTCCAGATGCCATACTGTTCTCGAGTGGTGAAATGTACGAGTGTGGTGAGCGAGTCATGAAGACACGGCACAGCGAAAGGCGTTTGTTGGCTCGGAGACAAATCCACCGCGGGATCCCAGCTTGTTTACGTCTTCCCGTCTCGGCAGGAGGATGCGTGCAAGCCCTCGAATCTTGAAATCAATCGCGTTGTTACTCCTCCATTTCCCACAAAGCTATTGTACATCTTAACGACTTGACGACATCCACGGCCTCTACGCGACTCGAGCACAGATCCCAGCAGGCATCAGCACACGATTACTGATACCGCAGTATCGATTCGTTCTCATGAGTTAGAACGCAACCCTTCTTCAACCACCGCAACGATGGGCGGCCGTTATAGATCCCTTAGTGGGCGATACGTCGAACCCGAAAAGACGGAAAAGCCGCGCAAATCTTTCGACTCAGCTATCTCAGACGATGATTACCTCGCCAGCAGTAATGCGCCCATGTTGGGCAAGCATAAATCCAAACCCACATACGCCTACCACCTTCCCCGAAGGCGCTTTACCCGCTACTTTACTCTTGCCATCACCAGTCTGCTCGGGTTATTCGTGTGGTGGCTTGTAAGCTCTTCATACGCTGCACGAGCAGAAGTCGAGCTCGGGCTGCGAAAACCTCCGCCACCACCTGCATTCGAGGGCTTCCCGTTCCTCAAGAGATATCATGGCGGGATAAGGAGCTTGGTGTCGCGAGCAGAGAACGAGGCGTTCAAGGAGTATCCTGTGAGCGAAGATGAGGAGTTGAAGAGGTTGCAGGAAGCGGCGTTGAAGCAGAAGGAGCTTGAGGACAAGGAAGTGGAGAGGAAGAAGGGTTTCAACAAGAGAGAGATCAAGCAAGGTCGACGATTCGACCCTTATTCGAGGGCTGTGGGGAGAGGCATACATGAAGAGCCGGTGAAGTGCTATATCGATAATACTACACGAACGACGGTGCCATTGCTTTTGAGCTACGAGGGCGTTCCGAAAGGTTTCCCAGATCCGATTTACGGAAGCTATGAATTGCTGGGGCTTAGATCCGACGTGTGCTTTGAGAGATACGGGAGACTTGGGCCATATGGCTACGGCTACAGCAAGAAATTTGGAGGAAGCGGTGCGGGTATGGAGGGCGAGAAGGAAGGATCTGAGCAGGTTTGGGGAGACGAGCTGGAGATCGATTATCGAAATGTGAAATGGGCAGAGGTGCAAGAGAGGTGTCTTCAGGCGAACGCACATCGATACAGAACTGCATCCAAAGCTGGACGTGACTCCTTCACTCAGATGAGTGTGGGTGATGCGCAACGACCCAATCCAACGCAAGAGCAGAAGACTCTCACAGTAAACGGGAAACAATTCGAGAATCGAACTGCCTTCATTATCAGAACATGGTGGGACTACCAGTACGATGATGAGGACCTTTTCTACCTCCGAGCGCTAATCAACGAGCTGTCCATTCAGACTGGAGGCGAATACACAGTACATTTCTTGATTCATGTCAAGGACGACAACATGCAAATCTGGTCTGATGAAGAGACATACCAAAGAGTACTGCGCGAATCTCTTCCTGCGGAATTCCAAGGCATGGGCACACTTTGGTCAGAACGCCAGATGGGTCTCATCTACGGCGGTCTACACGAATCTTTCTATCGCGACTTGCCAGTTCACGGCGCATATCGAAGCACGTATATGCCTGTACAGTATTTTGCACATATGCATCCCGAGTACGAATTCTTCTGGCATTGGGAAATGGATGTACGATACACGGGTAACTTCTTCCACCTTTTCAAGCAGGTCTCTGAATGGGCGAAGAAGCAGCCTCGGAAGGGATTGTGGGAACGAAATGGGAGGTTCTATGTTCCGTCTGAGCACGGCAGCTGGGAAGACTTCCGCCACATGGTACGCGTGCAGATTGAGCATGGCACGGCGCATGGAAGTGGGGCATACAATAAAGCGCCAAAGGACGCAGCGAAAGCCCATCCTCTCGATGAAGCTGCGAGACAGCCTGAAGCGCCGGTTTGGGGACCTTTGCCACCGACTGGGGAGGGTGACGAGACTGACCGCCCGGAGCTTGATCCAAAGCCACCGACCACTTACGATGCCGACAAGTACGAATGGGGCGTTGAAGAAGAAGCAGATTTCATCACGTTCAACCCTCTGTTCGATCCTCACCAAACGAACTGGATCCTTGCGGAAGATACCACTGGATACAACACGACTGAAGGACAGCCGCCTCGAAGAACCGCGATCATTACAGCTAGCCGACTGAGCAAAAGACTGCTCGAGACGATGCATCGCGAAACGTCTTTGAAGCGACACTCCATGTTCTCTGAAATGTGGCCTGGCAGTGTCGCCTTGCACCACGGCTACAAAGCCGTCTACGCACCTCATCCAGTGTACATCGATCGTGCTTGGCCAACGAGCTATCTTACAGCCATCTTCAACAACGGACGAAACGGCGCCAGCGGAGGTGCAAGGACTTCCGTCTTCAGCGACGAACGACAAATCAACTTCCTTGGAACAACCTGGTACTATCACGCGGGGCATGCGCCGAATCTTTGGAAGAGGTGGCTTGGCTTCAAAGTTGATAATGATGGAGGTGAAGAGTGGGAGAAGGCGAATGAGGGGCGGATGTGTTTGCCGCCCATGTTGCTGCATCCTGTCAAGGATGTGAATTTGATATATGAACATCGTGAAGGCGAGTAATTCTTGCTGTGGATTGCAAGCGATCACAGATTTGCATAGCGAGGTGTTCTTGGGAGATGGCGGTGCTGTCGCCGGCCCTTTTTGGATAGCATGAATGCAGACGGGATATACCTGTTGGATGCCAGAGAGTTGACATTGCTCGAACTGGTGCATTTAGGTGTATATACGACTGTAACATTGTACGACCTGTTTATCCTTCGTTCGCGAGGGCTTGAAACATGCTCAAGTTGGGTTGTGGCTCGGACAATGGTTGAGATGAGACTTGCTCCTTCTCGCTGAGCGAAGATCGGCGCTTTGTTGTTGGACGTACCACACTTTGAGCAACGCATGGCTGAGACTAGGCTCTGCGTACCTTACATCCACGCAGGTACAATGTCTGAAACAGATGATGAGCGAGCCATGGCAGGATCGCGCTTGTCTCTCGTGGCCGTCACGAGCTGGGATTGTCGGCAATATGGTGACGTTGGCTAGGGAAGGAGCGATCGGTATATCAGAAGCGACGACCACTGCTGGTGGCTCGAGCATGCCACTCATGATGGACAGTACAGAACTTACAATGAACCATCACAGCACCAACACCGCAAACACTAGCGCCTCAGCCATTGGACGCGAAGACACAGCAGCCATCTTCTGCCACGAGCAATTCGCTGACCTCGACGCCGAGCAATTCCCACGTCTCCCATCAGCAACATACACCCCTCGCCCAAGCAAGAGCTTCGAATCCACCATCGAAGGTCTCGGCTGGGACTCCAGCGCTTTCAAACCTACAATTTTCGTCCGTCTCGCTTGGGCACTTCTCCAAGCCAAGTACACGAATAATCAAGATGTCCTCTTCGGAGCAGCAACTGGTATCAATGGAACGGCGTATCCGAACAGAGTACGATTGGACTACAATGAGACCGTCGAGCAAGCATTGCAAGCTCTGCAATCACAAAGCGAGAGTCTAGCGGCAGCGGTTTCTACCACTGATAGCAAAGACTTGAGCTCTAGACAAGCTGCATTAGATTGCGAATGCGACTATCAAACGATGCTAGTTTTGACATCTTCTTCTACGCCTTCTGTGGAGATTGCTCCGCAAATGAGAGAAAGAAGAAGGCAGTCCCTCATCGACCTTTACGCTTTGACCCTGGAATGTACAGTCTCGATCACGGGGCTCTGGATCCGATTCGTGTTTGATCCGGCTGTGCTGAGTAGTCGGCAAATTGAGCGTATGAGTGCACAGCTGAGACATGTGCTCAGTCAGATTTTGATGCAGCCGCAGTCGAAGGTTGGAGAGATTGGTATTGCTTGTGAGGATGATTTGAGGGACATTGAGGAGTGGAATTCGAGCTCGTTGAGTTCGGAGGGCACGAGCAAGACTGTCGTGGAGTTGTTGAAGAAGGCTACTGATCGGGAGGCGTTGGCTGTCGATGCGTGGGATGGCAAGTTCACCTATGCGCAACTGGATGACTTTTCGACGAGACTTGCTTTCCATCTCGCGGAGATGGGGGTTGGTAAAGGTGCCATTGTGCCAGTATGTTTGGAGAAGTCGAAGTGGATGAGTGTGGCGATTCTGGGTGTCATCAAGAGCGGCGCGGCGACTCTCTGCCTCAATGCGAACCATCCTGCTGGATATCTATGCAAGATCATGTCTGGCCGATCCCAGATCTCAGCGTTGGTGTGCTCGGACAGCACAAGAGATTTGACAAGCCAGATTGCAGACGGTCGGTCTGTAGTTGTCTTGGGAGACAACTTCTTCGCCACACTGCACATCGAGCCCGTGGAACCTCTGCCTGCGATTGAACCCGAGGATATGCTATGCGTTCTTCCGACAACTGGCAATTCGCTCGCCGTCCTGACACACGCCAATTTCGCTGTGGGCATCATCAACCAGAGCAAGATCTGCTCCATCACCTCCAAGTCTCGGCTGTACGACCTTCACTCCTACAACTCATCTCTCGCCTACCTGAACAACCTCCTGGCCTTCACAAACGGCTCTTGCCTCTGCGTTCCCTCCGACCCGCAACGAAAACAGTCTTTGGCAGATTCGCTTGCCGAATATCAAGCTTCGATCCTCATCACCACGGCCGCATCAGCACAGCATATCGACTTCACAACAGCTGTAGACCTCGAGACTGTGGTCGTCAGTGGAGAATTCACGCCGAAGCTGGAACTTCCGCCACATGTGAAGCTGATTAGTGTTTATGGCGCGCCTGAGTGTAGTATCATGGCTATGTGCGCCACTGAGGATCAAATGTTAGATCGAGAAGGCTCTCTAGGCAGAGGAATGGGAAGCAAAACTTGGATTGTGTCTACTTCGAATTCTGGAACGCTTTGTGGCGTTGGTGAAGTCGGAGAGCTCTGGCTTGAGGGTCCACTTGTCGGCGCAGGCTACTTGAAGGATGCTGGAAAGTCCCGTGAGTCTTTCATGGACAATGTTGCGTTCTCCATCAAAGATGGTGGGTCTGCTCCATCAGGGAGAATCTTCAAGACTGGCGATCTGGTGCGATATATGTCCGATGGCTCGATCGTCTTCGTCGGTCACCGAGAGGCACACGTCAAGAAGGTTCGCGGAAAACGTATCGATTTGACCGAGATCGAGGGTCACATGAAAGAGCTTCTAGGCGAACAGGTTATGGACGTGGTCGCTGAAGTCATCGCAGCTCAAGGACAACCCGAGCCGGTGCTCGCTGCTTTCATTGTCCCTGCTGGCGATTCAGTTCTCGATTCATCCCAGCTCAGACAATCTGTGGCACAGCTAGCAGAAGAGCTCGCGACAGTTTTGAAGCAGCAGCTACCTTCAAATATGGTTCCCATTGTCTTCCTGGCTCTGCGGAGCGTTCCAATGGACAAAAATGGCAGAGTAGACCGGAAGAAGTTACGAGAGACTGCAGAGCGCAAATCACAAGATCCTGAGAACCGGACAGCAGTCCATGCCATCCGCCCAGCCCAAGCAATGACGGTGCTCGAAGTCCAACTGCAACAGCTTTGGGCACAAGTCCTCGGCATCAAAGACCGATCGAGCATCACCGCTAATTCTGACTGGATCACTCTTGGCGGAGATGAGACTTCTGCCTCCAAGCTTGTCGCTGCAGCCCAGAACTGGGGACTTGCCGTATCCGTTGCGGATGTGCTTGCTCGCACTCGTCTGGCAGACTTGGCTGAATGTGTCAAACATTTCCATCGCGCTTCTGTGGTTGCACCTGAAGGCATGGATCAACCTTCATGGTCTGATATGCGAAGAGGTACATTCCAGTCGAGCTTTGCTTCCGACAAATCTGGATTTGGGGGTTCGAATGGCGTCCGAAACAACAGTGCTGTGACGAAGAACTCTATGGATAGACGTCGATCAAGCATCTTGGTCAATGGGAAGGAGGAGACACCGCCAGCTCCAATGGTTTTACTGCCTCTGACGTCGATGCAGAAGAGACTGCTACAGGGTTCGATCGGTGGCCATCATGCTCCTGCTGGGGCAGAATACTATGCTCTCGATCTACCATCGAGACTGGAGCCGTCCAAAGTCATTGAGGGTTGTCGAAAGCTCGTGGAGCACTTCGATGTGCTTCGCACAGTCTTTGTACAGGTCGAGAACTCTGTCTTCCAAACCGTCCTGCCCGCTGTGGACGTGCCGATCGAGGTACACCAGATGGACAATGGCCTCGATGAAGCTTCCGATGCCTTCATACGGAAGGATGCCAATATTCCATTAACACTGGGGCGCAGTCTGCTGCGCATGTATGTCTTGCACAAGAGTGGAGAATATATGCGCATAATCTTACGCAGCAACCAAGCCTACACAGACGGACAGAGCATTGCCACCCTCGGACTTGCGTTGGCCGATGTGCTTAGCGGCAAAGAACTGAGAGCTGGTCCAACCTTTCACGATTTCATACAGCACGTGAAAAACGAATCGAACAAGAGTCGATCGTACTGGCGGAATCTACTACTCGGTGCCTCCATGACTTTCGTTCCCAAAGCACCATCCTCGTCAGTGGCATCTAAAGATATCAAGACACTGTCCGCAACCAGCATCATGCAGCTTCCCAGCATAGCCTCCTCCACGCCTTCCACAGTCTTCACGGCAGCTTGTGCAGTCCTTCTCGGACGACTCACATCAAACGCCAAGGAAGTACTCTTTGGCCGTCATATCGTAATGCGCAACTCGTCGACCTCCTCTCATCAACAGAGTTCTCTCACAGTCGTTCCATGCACGAACCTGGTCCCCGTCCGCGTGCGTCTCGAACCAAAGACTTCGATTCTCAAACAAATCGCAGAGCAATTCGTCGCAGGAATGGAATATGAGAATGTCGCATTTGAGGATGTCGGCAACGATCGATGTTTGACACTTCTAGGAGATGAAGGACAGGAGATTGGAGTGGATTTCGGTATGGTGAGCGAGTTTCACTCTGCTCAGGAGAGATTTATCGGAGGAAGAGATGGAGTGAAGTGGTTGGGTAAGAGGGAGAATGAAGTATTGAGGAGTAATGCCGTGATTGTGGAGGGATGTGAGCTGGGCAACGGAAGAGTAAAGGTTGAGATCAGGGCGAAAACGAATGTTCAGTCCCAAGAGAGGTTGGCAGAGATGATGGGATTGATGGAGGAGGCTGTCAGAGAGTTGGGTAAAGAGGGAAGGGGAAAGAGAGGGTTTGAGGATTAGTTTTGAGTCGACACAATGATTGCAATTATGGCGCTGTCTTATACAGCCACTTCAATATCCACGCTATCGCGATTCTTCTCGCACGGCATTATTGTATCTCTCTACGAGCCGACACTAGAACTCGAAAACACATCGACAAACCTTCTATATCAGCCACTGTCTTCGGACGAGACCAGTGATTATCCTTTGCTTTGGAGCACCCATATCAACACTTGAGACCTTCAGAGCAAGTCCACAGCAACCCTCAATCGCCGAGCCCTTCTGCATAGACGCCAACAGCATCAGGCAGAGTTTTGATGCACAGCCGCACTACCTATGCCATCTCCATCAGACAAACACTCCGCTTACGTCTCCCAACTTGAAATCCAACAAGCCAAACCTCCCTAGTCCCGCTTATTAGCTCAGCAGCTCACGTCCCTTCAAACATACTTATCAAAGTACATCGGTACCTCCCTACCGCACAGCCTACTGTAGACAAACTTCACACCACATCTTCTGCCTCCTGCAATCCCTACCAGAAAACCTAAGCCTGACTCGCGAACTCAGTTTCCAAAGTCCTTGATCCCAGTCAACCATCTTCATCCGCACGTGGCGAACAACATGCTCTGCAGGAGGGGGCCTGAGTCATGTCATGGCGGACATTCGGGTCCAGCAGAGAATGTCACATGCGAGATACCTGTGGTTTTTGCTGACAGCAGCGGAGATAAGAGGTTAGGAATAGGGGAGATGATGGAAAAGACCTGGCTCTCGCAGTTTCGTGCATGAGTCTGGCTTGTAAGATCGGAGAATTTTTCGGTTGAGGTCGAAGTCAAGTGGAAAAGTATTTCCAGTGTGACACGAGATGAACTCAGATTCAGGGCGAGCGACAGCATGATAGCGTGCCCGGCGAAACGTGAAGAGCCATCATTCAACAGGCGTAAAACCTGCGGACCAGACGCGTTTACGCACAAGAATTGAGATCTTTTCAATTCGTGTCATGTCCTGCCATGGGACTTCTAACTCGCTCGCGGACCTGTACTCTTCTCTACACTTGTACGCCGCGAAAGCGCGGATATTGATTTCCAGTGATTATCGATTCCAGCCTCGAGACTTCGCCACCACCAAGCACGAAGCCTATCATGAAACCCAGATTGCAGGACTAGCATTGCTCAAATTAGAGACTTACGCCAAGAGATTTCTTCACAACGTCTCATGAAACTCAACTACTCCTTGCTCGCGGCCAAAAAAAAATTGTACCTCCTAGAGGAAGTCAAACTTCATGATGATGAGTGAACAAGCGTCACGATGATGGAATTGACATTGTGCTCTCGACATTCCTAGTCCGTGTCGTTATGGTTCACTTGCTTCTGGTGAGCTTTGCTGTGCACTCCAATAACCATCCGCTTTGTCTCCGCAATCATTCGAGATCGTTGTCGGGGGTGGACATCTGCTAAATCCAAAGAAAGGGCGAAAGTAGAACGTGTGGTCTGATATCCTGCGCGGCCGGCGGACAGGAAAGGCGCAACGGTCGGGTCACAGCAGTTCCATTGAACTGCGGCTGCTCTGGCGCGGTCCGAAACGTTTCTGCGTGAGCAACGAGCGGAGCGGAGCGGGCAACGATGCTTGTAGGCCGCTATTGAATCTTGGGCCAGTACATGTATACATGACCAGGTACGATTCTGCGAATGAGGATTGAATGTGCAGTGAAGACCTTGACATGTACTTTTCTCATGTCAGCATTAAAGACTTCCATTTTGTCGAGAGCAATCTCTCGGAAGACTGTGAAACAAACCATGTCAGTCTGACTGGTAGACCAACCCGCAATGCCTTGTGGTATCAGCAGAAGTCAGATATAGCTGGCAAGCAGATCTCAAACCTCTGCTTGGCAAAGTCGACAAAGCCACGATCTTCACTCCTTGCGATAATCCGTGCGCGCGTATCGCTACGTCAACCAGGCCAGCATGCAGGCCTGTCATCCGATGTACTCAAGAGCACGTTTCTTGCAAGGATACAAGGAAAGGGTCGCCTGTTGTCAGATGTGGAGGAGTCGGAAAGTCAATTCTTCGAGAGTTCGGATCCTGAACATGCAACGGGACCGAGCAGAAAATGTGGTCTGAGGTTCCTGCGATCCCTTCCGCGCGCGATGATAGCATAGGGGCGGTGAGATCTTAGTTGGAAAGTGATGATGTGTACCGATGGACGAGTAGTGAAGTCGTCAGCGCCGAGTCTTAGTCGTTCTGATTTCGGTGAGCGGCGAGCTGAGTAGAGCACAAGAAGTCGGACCGCAAAGGACTTACTGTTGTCTTTTGCAATTCTCATACTAGAAAATCTGATGTCACTGAGCACAGTAGATACTATGCTCGTAGTCATCGTTCCAATGCCGAGGGAGCATTCCAAACAGCCATGGGGTTTCTCCCACGAGACTTCTCCGAATCACTCAACCAACGCAACACGTTGAGCCACATGCAATCGCAATCCCGGACTCCTGAGCTCGTAAGTTAAGATTCGTCCTTTTCTGACTTCGTCATCTAAAGCATGCTTCCACGTGACGATGGCGGTGAAGTTAGAAGTTAGAAAGAAGCTGCCTGTTCGGCAGAGCATTGGCCCAAAGCAGGAGCCCAAATTACAAACAAGGAAGGGACACGAGTACACAAACTCTATGCAGAGAGTTGTTCAGGAACTTTGACTGCCCCTTACGGATGATCGGATAGTCGTTTGTAATGGTACTTCAATACCAAAGAGTTCCGATCGGCTCGTGCAAACCGCGGGCCCGGAGCGTACCTGGATGATTCGGAGGCAAGAGTGATATTCGGATACGTTCACTTCGGCGCGCCATAGGAAGAAGGTCGTGTGTACTGGTACGCAGGCAATGTGTCCACGTCAAGCAGCCCGTGCCACCAAGTCTGCGACAACAAGAGTCAGAACTTGCTTGCGGCCGCGATGGACTTCGTGCCCCGGCAGGTGACGACGTGTCCGATGGGATAACTCGGGGTCTCAGGAAGAACGTCGTATATATTGGTACACTGTCATTCCATCCGAGTCAACAAGTCCGCGGCAACCTGAGTCAGAACTTGGCGCGGCCGCAATGCTTCGTTGTCGTGCGTCCTGACAGGCACGAAGGAGTCGACGAAGGCAGCGCGAGGCGCCTACAGTTCAAGGTCGTTCTCATACCCCGGGTATCATATCCTACATGCAGTACTGTCCATCCAAGAGTTCAGTTCTATCCTCTTGCAACCCTTCATCGTGATAATCATGCAATCCTTCGACATTCCCCTTCCACTACTGCTGCCCAGCACCGACAATGCCATCTTTACAAAGTACAGCCACCTGTTTGAACAGTCTTCTCCAGCCTAGGGGATCACCCTTCAGCTTAAGGAATCTCGTCTCCAGGACTTCCACAGCGCCAGCTCCAGTTGCCGTTCCACCAACACGGATCCTCTCTACAACGACTTGTCCTTGAATCGGCATCTTATTCGCATCCAGTGTCTTGACCCATATGCTGACCATGTCCTCCTTGCCCTCCATTGCAGAGGCAGCAGGAGGTGCAACAGGGATGTTCAGCCGATGAAGGGCATCCAGTATCATGGGCAGGAGCTGACCGAATGAGAGCACAGAAATAAAGCGTGCGAGAGAGTGCGACGGCACAATATCCTTGAATTGCCGGGCAGCTTGCGTGAGAGTCAGAGGGACGGAGGGAGTTGCGGAGAATTGACTCATCGAGGGGTCCTCGGAGAACAAGTCGTGAAGGTCTGTAGGCATCACCTGCCCATTTCGTGCCGCAATCGAAGTATGCGCTGCCACAGCTGCAGTCCGGTCGTGGTTCGTCTGTGGTTGTGAAGCCGAGATTCCATTTCCAGCGCCCACTCGCGGCGGAGCTTCCCAGTCATAGGCGGAGGCATCGCCCAAAGGCGTCTCTGGCTGTGTCGAAGCGAATTGGGCCCATCTCGGGTCCTGTCTGCTGTCGACATCCATGGCATCTCCTTGACTTGCCGCAGTCTGCCCTCCAGTACCAGGCCTCCTCCGCTGACTGCTCTGCACGTCGGCTGAGAAGTCCACCTTCAATGACTCCATCATCTGGGTGGCCAAACCAATCGGATCCTTCGCTCTTCCCTTCGAGTTCAAGTGGTGATTACTCCTCGTAAACCAAGGATGCTTCCTCACCGACTCCAACGAGAACCTCCCCTCGGGCTCAATGTTCAACATGCCCCGTACCAAACTCAATGCCTCCGGAGGGACGTTCCCCCATAGTTCATCCGTGGTCCTTCCTTTTGTCGTAACATATTCGTGATATTCGTAACTGTCCTCCATGACAGGGCTGTCCCAAGGCGTATTGCCCACCAATAAGACAAACAGCACGATGGCACAAGACCACACATCTGCAACAGCAGGGTCGTATCCCACCTTATCCTCTTCCCGGTTCTTTCTCTTCTGATTTTGTTTTCCCACATCGATGATCTCCGGTGCAATATACGGCGGACTCCCACACACCATCCCGCAAGTCTTCCGTTTCCCACTCTTGAGTTCCAGAAACTGCGTCGCGAGTCCAAAATCCGCGAGTTTGAGATCACCTTCTCCGCTCAAAAGCATGTTCTCGGGCTTGATGTCTCGATGCGCGACGCCTTTTCCGTGACACCATGCAATCGCAGATATGAGTTGAGTAAAGTAGAAATGCGCCACGTCTTCGCCTACTCCTGCGTCGGCTTCAATCTTGTCGAATAGGTCGCCGCCTTCGGCGAGCTCGAGTGCCAGCCAGACCCAAGCGGGATCTTCGCCATGGCGGATGTAGCGAATGATGTTTTGGTGCGGAGAAACGTGGGCATGGAGGGAGAGCTCGATCTGAAGCTGGCGGGGTCGGAGTCGTCCGGCGCGGAAGGCGTGGTCTTTGTTGATGAACTTGACGGCGATGACGGGCCCGGAGGAGTGTGGTGGGATGGCTTTGCGGATGCTATTGGCGTGATAGTCAGAACATGTGTGTCGCGTCTGGCGTTACAAGAAAGGATGGACGTACGAGGCATATGCGCCAGAACCAATTGTCTTGGAGACGATGCGGAATGGTAGATTGGTGGGCAGCGGAACTGCTTGTGACTGCGAAGTGTTAGCGGGTGATTGAGGTGGTCTTGCTGCAGAGGAGTCGATACTCCTGGAGGGCCACCCATGGCTGTACAAATCCAACGCCAACCGCAATGCAAGATGCTGAAGAAGACCAAGTGCTGTTTAGGCAGACAATGTGTAGTTCGGCAGACACTAGTCAAGTAGAGTGACGCGACGTCAAAGCACGCGCCGACGCGATAAACACCAATGTCCGCGTTGGGTCGCCTGAGGAACCAATCACGCCGCACTCAGGCCATTAATTCAACACCACAGCGAGCAACACTTCATCATTAGAAGGAATTCAGAGACAAGTTCACAACTATTCCTCAGATCTTTCTAGTTTCGATTCAATTGTTTGGTTGAAGAATTATACTATACAAAAGCTCAATAGAGAGAGCTCGAGAGCGTCCCAGTCATAGCAGAACCAACTGCTCTATTATCCCAATCTCGTGCTCTGCTCATCCAAAGCCAAGAGAAGTCGTTGCTCCACGTAAAGAGATAAAGAGATCAGCTGCCTGTCATATGTCATTCCTTCCCCGCTAGATTGAAGGACGCCCGCCGCAATGCTTGTCAAACAATAACAGCCTGCGCATTTCCCGGATGCGTTGCTCGTGAGTAGCAATGGTATCTCAGACAGTTCCCAAAACGCCGATCGCTTGCTGATTGTAGCCAAAGATGAGAGAGACGTACGAGTGTAATCCAATCCATGTAGTGATCAAAGGCCTAGATCGGTGCAACCGCAGGCAGCCGCATTTTTCATGCAAAACCTGTTGCGCATGCCTAGACTTCATTAGTCCAAGCTCCCATCTGGTATAAGATTCCGGATGTTGTGAAAGGTAGATTCTCAGGAGGTTGCCAAATGTGGAGGTAAGCTTTGCGTATGCCACGCAATGCGCAGCCCGGCAAATTCACCCTGTCGTGCGCCAGGATGTGAGGCGACTCCTGCAGCTCGTCATGGCACGTGTCGGGCACGCTGCAGCACGCGGCTGTCCACCCGAGAGCTGACACGCATGGGAAATGTTCATCGTCATGATGGTCAATAGTGATCAGATGACCGAGATAGTGGCAATTGCGGATCTTGAGGGCCCAGCACCTATCCGGACACGTTCGCAGCTGCAAATTTGGAGATCATGTGCTCCAAGTTTCGCTCTTTGAGGACTGCGGCATATTTTGGCTCCCGAAAGAATTTAGGTACGGAATCCTGGTCATGTTAGCACGCACTTCTGCCTATACGAAGAACGAAATTCAAACTTACGCTAGCCATAAGCTTGAACACGCTGCTTTGAGCCTGATCGAAGAGATCTGCCACTTCATCCAGGCTGCGAATCATCTGCTCGTCCTCGCCGACTGCGCGAGTCATGCGAGCAGCGAGTGCATTCCGTAAGTTGTGATCAATGTTGAGCTCGCAGGGTGAACCGGGTGCAAGGAAGGCATTGTAAAGCGAATAGGCCGATGCGAGGGTTTCCCTGATAACGTCAGGCCGTGGTATCGAAGAGCCGCGCTTAGCCCGCTGGTAGTCATCCAGGAAGGACTTGACTTCAGTGTAAAACGACAAATTCTCCTCGCAGTGTGTCTCGCGCAGATACTCTCTGAATAGTAAACGCAGAGCAGGATCGCGGATGATGACCGTCATGCGATTGGTGTTCGAGTCGCGGACCGGCATGCTGGAGCCGTTCGGGCGGGCAGCGCCGGTCGCAGTCTCTCCATGGGAGGACGTCGCCGGAGTTGGTACCCAACCAGCAACTTGCATGCCCTTCAGGGTGACAGCATATTTGACGTGTCTCGATGCTGCGAAGCGGTGACCCGCGCCATTCTGTGCACCGCGTTCTTCTCCGAACGGCTCCACGAGCCCGGTCGTCATGAAGAGATTGGCAAGAGTGAAGCCCTCACGCTTGTTGACAGTAGTCGTGCAGTCCATTAGCCAGTCAAATGCGGCCTTGCCCGTGAAAGCGTAGTAGGCTGTTTGGTCTTTGCGCGAGCTCTTTGCTCGCTCCATCCTCACGCCCACGAGCCCCGTCGCGTAATCGTTCAACGAGTCCGAATCCGATGACGAGTGCTCTGACTTGATGTTTGGTCCTGTATCACCAGCGAATCTTCGGAAGAGGACGTTGATCGTATCGGCATCGTGCACAATCTCGTCCGTCTCGGGATCGCGCTCGAGGATGACAAGGTTCATCACGTTGCGTGGAGAATCCAGAAGTTCGTTAACGTGTCGCTGGTGAATGCCGTTTCTTTGACAGAAACGCGAGAGAAGGTGCATGCCTTTCGGTGTCAGCTGCCACACCGAACTTCTAGAACTGAAATCTGTCCTGCCATCCACCGACTCGATCATCCTGGCCTCCAAGAACCGTGCACAAGTCGCACGAGCCATTTCGCGTGCCATGGAAAATGTGGTCGTGGTCGTTGTTGTCACTATCCTGTCAGGTGCTTTCGGGTCTGGCATTCGATTCGATTGAGAAAACTTTAGTGACCCCAAATTTGTGATGGCTTCCTCGGTAGTGAAAGTGTGTGGGTATTTTGAAAATCGAACACGGTGTGGTGTCAATGGCAAACTGACGATTAATGTCGCGAATAGATCTTTGAAATCCTGCACGAATGGTAAGTCTTGCATCTTGAATGCTTGATGTGCTGAAAGAGCGTGGTGTTAAAATGAGGTGCGGTGGCGAATGACGGCCCAGGGGAGGCATTGGGTAAACAAATGAATCGACGTGTGAGGAAGCCACATGGAATAGTGAGAAAACAACATACCCTCGTGTACGGCTGATCGTCGCCCGTCATCTTGAGCAGCTTCGATGATGTTTGATGCATCATGCGTGGACTTCGGCGCAGAATGCGCTCGTATGCTTCGGTGTCTTGATACTCGCTGTCCTCAGACTGTCCTCGCTCTCTCCACGTCGCTACGGAGTCACGGCTCGGCCTGTCGTTGGCAGCCTTTATATTCGTCGAGGAATGATCGGTGAGCGCTGTCTCAGACGATGCGTTAGACCGCGTCGATGCGTCGGAACGCCTGTCTTGCGAGCCCGCGTCTGAAGGCGAGACAGGCACTTCTGGGAGTGTCTCGCCTTGTGGCCGAACCTCAATCGGCTGTACGATGCCGAGGAGTCGTTGGCGGCTGAAGGAAGCCAGGCGGGAGTGAGCCTTGCTCTTGACGCTCGACGGGACGGGTTGTTGCTGTCGAGAATCCACCTTGTCGACAGTCGCAAGGGTGCTATCGGTCGTAGGATGTGGGACGAACGTCGACGTGCGTTCGTCTGGAATAGGGAAGCGCCGAATGGGCAGCTCGGTGAATGTCTGTTGTGAGGGCTGCGGGCTCAGTCGCAGGCGACGCAACGGCAGTGCTACGTCAGGAAGGGCGCATGCGAGTGACTCGTGGCGAGCACGTCGTGGGGCTTGGCTGGGTGTGGAATGGGCGTGGTATGGAATGCGGGATATGGCCGGAGGTGTATGTGCGCAGGATATGGCTATGCCGCTGGAGCGGCGGACGGCATGGCAGTCTTGTACGCAGTCGCAGATGAGTGGGCCGGGAGATGGCGACTAGGGTAGGCCGTCGAGCAGCGAAAGCGTGCTTGGTGCTATGACCCCAGTGCTGGCACCAAACCTGGCGCGGTCATCTCGTGCTGATCGCTGCGCACTGGCCGCCCGGCAGCGCCAGGATAACTCGTGGCCAGTGACCAATGCGGTTCCACCGGCCTGCGCCCACCACCGCACCACGAAGGACCAGGGGCGCCGTCTGCGAGTCTGCCGCAAACAACGCCTGGGACGAAATTCCCGGCGACTTCGCGAGCGCCTGGTCGGCGGCCAAGCAGTCACTGCCTCTCTCGTGCACTCACGCTCACTACTGATGATATGCTGATATGCTGATGCCGATGCTGATGATGCTGCTACCTGCTGCTGCGCCAGCGACGACCACGCACTCCGCCAGGTCACGCGCGCCGGCGAGTTCGCTCCATTCTTCCGCTGAGTCTGCCTCCTCTGCCTGTCTCACTACTCCTCCACCTCCGCCCACTGCGGCGGGACGGGCGGCAGACCTGTTGTTGAGAGAGACAGCCGCTCTCCTGATCGCGATGCTCGTGACGGCATATTCTCTGCGGCCAGGCGCCCGTCTCACGCTCACGGCAGCCCCAGCAGCACCGTGCTCAGTCCTGTCTGCCCACGCGTTTCACCATGCGCGCAGGCATTGTTCAGAACTACGTACTCTGGCCATGCGCATGGGGTCCGGCATCCCTCGCCGTCGGCCACGCTGAGCGCTGGGATCAGTCAGCCTTTTCTTTGTCTCACACTCTCACTGCCTGTTCCGTCTGCTCTAGCTGCCCGCTGCCCAAGGCATCTGTTGGACGAAAGCGTTGGCGCGGCAAGGCTGTGTCCACATGGCGACACATTCCTGATGCACCTGGGCCGTCTGGCACACATGGTTATGCATGTCGCCCAGTGCCAGACACGGGCGACACGTTGTTTGCAAGTGAGATCGCTGCATGATGACCCGCCCTTACGCTCAGGTCGAATCGATCTCTGCGCACGCATGAGCTTGGTTACTGACAGTGGAATGTGGCACCCATGCCCGAGAGTTTCCATCGGCGAGCTTGTTGCAAATGGTAATGGGACACTGCCTCGGGAGCTATTACTACGACCTTTTCGCGGTATGACTAACGTCTGCCATTGGGCTCAACTGTCCCGTACAGTGGAATTTCTGGGCCTACCGTGATCTGTGCAGAGTTCACGCTCGTTCAAAGTGTGTCGTAACTGGAATGGGAGAGCTCACCTCTGCATGCAGCATCAGTCCCATGGAAACACCTTCAGTACGCTGTGAGGGAGCGCTGCTGCATCGCAGAAAGGAGCAAATTCTCGACTCCTGTCAATTCCACCATTCCTCATGGCGTCCAACAGCTTGACACACCGTCGGCAAAGAATACTTTCAATGCACAAACGCACCTGTAATTCGACTTTTGGCCATGGGCTGTTTAACATTTATGCTTTCGAGGAGGCTTCCACGTGGTACTTCACGCGCTGCAAGCCCGGCGTGGCGTACTCGAAACCGTCATGTCTGCATATTCTGTGTTTGGTCGATCCGACGGCCTTGCGTCGATACCACACTCAACGTATTTGTCGAACGCGTTCGCTGTCCGGCCAGCATCGCGATCTGCATTCGTTCGAAAACTTGTCAGCCGTCTTGCAATACTGTAGCATCGCCGCTGGCCGACTTAGCCGTGTCGGTGCATGATCGACGCCGCTAGAAGGCCATTCGAATTTGCTGACCTTCTGGCCTAGAAGCCACGCTTCCGATATAGATCGACGTTATGTAACGAGTCAGAAGGATTCTGTCCAAAAAGCTTTCGCTCGACCATGCCGGCGGGACTCCACTTGTGCGCTTGTCGACACGTGAGCCCAGCTTTTGACGTAGCGGCGGCTCATTTCACTACTGCGGCGGATGGCCAAGCGCGGTGAAGGTGGTATTGGTCTTTTCGTTTGCCAAGCTCGCCGTATAGACGAATCGGGAAGGTGAGAATGGTTGTGTGCGTGGTGGCTGTCTGCGATTTGGTTTGCCCGACATCGCACCTTCGCGCACAGGACTGCGCGCGTCTATCGGTGCCTCTCCGGAGCGTGGACGACAGTTTTGCTCGCACTCATCAGCGGTGTGTCACAACATACGCGGGCATGCTTGCGCCGAGAGGCAAAAGGAAAAATCCCTACGACCTCGTGTCTTCATCAGATTGGGATGCAGCCTCCCGCGTCCCGCCATGCGTGCTAAACTTCATCCAGGCAGTCCGAAAGCACCGACAACGTGGATTTTGCAGTCCGACTGGTCACAGCAGCATGACTCGCGGGCGAGCATGTCCGCGAAACTGCAGCAGGACAGGAGCACAACTCCCAAGCTGCCACTGCATTGGTAGCCGGTCGGAAATTTCTCTGCTGCCTGCCCTCGTGCGGTGCAGTCCGCCGGTGGAACATACGATGATGGCCGTTGCGGTGTAAGGTTCTGCCATCAACCAAAAATAGTGAAACAGACGGCACTTCTGCTCGCCAGACCAGACCAGACATGCCCCCAACGGCAGCAGCAGGGCTCGGAGGATGCCTGCGGCAGAGGCGCTGCAGCTTCGACGGCAGAAGTGTTCGCGTCGGCAACGGTGCTGCTGCTCGTCCTCTTCAACATCGACCCGTCCTCATTCAGCCTGCCGCTGCCGCCAATGGCTCCGGCTCGCGATGCGAGCGCACTTGTTATCGTGCAGAGCGACAGGCATCGGAGGCAGAAAATTCGTCGTGCGCGCGGCTTGCCCCAGTCGTGGCTTGCAGCAGAGTCGAGTCTATCTGACGTCGGCTGTCTATGCCACGTGTCGTCGAAGCGCTACGAGACGCCATCGTCAAGCCAAGGAGTGACCTTAACCAGACGATTGTTCGCTCGCTGAGCGCCATACCGAGGTTGGCAGGTCCTAGCCTGTTCGGTGGACCTGCGAGTGGACCGCGCTGCTGCTGTCCCCGGCCGCAATTCATCACCCTTTGCGATCCCGCGTCGCAGATTGAATGGAGCCGTGAGATTCTGCCCATGTTCGCCACGTGGTGCTCACGAAGAACCCAAACGAGCTCCTCACCGTCGCTTCCTGCGCGCGGCAAAGCTGGCTCTTACACTGGACACGCTTTTCCCATGCCAGGCTCAATCGGGCTGACAGTGACATTGCTGCTTCATGTTGCCACGGCCGAATCATCCGAATGCCCTGGCTTCGCATCTTGCCGTGCTTGCCTGCCGGCAGGTTGCCGAACGCATACCTTTTCGTGAAGCGTCGCGACGCTGCACCACAACGCTCCAGACGAGCGACCAATGTCCATGGAAGACGTGCCGCCACGCAGACGCACAGCTCTGCACATGCGATTTCACGCGTTTCGAAGACCCTAGCCGAGGCGCCCGTTAACGCGAGACAGACATTCGGCAGCCTGTCGCGCTCACCGGCCCGGCCTTGGACCGAGAAGGAGCATGCAAGCGACCGACTTGATCCCAGCAGACCACGAGGTGCAGAGTGAGAGATCGCGTCGGCCGCATTGCGAAATCTCACCAAGATCTGACTCAAATGCCCTCATACGAAGTGCCGACCGTCACAGAGGTACAAGTCACCAGTCTTACATTATACGATGCCGTGGCCGTCCGGCAGCGAACACTGCCCAATGTGCGGATCGATCATTTGAAATGTTCTGGATGATCCTCCTGTCCATGCCATCTCAGGGTTTGTATACACGAGCTGAACCGGTCAGCTGAGGTTGCTGCGCAGCCGTCGAGGATCATATCACTTTCCAGCTAGCGCTTGCGAGCCGGCCAACAGTCAACCACGCTGGAGAAAGCTTGCACCCACCACATGCTCACCACGCGTCGAAGCGAGATGTCTCGTGAGTTGATCAGCTATGTACCTCCCTCGTGGCGGCCAAGAAGAGCAGCAAATCCGAAGCTCGCTACCAGGCAACCTTTTTGTTCCTCTCAGAGCTCTCCGATCTCATTCGGCAGCACGACTACATGGTGGCTGAATATCATCCGCTTTCTGATATACACCACTTTGCTGCAGCAATGTCCCAGTCGACATATTAATCAAAGTCTCTGCGTGGAACGTGGTCGCAGGGCCAATCAGCATGATGAAATGAATTTTCAGCTGTGAGCTCACTCTATTAGACATCCGGACCTCACTCTCGCTCTTGCGATATGTCCGAACCCAACTCCTCCCACCTGCGCTTCACTGGATCAGGGCAGTCTGCGATCATCGAACGCGTGTTTCATATCATACAACAGGGTTACATTCGCAGCAGCTGAGCAAGAAAGCGCATCTGGAGACTGCTCCGTCGGCACACATGCCTCAAAAGTGCTGCACTGCGAGGCTTGTGATATTGCCCAAGCTTCCCCGTGGTTCATGTGGGTCGCGCTCCTGATCCCAGCTTGAAGAAGGACACCAGCGCGCACGCACGCGGCGGAGTGAGAGCGGGGAGCTGCCACGCGCGTGTGATGCTGCGGCGATTGAACACTCGTATGTGACTTCTGTCATCACGATTGGCATATGCGGTCACCATAATGACTCAACTGTTTCAAGCATTCTAGGGCATCAATACCGTGGAGCTTCTCCTTGCAGTCGTGGCAGGGGCAACATCCGAAAGGTCAGCGGGAGGCGATCATTGCTCTATCGAGTCTTGGTACCGTCATCAACAAGAAGCAGAAATGGAGCAAAGCGCAGTGGATATTCATCGGAAGATCCTCCGCAAATACCCACAGCAGCACAAGTCCTCGAGCACCTTTCTTGCAAGTTGCAGACCGGCATGCCGTTGTGACAACGCTGCAGCGACGATCACCGGCCGGCTTGTCAACTCAAATCCACTGAGACTAACAGTTCTAGGCAAGCAGATACGGCTCTGCATCGATGACTTCACTTCTTGTTCAGCACAATCTCACTACTTACGTTACAGCACCACGCGAAGGATAAACGTGCATGCGTAGAGAGATTGCGCTGATGGAGTGCTGTGCTGACACGAGCAGTGCCTCCATCTATGAAAGTTTGACCAGCCAGCATCGCGCAAGTCAAAAACAACACACGGCACTTAGTTGCAGCAAGGAATTTTGGAGTATTTCCGAGGACACTACCAACATGTTGCTCAGCTCCTTAATATACCAGTGGTATCAGGTGGCAAGCGTTGCATCGAGGCCTACGTGAGCCTGTGCGTCCAATCCGGCGTGTAGTACCTCGATCAAATCATGCCACCACAGAACGCACACAGTTCGCGAGCTCGGGAGGACCGAATGTCGGCCATGCGACTGCCCGAGAGATGGAGGCTTCGTCAACTTGCCACCATGATCCTGGTCAAGTTATGCCCACGCTTCGGGTGTTCGTAACGGCGGACTCCTGAGAACGTCCTATTGATTGCTCGTTCGGCGGACGTACAGAAGAAGAACTGCCGAGTGGCATGTGATCGTGCGGAACGAGTGACAAGTCAGCACTTGCTCTGCGCTCCAAAACTCGACGCGCGTGCTCAACGCTGTTGTGAATGGCCCTTTGGACGTCACACTAGTACGCAGTAACATCACTCCAGAGAATTTACCCAATTATTCCGCATTTTGGCACGTCACGCATCCGAAGTTTTGGTGATTGATCAACTAGGACGGCAACGAGAGCTATGATCAGTTTCGATGAACAGAAGCGTCTTTGCGCGGGTCCTCAGGCATGATTGCCCTTCTATGGGCTGATCAATAAGCTGCATTGTCCATAGCCAACACTGTTCTAGAGTTCAGCCTCATGTGAACCTCAGGACAGGATGATTGAGAATCATGCTGCCGGTAAGAAGACAGGGGCGAATACTGCGGGCTCTGCAAATATTTGGACGCACTGGAATGGCTTTTACTTTCTCATCAAGTCTTCAAATTTGTTTCTCATATCAACGCAAGATATCGGAAACGACTGTTCTGCAACCTAAACTTCGAACCTCAACACTTTCAACGCCGAAGATCTCCATCTCTCAGCGAATCAAGTTAGCAGTCTTTGTCCTCTCCCTCCATCCCTTCCATAACCCCACGGCTTCTCCCTGCTCGACGTATTGCCCTCAAATGACCCGGTTCAGATGCACTAGATCATCAACTCCCAAAACCGTCAACGCAGGAGTCCAATCCGCCTCCGCAATCCCAATCGTAACATTCTTCAACCCAGCAAGCGAAGCAGAATAACTAGCCGGCAACACGGCCTTCGTCAACTGCGACTCCGTAGCCGAAGTTGGGACAAACGTAAACTTCAAGGTTGGGGCTTGCACGCCAGTGGTATAGAAACCTGTCACGGTAATACTGCAGCGACTGGAAAATGTGACGAGGGATTCTGCAGTGAATCCGATGCAGCCGAAATAGAAGGATATCAGATTGTAAGAGTTGACGCCTTGAGAGGGGACGGCGGAAATTGTGCCGAACGGGCGGAGAGAGACCAGGCCGATTTGAGTTACGGTTTGGACGAGACCTGTTACGGCGATTTTGGCGGGGCTTTGGGGTTTGAGGCCGTAGCTGAAGGTTGCAAGGCAGAGACGGTCGCCGAGGAGACAGAGGTTGGGGAGTGGGAGGCCACCTTGCTGTTGGTGGGAAAAAGAATGTTAGAGTGGGCTGGATCGAGGGAGTTGCGGGATGGGGATTCGACTTACGGCTACAGTCCATCCCTTGTAATCAAGACCGTTGTATTGGCCTATCAAGGAAAGTTGCGGCACCGCAGGAACGGTGGTAAGACCATCGTAGTTGTCGGTTCTGAGACCAGCGCCTGCTTGGCGGGTGTCGAGGGCCGCTGTCAGGACAGAGGTGATGAAAGCGGCGAGACTGAGCAGACGAGCCATATTGACTTATTGGAGACTGTTGTTGGGGTGTGTTTCATCTTCATCACAATCGGACTCACAGCTTCATATACCTTTCTCCATTCTCTTCACACCGCCATCGATCGCACACCACCCACTTGCTAATTCCAATTCCAATTCACGTCTTGCATAATCACGGCGAAGCTCGGCCGTGAGCCGCTCATCCACTCCTCCCTCCAGTCAACAGATCTCAGCGATCATCATGTCGTGGTGGCTGTAGCCACATCTCTGCCTCAACGAACATTCCCCAGTCATCGAGGCACTCAATCGAAGCCACCAAGCCCTCGCTGTTCATCGCGAGGACGAGCTCTCTCGTGGCTTCTCCAATGCAGTCAGCAAGGAACTACTGCACAGCTAATGATGTTTAACCGACCTGCAATAACTCAGATTACCATCCAGGATCAGAGTCATGACAGGATGATCAAAAGAAACAACCCTCCAGTCCGACAATCTTCAGGTTACACAAAATCTTACCAGAAGAGAAAGATCTCCGTGACTTGTGTGGTGGCGTATGGAGAAACACGAGCCTGTTGTACGACACATCCTTCGGCAAGACCAAGGGAAAACTTTTCGCCTCTCGCTATTCGATCGCGTTTTGGAGGGTGCATGAGCTTTGATTCCACTGCAAAGCGCTTCGATCGAGATCTTTCAACCTGCGTGTACGATTGAAATCTTTTCTACGTGGATCGCTGTTCGGGAGCCGCAATTTGTATCGTCCAAGAAAGGCAAGTTGCATTCTGCATGGAGCTAATCGATTGGCGAGTTTTGCGAGGACGGAGCGGATTCAAAACACAATCATGGCATGTATCCGCCTGCCGAGTGGTCAATGTGTCGATACACGATCAGCAGTGCGGTCCACTGTAGCATTGAAAGTATCCCTCAATTGATTTTATCGGAGGTCTGTAGCTGAGTCTCTTGACACCATTGGGCCCCAACGCTTGTCGAGCATCATTCATGCTTTTCCAAATCGTCAGCAGGATTCGTGTCGTCGACCTTCTCCGCTGAACCGCATCTCTGTGTCATAAAGCTGTAATCATCGCTTCGTCCATTTTCCGAAAATGTAGTTCTGCTGACTTTCCCTCACACCGCCAAATTCAATGTCGCCCGTCTCTTTACCGGCCTGGAACCACATTCAGCACACCACCATCAATCGCCAGGATTTCTCCGTTAACGTAGTGATTGCGTGCGAAGAAGAGCACACCCATTCCGATCTCCTCGTCACGTCCGGCTCGCATCATGGGCACATGGCCCGTCTTGTCGATCTTCTCTTGCGGAAAATCACTCTTCTGACGATCATCGGATTTCGTGCCCGCCATTTCCGAGGGAAAGTATCCTGGCGCAATGCTACAGACTCATGTCAGTACAAGGGACATTCAAAAGCGCAGTCAAAATGAGGGCCTATACCTGTTCACTCGAATCTTCGCCTTCTGGAACTCCGCACTCATCAACTTACTCAACTGCACCGTCGCTCCCTTGGCAGCATTGTACGAAAAATGCCCTTGCGAGTCCCTCATCAATCCTGACATGGACGAGATAATGATGACACTCGCGCTAAAATCCTCGTAAGGCCCGCCTTTGGCTTTCGTGGCAGCCTGCAACAATGGCAGGAAAGCCACAGCAGTGAAGTAGACCGACGTCACATCCGTCTCATATGTCTTCTGCCAATCCTCGACAGACTCCTCATTCCATAGTTTCGCGCTCAAGTCGTCGGCGTCAGAGTGCTCGGGTGGAGCCTTGGGGCCTGAGACGCCAGCATTGCAGACGAGGAGGTTGATGTGGGATTCTTTAGATTTGATGTCGGAGACGAGTTTCTGGAGGTCTTCTTTCTTGGTCACATCGCAGGGGCCAATTGGGATGATTTGCCCGCCGGTGCGGTCTTGCTCGGGGCTGTGGGCTTTCGCGGCATTTTCGAGAGCTTCGACGCGGCGGCCAGTGATGTACACTTTTGCGCCGTTGGCGGCGAGGGCTTGAGAGGCCATGAGGCCTATGCCTGTGCCGCCGCCAGTCACGACGCAGACATAGTCTTTGACTGTGAAGAGGCGGTTGACGTCGAAGTGGTGAGTTTCTGCCATGGTGATTGTCCTGGGTCTTTGTTGATAAGTGGAAGTTTTTGAGTCAGTCGCGCGAGCTTGTCGAGAGAAGTGAGCAGTCGTCGCTGCAGTTTCGTTCTGTAGCACACGACATTGAATTATGACGTAGCGGGTGACATTTTTGTGACGCGAAAGGCAACACGAGCGCATGTGATTTGGTGTTTTTCAATATTTGCTTCACCTACCCGCTTTGAACACTGCATATGCGATGTGGGTATTACTTACCGCTCAAGCCTGTGCATTCCGGAGAACGCTGTTAATTCTGGTAAGGGCCATTGACACCTGAGGTGTGGGTTGAGTTCCCTCTACTGTTTTGCTACGTAACCGAGTTGGTGTAGCCAACCGAGGACACAGCCTACGTTATGTTTTAATCCAAAGATCTTTGGCGGTGGCTGTTAGCAGCGCTATCTCGCGGTGCAAAATAGGAATCGCCTTGAAGAGCATCAAAATCTGGTCTCTAGGTTGCAAGGATATTCTTGGTCGAGAAAAGTCGTCTCATGGGCGGCCACTTTTGGTTTCTGGCAAATGCATAACTTCTCTTGCACATCTCGGAGTCATAGCCTCTGAGAGCGATGTCGATATCACAAAATGGCGAAACCGCAACTCGCTTACATCTCCAGAGCCTTCTTTGCCATCTCGAGGGCTCCATCAAAGGTCTGGTTGCCACCGATGAAGCCGGCAGCGTGCACAAAGATGCTGCCAGGAACGCCAGAAAGCTTGCTGAGCTCGTCATCGCGCACACCTCTCCATGCCTCAGGAAGTCCCTTTCGGTTCTCGAAGCTGCCAGGCTCGAGACTGACAGCTCGGATACGCCACTTGCTGTCCTGTTCTCCACTCTCGGCGAAAAGTGCATACAGAACGCTACCTTGTGCACCAGTCTCTTCCTCGAGCGCATACAAGTGGTCCATCCACGGAACACCGCCGTCCTTCCAGGGCACCACGAGAATACGGCCTTGCGGGTCTACTGCGTGCCTGGAGTTGAAGGCTTGCGCGACCACGTTACGAGCGGGTAGCCACGCCAGAAATTTGTCGCTGAGCTCAATGGAGAATTGCTCGCCCACAAAAGCGGAAGCACGAGCGAAGCGGGCATCCTCATCAGCCTGATCTGCGGCCTTGCTGGTTTGGACGAACCCATTGGCGTTGATATTGTTTGCAGCAGGTGTGACAGGTGCGTGATTGTAGCGACCGACCACGCTGGCAATGCTGAAGCCCTTGTCCGATGTCTTCTTCTCGATGCCTGCCTTTCTGATCTCAGCAGGGTCGTACACCGAGATACCATTGTCATTGGCGTCGAACGCCTGCACAAAGTCCTCGTATAGCTTCTGATACAGCAGCTCGTTCTCCGAACTGGCCACGTCCAGCCCTGTCACGGCCGACACGATTCTCTTGCCATAGTGCATCCACACCAGTCCTGCTGATGAAAGCTTGGTGTTCTTGCCAGGGAAAGTAGCTTTGAATTCGCGCTGGTGGTGGTCGTAGCGGAAGATGGCATCGTCGTGCACACCACCCACATCAACGACAATGGTGCATGTCTTGAGCACTTCGGAGTCGCGAGTTCTGATCAAGGATGCGCCTTTGTAGTCAGGCAGCAGACGGAGCAAGTAAACTGCTAGGGCTTCGTCGGCGTGGAAGTGGCCGTTGTGGGTGCCAATGACTGGCGCTGCGGTGCCGTCGGCCATCTTTTGTCGCTTCGATGAAGGCTCCGAGGTCATTTGCTGCAGCAGAGGTCGGTAGAGGTGGGGGTTGCTGGCCACGAGGCGCTGGAAGATGTCGTTGGTGGTCTTTGCCTTGTTTGGGGAGTTGACAGAACGAATGGAAGCTCTGTGCAGAGGCAGACGGAGTGGTGGACGGGAGGGCCGCAGTGGTGACAGAACTAGCCTCTTCATGCAAACGGAGACTGGAGCTGGCGGCGGGCGAGAAAATGTCACAAGCTTGGGACGTCGCGATAATCCCTGCAGCTTGCTTTCTGCACGTGCAATTCCGCTGCGGTGCGTCGTGCGTGTGCGTGCTGCTGCATCACCCACTATCCCGCCAAGCCATGGCCGTCGATGCGATATTCGTCAATCGTTGTTGTGCGACGCGAGAAGCAGGAGTCGCCATGACGCTGCTGGCGGTTGAAGCGACGTGGTAAACCGGTTTGTCGTCGTCGCCGTCTTGCTTTGCGTGATGGCGAGTGCTGCGCTCTGCGGGGCGCTGGCGCTCGACCATTCCAGCGTGTACCACTAGTACTGCACATCGCACGCGACACCCAGCACCACAGACAGATACTTCACTCGACACGTCTGCAGGTAGTCACCTGCGCAGTCACGCCTCCACTCGCTCCCAAACTTCGTCGTCCCCCGCCTGACCGCCCTTCAAATATCGCGTCGCCGCCATCACCGAACCACGGACGCGCTTGCATCGACGACTGTGGAGACCAGCGCTGGCTGGACCCTAGTTATCACACTATCTGGCGGTCAACTTTAGCCTAGCGACGAGCACAATTTCAACACTTCCCGCCCACCTTCCTCCAAGGCCGCTGTTCCTCCTGCCTCCTCCACCACGCGCTCCTGCTGCGATTTCGCCAGCGTGAGAGGTGAGGAGAGCCAATCTCTTCGTCATCGCCGCATGACCCTCCCACCACCGCCAATCCTCAACCCTCCGCACGACACGGCTCGGCGGTCAAGGTGGCCATGATCCTCCGCTTCATTGGGAGTTCGCTCTTCCTCGCCTCGATCGTCTTCACCATCCCACTCGCTTTCGATGTCGGCGGCCGAACGTGTGGGCTCGCCTTCAGTCTGAGCTTGGCCACGTACTACTTCATCCTCTCCACGCTACGACTCGCGACGCCAGATCAGTCAACATGGAGGAGGGCAGGAGTCAACACGATCGCCGCTATGCAGCCCATCATGATCGCAGGACTGCTGATTTGGAGCCTGAACAAGTTCAGTGTGGACGCTGGTGAAGAGGGAACCTGGGTTAGTCGCGCCTTTTTCAACGCGACGAAGCCACTGCACCAGAGCCCGAGCTTCAAGGAATGGGTGTTTGGACGTGAGGGAATGCTGCAGTATGCCTTGATCGGCGGATGGGACAAATTTCTGAGGTATTCCATGCCTGTGTTCCAACTGGTCGAGGGCTTCTGCAGTCTGCTGGTCATACAAGCTGCTGGGCAGGTCACGCGGTATCTGGTCAACAACGACGATGGAGGAGACACTTGGATGCTAGGGCTCTTAATACCATCCGGCAGCATCATCGCCAGTTCATGTTATTTCATCTGGCGCATGTCGACCTTTCCGGGACTCGACAGCCAGGATGCAGTACTGATCGGCATCGCCATCACTTGCGCAGTGTTTCTGTGCGCTTGGGGCATTGGAAGCGGGCGTGGGAACATTGTGGAGAGTAGCTTGCTATTCGCATACATCACGCTCTGCATCTACCAGATCTTCACCGATTACCAGCCAAGCCACCCACTGCCAGAGTCTCCTCTACCGAACGACGTCAATGAATTCCCACCTCTCCCTCCAATCCTGATGGCCAGCTTCTCGACCATCTCGCAAGCATTGTCCCAATTACCGAGCACCATTTTGAACGGCTTCGGCTTCATGTTTGCTGCTGTACAGACCGTAACGCCCTCGGTCATCATCTCGCTGATCTACCGGCTTCTGGTCCTCTACGCTGCAGCACGCATCATCCCTGCTGTCCGGGAGTCTGGCGCGCGTGCTTTAGCACACGATCCATCGTTTGAAGATTCGGAAGGTGTGCATGGTCTCATGGGAGTTCTAACGTACTACAGCCCAAGCATCCTCATCGCAGTGTACACAAGCCTTCTCCTCCAGCACTTTGCGACCGCTTCTGCAGATCATCCAGGGGAATGGTGGACTAGTCAAGGCGGTGAAGGAGGAGGAAACATCAGCCGGTGGGCCAACCTGGCTGGCACTATGGCACTCTACGCAGTCGAGCTGTACTTAGGCAAGGACCAAGATGATGCCCTCCACTGGAAGCTGGATTGAAGACAACCAGACAGGATGCGAGAGTGATTCACGAAATTGTATTTGACCCCAGAGGTCATTTGAAGGAGCGATCTGTGATCGCGAACGGCTGGCCGTAAAGGCTGACATGCACTCCTCTTGAGCAACTATGGCAACGGACAAGGTGCGTTTGCCGGGCATGGGTGTCGTACGTCAGAGGAAGGACGCGTCGTGCACAGCCATACGAGATTGGAAGCATTCTCTTCGCAGCCGACGGGGCCGGCGTACGTGTGCACTTGCATTTGGAACAGACCCAGCGAGGTCCAGGGAGTGGAGGAGGGAAGGCACATCCCCTTTGTAGCATTGGATGAGAGGAAGAACACGCAGTTGAGGATATAAGAGAACGGTAGCGCGGGAGGAGGGGTGGCAGAAGACTGAATGAAATCACTAATTCCACAGAGCGTGGTAAAACACCAGCCTAAGCGATCGATTAGATACCCCAGAAAACGTCAATTTGTGCATGCATGTATTCTCGCTCATTGAATAATCGGGAAGCAATCGTGCTGTCCATCGGTGCCTTGCAGGAGGATCAGTAAGCTGCATCTCAGATATGGAATCGGTCGGACAAATCATGGATTAGGGTATAGGTTCGCTGTCCCAGAGGTTTTTGTCGCTGCAACCCTAACGATGCTGCGACATCGAATTTGACTTCCCAAACGCATTGAAAACTCTGATTAGCGAGGCGGATGAGATTGATACCTTTCTGTATCATATGGGCTGCATAGTGGTGCATGGAGGTCGAGTGCTCATATTGTGTTGTGAACTCGTTGCTTGCGTCGGTCAAATCCTTCTTTCCCGCCGATTGCTTGTTTGAACTTAGCCTAACTAGCTGAACAAGAAATTCAACAGCAACTGCTTCGGGTATTTGTACGGCTGCTGCAATTGCGCGGCTCTGCGGAAGGGAACATGAAGATCATTTCATATGCATGACATGGCATCTGTGATGATGGGTCGCAGTTGATTTCCCATCTTTTGGTGCCTCGATCCCTCCTTCGTCATGTCGGCCGTACATGTCCAAAGTGCACTTTCCACTTTGGGCAAGAAATACTGCAACTCTTTCCGTTCGTCATGCTGACGATTGACTTACTGCCACTTCTTTGGTCGGAACGACAGCAAAGAAGAGACCACGACATGATGTTTGATTAATCCAGCTCTCGATTGCGCACAAGGCATCGCCTGCACGAAGGGTTGCATCTTCAGTCTCCTTGAGAAAAATCGCTTCAAGGAAAGACACAGATCATTCAGATCAGTCCAGTGCCTTAGGATCCCGCAACAGACTTCGTCTTCGCGCCAACGCGTACCGATCGAAAACATCGAATATGGCGCATTCGTGCTGTGCGCTGTCACTTCTTGGGCAAGCTCCCCAAGCCGATCGCCCATATTTGCCGCATAACGTTCGCTGTTAGCTCCACTTCCGTGCATTCACCAGAGTCAGATTTTGCTGGCGCGACCCTCGAGGCACTTGGATTGCGACTTTATGCGCGCATTCGCCATGTATGCAGATCTTTGGCGTTCTATAGGTTTGGCTCTGAATATGTTTGTCCTACTCTCACATTTTGGAGAAGCATAGGTTTACTGATGTGTTCAGAGTACTGGAAGTCGACGCAACGGGCAGCGAAGATACGCAAGTGAGAATATAGGAAGAGATGGAACATGTTGAGCACGACCTGGAAGCCGCGACTTACTCCACGGAGGAAGAGGAGGAGAAGCACGAGCAACCCATCAGCAACACTCTCACATCACCTGAAGATGGCTCCACAGCATCAACGAGAGAGCACGTCGACATTCCACCTAATGTAAATCAAAAACTGCATTCGAAAGGCCTCGCAACAGATAACTCTGGCTTGGTGCGATGGAAAAGCGGCACATCTGCCCATCCGAGACGGTGGCCTCTATTCCGAAAGTCCTACGACTCTGCCGTGATCATCTTCATGGAGTTCATCATGACACTCTTCAGCAACGTCGGAAGTTCTATCGTGCCGTACTCGATCGAACAGCTGGGCACCTCGGAAGAGCTGGGTCTGTTCTACTTCACAACATTATACCTGCTGGGTCAAGCCCTCGGCGGACTCATCTTCCCACCTCTGGCCGAGTCCTTCGGTGGACGAACAATCTATACTACGTGCGCGTTTGGGTTTGGGGCATTCTGTGCGCTCGTCGGAGCTTCGCCAACCGTCCCTGCAGTGGTGGTCGGCCGCTTCGTATCAGGTTTCGTATCTGCCATGCCTGCTGTGGTGGCGTGCGGTAGCATCGAGAACATGTGGAACATTAAGGCGAGAATTTGGCTGGTGCATATCTGGATCGCGTCAGCTGTGCTCGCGCTGGCTTTGGCACCTGCGATTGCGGTTGCTGTCAGTGAATCGCCACTTGGCTGGTATATTCGAATGATATGATCAACGTGTACGAGGCTTACGCTGATAAATCCCGCAGGCAATGGCTGTTCTACATCGCAGCCATCCTTGGCGGCCTCATGGGCATCGCATGCCTCTTCATGCAAGAATCTCGGCCCTCGCAACTCCTTCGCCAAAAGGTCCAGCGCGTCTCACGCACGACCGATTTTCGCAAGCTCTCCGTCAATCATCAAGACTCCAAGCCATCACTCTCCACTTTCGTCCAGGAAGGCCTCACCATGCCTCTTCGATTGTTCTTTACGGAGCCTATTGTCTTCTTGACCTCCATCATGGCCGCGATCGTTTACGCTGTGATCTACCTCTTCACAGCCGCCTTACCTCAAGTCTACGAAGAATCTTTTGGTTACACGAGACTGCAAGGGTCTTTGGTGTTTGTTTCGATTGCCGTGGGGATATGCTTCACGATTTTGCCGAGGATATACGATATTCGAGTCGCATGTCGGAAAGATGCGCAAGCCATTGAGCCCGAGGACAAGTTATTCGGCTTCTATGTTGCTGCGCCGGTGCTGGCTGTGGGATTGTGAGTCTTTCTCTCTCCCTGTTCTGTTTCCTGAACTTTACCCGGCTGTTGAATGAGCGTTGCTGACTGAGGGATTTTCCAGATGGTGGTTCGCTTTCTCGGTCCCTCCGCTCAATTCTTCGGCTTCGCCCTGGGTTTCCATTTGCTCGCTTGCACTGCTGGGATATAGCATTGTCGAGTTCGACAATGTGTTGAGCGGATATCTTTGCGATACGTATGCTTCTCGCACGGCTTCAGCGCTTGCGCCATTATCGTTTCTCAGAGCGACCCTTTCGGGCACGTTTCCGTTGTTTGGAAGTGCGATGTTCCATAATTTGGGTGCTAACTATGCGATGTGAGTGCTGTTTGCGGGGGATGAGAATATCAGAATGGTACTATGGTGCTGATGAGTGATCCAGGTTCGTTCTTGCGGGCATCGCGACGGCCTTTTGTGCGGTTGCGGTGTTGTTTGGGGTATTTGGGAAAAGGATACGAGAAAGCAGTCCGTTAGCTGAGAAGACGGTCGGGATGGGTGATTGAAGAGACGGAAATGAGATGGGGGAGATATGGCGCATAAAGTCAGAGCGCTGTCACATCTTTCCATTGCCGGCACGCCTCATTCTAATGCAGCACAAGGATGAATGAAAGAGCGCCAGAATCCCAGAATGGCGACCGAAACCTACCTAGAATCCACGGTGATGGAGAGAGTCCCCTCCAGCGGATGGATGTTGCATGAGAGCGAAATGAGGGTACAGCTCGACAAATCGCCTCGACGCACCTCGAGAAAAGAGCAGCGGGAGGGCGAGGCAGGAGACTCAACATCGAGAATGACCAGAAACTGGCCGGCTGCAGTCTTCGCATTTCCGTCGAGGACTCGTGATTTTGAGTCTGTGAAACTTTTGGGGCACCGAATTGCCCGAAAGTACAATGTACGGCCGCTCCGCACGCGCCTGGCTGCTCGAATGTGACAGAACATCGTCGAACACGCCAGACATCGCGAAATCAATAAATACGTGGTGTTTCCCAGCCGGGGTCCACATGAGCATAGTGAGGTCGATATAGAGTTCGTCGTACCATGGATCGTAGGTCATGCGCTGTTGACCTCGCGCATTTCCTGTGGCTTAAAGCCGCCATTGAGGCCGCTGCTTGCGCTACTTCCGTAACAGGTGTTCGCAAGCAGAGTTGATCAGAGCAGAGATGAGACGACCTTGCAATGTCATTGTGTTGTTGATGTTGTGAAGCGTTGAGTTCTTGGCGTTGTCTGTGCTCGGGTGGAGAAGCCGGTGAAGCGATGTTTACACGGAAGTTGTTTGGTGCAGCTTGTCTATGAGGCCACACTGCAAGTACTCGGGGGAAGCGACGGAAGTCGATGTGCTATTGCAGTCGAGCTTGATACGTATTGTTTCTCGATGTCTGTAGGCATTGCATTCTCTGGGATGAGGATCGTCGCGGCTTGGGATTCGCAGGTCAGGTCTGATGTCGTTCGCGATGATGACGGTGCTGAGATGCGAATGAAGGTCCAGTAGTAGATACTGCAGACGTTCTTGCTTGTTTTCGCTGGGTGTGAATTAGTCCGGGTACTGACTGCTAGTCAGTGTAAACATCTGTTCTGCCGTCAGGCGGAAGCTAGGTTTTGGCGAGATTGCCAGCGCGGCATATCAACACCACGGAGGGCCGCTGCATTGGTGATGAGAACTTCCAAACAGGTCATGCGTGCAGATGCAGGTGTGCAGAGAATGTTCCGTAGAGAAGTGAGGACTGAACCATTGGGACGTTAAAAAGGTGGCGAGGTCGGCCGTGCCCAATCATCGTTCGTGACGGGAGCAGCCGTTTGCGAGCATATAGTCTGCCCTGCCCCCGACCGTTTCCTCCCCATACCAATGCAAACTACATGCAACCAAAACGCGAGCGAACACACGCAACCACAACCCGAAAGCGACAGCAATCGAACCAGACGCACTTGCTGAATCCACGCACGCCTTCTCCTCGCGCGCGGCCGTCACGCCGCTGCGCATAGCGAGTCTCCAGCTAGCTCTTCTACCGCCGCGGCCACCACACCTCTACTCTACAACCTCTACAAACCTCTACACCGCTTCGCATACCTCACAATGGCGAACACTGCTTCCAGCAGCAATGTGGTTGGCGTCCACTACCGCGTCGGCAAGAAGATTGGGTACGGACACACTCTCACTGACGTGCGCGGCGAGCACTCCTAACCTCCGTGCAGAGAAGGCAGTTTCGGTGTCATCTTCGAGGGTACCAACCTCTTGAACAATACCCAGGTCGCCATCAAGTTCGAACCTCGCAAGAGCGACGCACCTCAGCTTCGCGATGAATACCGCACGTATAAGATACTCGTCGGTTGCCGTAAGTGCACCTCCTTTCGGCCTTCACCGCCTGCCCGCCAGACATGCTAACCGAGGACTTGTAGCTGGCATCCCGAACGTGTATTACTTTGGTCAAGAAGGGCTTCACAACATTCTAGTGATAGGTATGTCTCACCCACTCCGCCGCCGCCGCCAGGCACGCGTCTTCAGCCAGCTGCTGGGCTCACCCTTCGCACGTGACACCAGCTGACATCACCCACGCACAGACCTTCTCGGCCCATCGCTAGAAGACCTGTTCGACCACTGCGGTCGACGCTTCACGATCAAGACTGTCGTAATGGTAGCCAAACAGATGCTCTCACGCGTCCAGACCATCCACGAGAAGAACCTCATCTACCGCGACATCAAACCAGACAACTTCTTGATTGGCCGACCGAACACCAAGGCGCAGAATGTCATTCACGTCGTCGATTTCGGTATGGCGAAGCAATACAGGGACCCAAAGACCAAACAACACATTCCGTACCGCGAGCGCAAGTCATTGTCAGGCACTGCGCGGTACATGTCTATCAACACCCACCTTGGCCGAGAGCAGTCACGACGTGACGATCTCGAAGCTCTTGGCCACGTTTTTATGTACATGCTCCGCGGCGGACTCCCATGGCAGGGTCTGAAGGCTGCGACCAACAAGCAGAAGTACGAGAAGATTGGGGAGAAGAAACAGACAACAGCAATCAAGGACTTGTGTGAGGGCTTCCCAGAGGAGTTCAACAAGTACCTGTCCTACGTCCGCAACCTGGGCTTCGAGGACACCCCAGACTACGACTATCTGCGCGACCTGTTCACCAAGGCGCTGCAGAACACTGGGGAAGTGGAGGATGGGGAGTACGATTGGATGAAACTCAACAACGGAAAGGGCTGGGATGTACCAACCCGCCCATCTGCCGCCGCAGGCCACCGCGAGCAAGGCAACCCATCAAACGCGGATCTTCACCGCAACAACCTCAACAGAGCGTCGAACACGCCACAAATCGATAAGGAGAAGCCACTCCCAAGCAAACCAGGCGCAGTGCGCCAACCCACCAACCAGAGGGCACAGCCAGCCAGGCGCCCACAAAATAGCCAAGACTTAGGGAAGCGTGGCAGCGGAATGCAGATGGACACCGCAGACCACCGTAGCACGGCTGCTCAATTCCAGAACAGCCGCGCCGATTTGACACGAGGGCCCGGCTCATCAGCCGTCGGTGCCCAACCACAAACAGCAACTGCTGCTGCTCAGAGGCCAGCTGCACAGACACAGCAGCCCGAGCAAAAGCCGAGTGCAATCCAGAAACTATTCAAGGCATTATGCTGCGGATAGAGCAAGCAGCACAATATTTTAGATGATATTTTACCCTCAAGGATTGCATCACCAGAAGTCGTCGACAAGGCGATTGCTGCACAGCAGGCAGCGGAGAAGGCCGAGAAAGCAGCGCTAGAGCATATTGCGCCAAAGAAGCAACTACCACTCCGCTACAACTACGAGTACAAGTTCAGCCCTTATGGGCGCTTGGAGAAAGTGCCGCGGAGGAGGCTGTCCAAGGTTCCAACCCATCCAGATTTGCCATTGAACCGACCAAGGACGAGGCCATCGTTGGCTGAAAAGCAGCGGGCGGAGGAGAAGGCTCGCGCAGACGCATTGGCGGCTGCAAGGAAGGCGTACCAGCATGGGTACCCAATGGAGAGGACGAAGAAGAATCTTCCCACTGAGGAGATGATCAAGGCGCGACGGGAAAGAAGGAGACAGCAAGGTCAGCTTTAAGACCACTCCTCGGAGGAATACGTAATGTCTAAACGACCAGCGCGGCGTTAGGGAGTTTTTTTGTTTGGGCGTTTTTGTTTTGTAATGGGAAAAGGGAAAGCATGGGCAGGCTAAAAGCCCACACCTACTGTATGCACACGTGAATAAAGTTCACTTCAACTCAGTCTATTGTCTCTCACGAGTGATGTTCTACTGTGCCATTGCATGCTCCAATCAGTGCCCGCGTCGTGGTAAGAGCGAAGCGGAAGTGTCCGATGTGACTTCCTGTTTCTCTCAGAACCACTGCGTACCAGGCCACCGGCAGTCCATCTGGAGCACCGTGACATTTCGGCCGAAAATCAGAGGCATCCAATGCCATCCGGGCTCACTTACCTCCGGAGGCTTCCCAGAGAGACCTTTACTCCTTGCGATCTTCGGAACAGCTCCCAAAATATTTTCTCCGCGTGTAAGCAGCTTTCCAGGTCAGCGAAAGGAGCATCATCTCATGACACATCGCCACAGACTGGCGGATGAAGAGCGCGCTGCACGGCACGCACGCGAACTTGAGATCGGCAAGGCAGAGGAGGCGACTGTATCTGGCGGTGAAACGATTGAGGACGAGCATTTAGTGGCCAGACTCGCCCGAATGGACATGCTTCAAACAGATTTGACTGCATGCTTCCGGGAGATCTCTTCTCCAAGTTACCACCAGACTCGCAAGAGGCAGAGCATGAACAGTGTGTGCCCGACTCACCTAAAGAGGGGTCTGAAGAGAGGAATTCTGAGGCGGAAGGCAGAAAAAGGTAAGGCTCAGGACGCAACTATCGACGCCGAAGCAATTCCAGCCCCGTAAGTGTGACTCCATAACCCATTCGCAGAGACGCATGCAGGTGAAGCCGCTTCGCCGAATCAACAACTCACGGAGGATCTACCAAGAGATGCGGTAGCACAAGCAAATCTCGGATTCTTGAGTGCATTGCTTCCGAATTCATCACATTCACCGTGCCGAGCGATGCAGGTGAACAGCGTGAATGCAAGTTGACATCCGGTCTGGAGCTCGGGGCTATGCATGCATGCATGCATGTGAAGCTGCTGTTCACTTCTCCCCGGGATAGCTGAGTCCCGGAGTATTTCTGGTTTCGCCTGATGAAGCTGGACAGTGGCAACGAAGGAAAAGAGAGATTTTGATTCGTTTGCAAAGATAGATGCTCATAAGACGGGTTCCTGTTCCGCAGACATTGTCGTATTGCTCGCAGAGAGCCGTGAGGAGTATTGTCCCCGTGAGTTCTTGATGCACAAGAAGAGGAGATCGATTGTGGGCTTCTTCGTACCTTTCCGAGGGAAGGCGTAAGCGAAAGACATATTGAGACGCACCAGTTCTCACCATACTCCATAGTGCTTATGCTCTTGTCGGTCGAGAGACCGGGCCACCTGATTAGATCGAGGGTTCGAGAGAGGATAGCTTGACCTCGAATTCGCATCCTGTCTCGCACTCTCGTGAGTTAGATTGGTGGGCGTGTTGCTTGTAGACGATGGCCGGGAACGTCCTACACACCGTCAGCAGATCCGGACGCGGCCAGTCTGATGATACGAGGCAGGTCAGCAAAGTCCATGTCGTCATCCTCACCGGAGTCTCCCTCTCATCGTGACAGCAAGCGCAGTGTGGATTGTTCGATTTGTTTCCATTCATACAGTAGTTGCTTGCCTGGTTCACCGCAGTAGCAGTCATCGAGGTCAAGTCAGTATGTACACACTCCTTCGTAGGAGGTCTGCGTCACGCTCCCAAAATCCTCCTCTCTCTTCCCATCTCCTCCCCTCCCACCTCTCCTTCAGCATCAGGCCACCGGACCTGTTGATAAAAGAGCTCAAAACATTATCGCTTCTATCCCATGACGCCCAGATTGCCCGCTTTCCCGCCCGCCCATCTTTGTAAAAAGTCCCGAAAGGGATGTGTATGCTTTGGCGGACACTGCCGTTTCGTCTAATGCTGTCTCCGTAAAATGAGTGACAAGAAAAGGATTCCAAAAAGTATGTCTGGTGTCTCATGCAGCTGCCGGACTGTGTGTGTATGTGCATGGCAAACCCGGCTGCAGTCGATCGACGCGTAAGTCCAGAAAGAAAGAAGTGTTTGGTGGCTGCGTGCACAACTGAGGCTCTAAAGTCATGATGCGATGGTGATGGTGATGCTTGCGCCAGATTCAGATGCAGGTTTTTAGTTCGTAATGCTCGTAAGTGCCGCTTTTGGCAAAAGTCGCTCGCTCACAAAATCGAAGGTTATGCTTTGCTGACCAGGTTCATCTTGGGACGCAGCTGGTTGGCGATATCATCTTTAGTCGTGACCATCTCCTTGGGGATTCGCGATACACGATATGCGCCGTCTCGGACAGCGTGGTGTTGCATGGCAGAGATACCCGAGCGATTGCTGCGGATACTGCCGGCGTCGCTGGGTGAGAGGTTACCCGGATCGCGGATCTTCGAAGGTGGTGCAAAGTCCAACGCAGTAAATGTACCTGATCGCCGCAGATGGTGCGGTGAAGGTAGTACATCCAATGCATCGAAAGATGACGCCAATGGCGTGAAGGCGCGCACACTTGGGCTGTAAGGCCTTTGCACGCCCATAGGCGAATCTGGTCGTCGACCGTTTTGCAGCTCACGGAAAGAGCTTGGTGGCGCAAAGTCGATTGGGTTGAAAACCAAATCATCCTCCTTCAGCTTGTGGGGTGTTGGCAGGCTGGTCAGAGCCTTCGGTGGAGGAAGCATCTTTTTCGGTCCGGGGCGTCCTCGTGGACCACCGCCGGACATCGTTGAATATGCCAGCGACGGACGTCTCGAGTGATATTGGTAGCCGACGGAAGAATTATCGCTTACTCGAGGGCGAGCACGTGGCGGAGGTGTCATGGCTCTTCGAGCAGGACCTTGTGCCCATGGCTTTGCATGTGTTTGTGCACCTGGAGCATAGAATCCTCCGGTTTCTGGGTCGTAGATGATGCCATCCATGTAGCCATCATCATAGTAGTAGCCAGGATCGGTGTACTGCGCATTTGCTGGCTGAGGCTTGCTGTCATCAAAGTACTCCTTGTAGAACGAGCGAATTCTATTCGCACGGACTTCTGGATTGTCATCTGGCATGTCTGGTGGCAGCGGTCTCAAGCCCATGACTGAAAGTCTTGAGCCAGCGGCGGCGGCGGCATGTGGTGCAGCAAGACTTTGCTTTCGCTGTGGTAGTGCGTTCGGGCTCGGTGGCTCGTCGCCGTACTCGGTGTAGATCATGATTGGATCGATATCATACGGTGCATCATGGTCGGTGACGGTCACTGCGTGGTGTTCTGCCAGTGGTGCGAGCGGTGTAGGTTCTTCATCCCCGTAGTTGCTCGACTCTGGGCGACTTGAGCGGTCCGTGGTGAGCATAGAGTCGCCCCTTGAAGGGAGCGAGGAGGTAGTGGTGGTGTCGGAACTTCTTGGAGCTGGTGGCATTTGCTTTGCAACTGGCTCTGGGATAGCAATCTCCTTCGCAAGCGGTGCAGGTGCCTGCGGCTCATCAATGACAATAGATGGCGAATCTCGAGGGCCCACTTCCTTCTCAAGAATTTCAGGTAGGTTCTTGTCAAGACTAGGCTTACGAATCGGTGGCGGCGCAGTTCGGTTGATCGAGCTGTTCATCTGACGCAGAGGGAAGTCGCCGCCCGCGGTGGGTGATGCTGGGTTTTCGGGGGACATGGAGTCGCCTCGCTTGGACCATGTTTGCGACATTGGACGAGCATTGACGAGCAGGCCGGCCTTGTCCTTATCTGCCAATGCTGAGTGATGTCCTGTTGACATGGAGTACAGAGAGCCGTTGTCACCTTGGAATCGGCCAGTCCGTATTGAACCGCCGTCAGTGGAGGGTCGCAGCAATGCCACGGATCGGTATGGGTCGTGGTCATCATGGGTTCTAGCCAGGCTGTGTATCGACTCGTGGGACCCGTTCATTCCAGGCGGCAGCATGTAGGGACTGCCAATGTTCATGTCTAATGACAATCCAGGCGTCCGTTTCGGTTTCCCGTGGCCACTGATCTCTTGCACGCTCATTTCAGGTTCTTTTCTGCTCTTGTTTCTCTTCACGTAGGCAGGCTCCACGCCATCCATACCGAAGTCTAAAGACTTATGCGGATCGTGCAAATCCTCCTGTTTCTGCTTTTTGCGCAATCGTCGGTGCAACACGGCCAAAATGACAGCAGCAATTAGCAATGGGACGCTAGTCACAATGTCAGTGTACGCGCTCTGCAGTGCCCCTTTCTGCCTAATACTCACACTACGCCCATGGCGATGGCCACATTCTGTATCCCTTGCCGTGCTGAAGGCGTCTCGCAGAGGCCACTGTCGGTGCCCTTGGTACAGCTGCTCGATGACCCGCTGCTGGATCCCGAAGAGTCTCGCTGTGCCAGCACTCGCGTCGCCTCGTCCACAATTTCGCCTGCCGCTCGCTTCATCCTCTCCTTCTGCGCATCGCTCAGATGCATCTCGAGCGGTAACTTCATCCTCCCTTTACACGGCCGACCCCGTGAGCCGTAGTGGTGCCAGGAGGCGGTGGACTGCTTTGGCTACCACAGCACGACGCGTTTCCGATGAAGAAGGCCGGGAGTCTTGTCTGGTGGGGTTGTTCAATGGTGCTGTTTATCGCTGCATTGAGGCGCGTCCGAGGCAGTGCAATGCAGTAATTACGTTTGGTATACGAAACGCAGTGTTCCAGGGCGGGCGCTGATCGGTAATGAGGGCGTTGGGTGCGCGTAATGGTATGTACAAGGAAAGACTGCGGTCAGACTGTCGTCGTCGTCGGGCTCGGCGGCGTCGGCGGTGGTGGTGGTTGCTGAAGAGCGGTGGTGATGTCGGTTCAAACGAGTGTCGTGGTCGGCGCCATGCAAAGGAATGTGGGAGGGTGTCTCGACCTGGCGAACCGAGTACGAGAGGATCCTTGGGAGCGTGATGGCAGTTCGGTGTGTGTGTGAAAGAGAAAGGAGAGGAATGCGGAGCTTCTGCTGATTCGGACCCACCCACGGCGCGCCGTGATTCGTCGGCACCCTAGACGTTCGGCGGCTCTGACAACATGGGTCTTGATTGAATCGCAATAAAACCACTGCCCCAAACGGCAAATCTGGCCGTCAATTTGTGCCCGCCCACTTCTGCACTGCGCTGCCTCTCACCGCTCTGCGAAGGCATCGAGACTACATGGCCAGGCCATCACCACCACGGCCTCCCAATACTGCACCACCGACGACCATCGACGCGGCTATTGACCGCCTTCCGCTGCGACCGTTGCGCTGTGGCTGCAACGAGAGTGCAGCAGCGGTGTTTCGGTCTGCTGGCGCCGAGCCTATTTCCCCTGCCTGTGCTGCAGGAACCCGTGTGGGCGCCGTGGATGGCCAATCACACTCTGTAACCTTATGTGAGACACGCTTTAGTGCTTTTTGCTGGAAATAGTGTAAGCCAAGATTCCAGCCCTTCTCGAGAGGCTTGATCAATTGGCTACGCGTCTCATGAAGACTTAATTCTCTGGTATAACGAGCTGGGTAACGCCGGACTCGTGGGTATTGATCTTTCGTCACCACTACTCGCTATACAGCTCATGCTGTGGCATGTGAAACTGGCAATATCTGTTGTCTGGTCCTGGCTCGCCAGTTCGTTGTTGGGAACTACGATTGCCATCCCAGCAAGATCTTCCGCATGCAATCTCCGGCCGTCACCCACGGTCGCCTCCACGCGAGTCGGATGCACGTGCAAGTTGCGAGGATGACGACTACCCGCAAGACACGGAGCGGTACCGGTACGGCCTACGGACTGTGAGAACTCTGGACTGTAAGGTGTGATGCGATTGGTCTGGTCTCCTAAAGTGCCTTCGCCGTGGTTGGTGGTGATAAAGGTGTGGTTCCACGAAACTGATCTGCGAACTGATCATGCTCCTGCAACTTCACCTTCGATCCTCCGATGTACAAGCAATACCTGTGATGCTGCCACTAGACGGAGGATGCAAGATGAACCCCCGGAAACGCAGAATTGCAGTGCCGCTTGTTACCTATCGTTCATTGTGCTCAGAAGTGTTGAAATATAGGAAGACCAGGACTCACCCTTCCTGGTCCATACAGCCTGCAAGCAAGAACCAGATGCCCGCCATGAAAGAACAGATCCTTAAGGACAAGAGATAAGAGCTGAGTGTGTTGATGTCAAAAAAATATCGAGTGTTGCCTGAGGGTGAAGCGGTCTCCCATACTTCACACCATTCATCCAACGCCTTCCCATCATGCTCCTATGCTCGCAAGAAGGCCAAAAAGTGTAGGGTCTGTCCCGGGATTGAACCGGGGACCTCCCGCAACTTGGATGCATTGCTGCTCCCTAAGCGGAAATCTGCGTTGTGTGTTAGAACGATGTTCAGGTGTCTGAGGAGCTGCTGGAGCTTTACTCACCATACCACTAGACCAACAGACCGATGACTAAGCAACGGAGATTGTCGTACAAGTCCTTGCAACAAAGCTCGTGGAAGTATGGAAGCACAGGCGGTAGTAGGTGAGCGAGGTGAACAATCATGCGGTATGTTTTCATGTCCGCTTCTTGCAAAAGCCGTACCTGTGCTTCACAAACCAGCGCCAGAGGGAGTACTTGCAACGCGGGTCCAGCAGAAGGCTAAGCTAAGGCAAGCATCCCATATGCTATATCATGCTTCAAGTCGAAGTGATGGATCGTGGCAGAATAGATCACTTCAAACCGTCCGCTGCTGCCCAACCTCGACGCGTCCGTGCAGTACGTGCAAGTAAATCAGTACGGACTAGGACTTTGTTAAAAGGCTATAAGTTCGGATTTTGTTCCAGCACTTTGGCACTTGCTAGACTTTGTATCCCCAGAGTTACAGGCGCGAAAAGGCTAAGCTGGGAACTGCGTTACGGCCTTTCTGCGAAGAACAAAGCCAGATTCGTCAGTGTTTCTTGTCAGCTTGAAGAGCTTCTCCAGAGAGCTGACCTAGGACCTGACCGACTGAGATTGGCAGCTACACAGACATTTATTTCCAGGAATTGAATATCATGAGTCGCAGAGAAATGTAGTAGCAGTCCCGGGGTATCAAATGCATTTCCATATCTTCTGTGCCTACGACCGGTGGCGAGAACTAAGCTCAGAACAAACGCCAGCCTCCGACTCCCCTCTCCAGTGAAATTTTGGTTGAATGTCCGATTTGTCGCCCTTGATGTGAATGTGGTAACTTGGCTTTCATGAAAGAGCCCTCTGATAACGGATGTCTATTTCTTGGCGCCATCGGCGGCCTTCTTGGCCTCAGCTGCGAGAGGCGTTAGTTTTGCACAAATCGCCACCTCAGATACTTGACACATACCGGCAGCCTGCTTCTTCCTCATAATCTCAGCGGCCTCTTCCTTGGCGCGTTGTTGCTCTGTGCCAGATAGCTTGTTCCCGGATTTCTGGATCTTCGGGTCAGCTTCTTCTGTCTCCTCATCAACAGAACCAGCAGCCCGTTCATGGCTGTGCCTCGGTGGCGTCTATGACTTACCATTCCAGCCAATTTCTTCTGGTTAGCCTCACGAGCCTTGTCACGCTGGTTTCCACGAGCCATTCTTGCGATCCGAGCTGAAGCCTACGGATGAGAGGAATCCGGAAGATGAAACTGGTAATGCCGCGACGGTGCGATGCTGTCTTTCCCACTGACTTTGCAGGTTCCGCAATCGGATGCTCGTGCTGGTATGTCTGGCAGTCTATGGTACGTAGATGTGGAAGAGAAAAGCGAACCTGCAGGAGCAGACAAGTCCAGAAGGCAAGAGAAGCCCAAATTTGGAGCACGGGCCAAGTCAGCCGGCCTTTGCGATGTGGTTGGCCGATTGCAGCGGCAAGGGCACCGCAAACCCAACTTCACCCAAGCTTCAACTTCTCATTTCGATGCTTGCAAGGAAGGGTTGTATGCTGGTGCGATCTCCGAACATTGATGCATGTGACGCTACGCAATTGTGATGGTATTGATTATTGACTTGGAAATTTGGAGAATCATATCACCCGGCTGCGCATCAAAACCATACTCGGTGGCAAGACCATCGGTCGAATGAACTGACAATGTCCGACAACGAGATCAGCATAGAACCCACATCAGAGTCAAGCCCATTTCTCACATTAGCCCCAGAACTTCGCAACAGAATCTACGAATACGCCCTCAATCTCAGTCAAGGCTCCGAAAAGCTCGATCTCAACCACTCTTTCCGAGGCTCCAACCCTGTATTTCGCGAGCCAGGTCTATTGACCACATGTCGGCAAATCCGCCACGAATCGCTCAAGATATATCTCTTGTCCAACAACTTCGCTATCAAAGTCTTTGACTGCGAAATATCCCAGCTCATCGCCTTCGAACAGAGATGCTCGGCTCTGGACGTCGCGAAGAATATGAGTGTCTCAATATGGCCTGCAACAAAAAGTGAAGACTTCGATTGGAAGGCGCTGTGGGACTGGGCGTTGTATGTTCATGCTGGAACGCCTTGGATTCCTGTGGAGGGAAGTCAACGGAGTGCGTATAGTCGCAAAGACCGGATCACTTCGACTGTTTTCACAACATTAAGAATTGCGTGGATGATGCAGGATGCACCTATTGGAAAAGCGAAGGATGCGTTGAGAGCGCATTTGTATTCTGCATATCGCATGCTTTGTGCTGGTAAAGGTCAAGAAGGATGGATGGCGCAGAAGGAGGTCTTCGTTTGAAGCCATGCGACAATGTGTAAGATCACCTCGTCATTCTCCCCTACCATGGAGCATGTACAGCACTCTCGATGTGCTTGTAGCATTGCATGCAACACTCGCTGCCAACAATATGGACATTCGGCCCTCAACCAACGGACGAACCTTCGGCTCCGAACAAATTCTTGGCACCCGATTGGCTCTCGAGCACAGCAAGGTGACGTCTCGACGAATCCTCGTGCAACGCGTATGCCACATTCGCAGCTATTTCTCGCAAGCAACGGGAAGATATAAGTACGACCATTGCCAATCTCTGTTCAACGGTAGGAATTAGCACAACTATTCCATCTTCTACAAGGCAACAAAACCACTTTAAGGACGATGTCCGCTCCATCGATCCTTATAATCGGCGCTGGCATTGCCGGTCCTCCGTTGGCATCTTTCCTCCTTCTTTCTCCTCTCCCAGCATCGCAGCTTCCATCCATAACAATTGTGGAACGACGTGCAGAAGATGATCAATCTAAGGGCCAAAACATCGACATCCGCGGGACAGGAATGCAAATTATCCGAAACCTAGGCTTAGAAGCTGCGATCCGAAATGCTACGACTGGCGAAGAAGGTTGTCAATTCGTCGATGACAAGGGTCGCGTATGGGCAAGCTTTGCGGCGGACAAGACTGGCCAGATTCAGACCGGCACGAGCGATATCGAGATTCTGAGGGGAAGACTAGCGGCGATTTTGTTGGGGAGATTGAAGAGTTTAAGTGATGATGTGAAAGGGAAAGGGGGCAAGGGAGTGGAATTCCTGTTCGGGGACTATGTGGAAGAATTTACCGATGTTGGAGAGAAGGGGGCGGAGGTGAAATTTGCGAATTCTGGGGAGAGACGGCAATTCGACGTTGTAATCGCTGCCGATGGATTGCAGAGTCGGACGAGGAGGATGGTGTGGGGTGAGAGTGGAGAAGAAGACAGGCTCAAGAGGTTGGGCATGTATGGCGGTTTCTTCAGTATGCCGAGCGCGAAGACGGACAGCGAGTGGCGAAGATGGTTCCATACCTCGGGAAGGAGAGGCATCATGGTGAGGCCTAGCGACGACCCGAAGATCACAACGGTGTTTGCGTATGTGATCAACGAGAACGATCGCAGGCTTGAAGACGCCGCTCGAGATGGACGGAAAGGCAGCGCCACCCAACGAGCTTTGTTGAAAGAGTACTATCAGGATGCCGGGTGGGAGTGTGAGAGAATCAATAGGGAGATGGAGATAGCCGACGACTTCTACTTCGATATGGTAGCTCAGGTGAAGATGCCAAAGTGGAGCAAAGGCCGAGTGGTGCTACTCGGTGATGCTGGATATTGTGCATCGCCAATAAGCGGAATGGGAACGACCTTGGCACTCAACGGAGCGTACAGCCTCGCTGGAGCCCTGACTCGTAATCCGCACGATCACGCTGCGGCATTCGAAGAGTACGAGAACAGCATGCGGCCTCTCGTGGACCGCGCTCAAGCATTACCACTCGGTGGCAGAGTGCACTATCTCATCAACCCGGAGTCAGTCTGGGGTGTATGGGTTCTGCATTTGCTGTGCTGGTTCTTCTGCCAGTCTGGCATCGCAATGCTGCTCGCGCGGTTCCAAGGTCCTCCAGCAAATGCCGTGCCTATCAAAGAGCACGGCTTCACGCAGGCAGCTGAATGGCGAGAGTAATGCTGAGCATTCGCGTCGGACAGTGGCCCGTCGAATATCCTCCGAAGTGCTAGAAGCTGCACCTACGTTTCCTTCGTCGGTCCACGTAGATGTGGGTAGGTTTGAAGTTTTCCAAGCCACAGAAGGTAACATGAATTCTCTTATAACAGTGAAACACTCTTGTTCGATCTCAAGCTCCTTTCAGCTCATATCTTGCCTTCTGCAATTCCTCCAGATCCAGCGGCGCCAGCTGTTGCCTGACGAACATGGTGAGGCCCAGAATGATAGCAGGTAGACTCTCTCTCCACGCGTCGTCCAGACTCCCTTGTCTCCAGCTCACGAACGCAGCAAGTGTCAACAGTGCCGCAAGCCCTGCATTGAGACAGACCAGATACTTCTCAACTGGGCTCTTCTCTGCTTCAACTCGATATACCGCTCTCTTGCCTTTCCTCTCCAGCTTCTCAATCGGCATGAAATGCAATATGTAAGCAGTACATGCCAGACTAGAAATACCGAGGATCGCTATCAGTCGCTGGCGAGCAGTCGATGCTGTAACAAAAGTGTAGAGAAAGACGAGAGACGCGATGAAGGGTATGCTGAGAAAGGCTCTGCGGTAAAGTTCGTTCTTTGCGGAGTCTTCTGCTTCGAGGTCGGCTATGAGCTTCTCTTGGTGCTCTTCGTCGAGATCTTCGGGCTCGTTATCGTCGTCTTCGGAAGGGTAGCGGAATGTTCTGCGTAAGCGGGCTGCGGCCATCATAGCCTTGGAGGGAGGACACGCTGCTGTGTGGGTTGGATGATTGGGATATTGCATTTGGGGTCGACGGTCGTCAACATGCGCGGCGATGCTTGCCTGGCGGTGGCACAGCTCGGCCACCTATGTTTGGAGTGAAGCACATGCTGGCGGAATTGTTGCCTGTGTCGAGCTTGCAGGTCCCACGCTTGCGTCACAAGGTGGGTGGTCTTGGACATGCAAGCCACCAACTTCTGGCAGGTGAACCTCACCTTCTTGCAGCTTTCATCGGCGCCGGAACATGCCTGCGGCACGGAGAAAGAGCTGAGAAGGAAAGCTCCTACTTTCCATCCACCGTCAAGGCCAGCATGCTCCATTTGCCGCTTCGCCGGTGGTCGGCCGCAGAAGCTGCCTGCAGCTCCATCCTGTAGCCTTCATCTCGCGACAACTAACTCATCGCCTCTGAGAACACGTAGATACAAATAGATTGATCTCGTAGACACATCTATTGCCTTCAGAGGCACCGATATCACGCGATACGACGCAGCTACAAGCTTGAGAACGACCATGGCTTCGCTCCCCACCAGAGAAGCACCGGACTCGAGCGCTGCTCAAACAAACGCCAACAAAATCCTCGTCAGTATCCAGGACCAACTTCGCGGCCCAGGAGGCGCCGTCGCTATTGTCAAAGATGGCGAGACTCTTGCCAGGCATACATATGGCTACGCAGATCTCGATCGCCGGATCCCCCTCACGCCTCAAATGCACATGCCAATCTGCTCCATCTCGAAGCAAATGGTCTGCTTAGTGCTGGTATCTCTAAAGTACGAGCCGACACCGCTGATGGCACAGTTCTCTGGGGATATCTGGGAGCAGCTTGCCGTGGAGTTGCAAAAGGTGCTTCCTCACCTGGTGGAGCGTGGTCTGACAGTGCCCGATCTCTACAACATGCAATCCGGGATTCGTGACTATTGGGCAATGACTACACTTTGGGGTGCTGAACCTGAAGGGCAGTTCAGCATCGCCTTGGACGCACCACAGGCCATTGCACGGACCAAATCTTTCCACTTCGAGCCTGGCACGGAGTACTCCTACTCCAACGTCAACTTCCACAACCTTGGAAGCATGATCGAAGCTGTGGCCGGCCAGTCCCTGGGTCAGCTTCTTGATGAGCGAGTCTTCAAGGCTGCTGGAATGAGAAGTGCGGCCTTGTGCCCAAATACAGCTGGTCATCCTTTGCCCGTTATTGGTTACGATGGTGACGAGAAACATGGCTACAAGGCCGGCATCAATCGGATCGAGTGGTCAGGAGATGCTGGAATAGTTGCTACGCTAGACGACATGATCGCATACGAGAAGTGGCTCGACAAGACTTATGCTGCAGAAGGCAGTCTTTACAACACAATAGCCAAGTCTACAACTTACAGAGATGGCTCAGTCGCAAAGTATGGCTACGGACTCGCTCGCGGAGAGACTGCTGGTAAAGCCTGGCTCGGCCATGGAGGTGCTCTCAGGGGATTTCGACTGTGGCGCATGCATTTGCCTGAAGAGCATCTCTCAATCGTGGTGATGTTCAACCACGAGGGAGATTCTGCTGCGCCCGCTGACGCCATCCTGAAACGTCTGCTGAACTGGCAAGAACCTGAGAGAGCCTTGAGCACGGCAGAGTCCAACCTTTTCGGGGCCTATCTGGATTTCGAGACTCAGCTTCTAGTTCGAGTTGAGAAGTCTGATGATGAAGGATATGTTAACGTCACATATCACATTGCCCCAGAGAAAACCAGGCTGACAAGTGGCACAAGTGTTGAGTCAAAGGGCATGACTGCGAATTTAGAAGCCGATACTTTGCACGTACAACGCTTGCGCGACAACAGAGCCTTACAGGCGAAGCGTCTTACCGATCTAAAGGGCGAAGAGGCATTGCCTAAAGGTGACCAGTATACGGGCAGCTACCATTGCGCTGATTCTGATAGCATTTTCCATTGTTTCGGAGCAGGCTCAATGCTCTACGGCTCCTTTGATGGTTTTCTTGGCAATGGTCCAGCGCATGTGATGCGATATATCGGCGAGGATGTTTGGCTACTTTCGAATCCGCGTGGAATGGATGCACCTGCACCTGGGGATTGGACTGTTGTGTTCAGACGAGACGGCAGTGGGGTCGTCACGAATGTCACGATCGGATGTTGGCTCGCAAGAAGGAATGCCTATACCAGGGTCTCGTGAAGATGATCACTACCGAACCGATTTATACGTTGCAGTTCTGGCCGTCTCAGGCCTGCTGTGGACTGGATAGCCGTGTGTTCAGCAGGGTCCATCGCATTTGTTCCGCTCTCGTACACCACACTTATTCCAACCCTAACTCTATAGCATGTATCGCTGCTGACGAATGAGGAAACCTAGCTTCGTCAACTGACGACTGCGATGAACTAGAAAGTCCTCTCTGATTCCCGACTGGCCCGCGCGTCCTAGCGTTCCTCCAACTGCTGCTCACATTTAAAGCGATTGATCAGAGTTCACTCCCAGTCAGCACTATTGGCGTATCGGACCATTCTCATCGTACACTCCCTTCTTTGTCGCCATGGCATACCCCCACGTGATCCGCGTTTCTACAAATCTCAACGACATCGGATCGTTAACCATTCTTGCGTTAATGCCTGTCAGACATGGTCAGCATCGGCTCAAAAACGTCAAGGCTTTCGCTGCCAAAGCCATCAATCAATCATGGCCGATCCCTTGACCACGATTAAGAAGAATGACGACAGAATCATGAACCTCAAGAAAACAAAACTCAAAGAACGGGCTTACCCATCTTCCTATTTCCTCCCTCAGCGACGGATTTCTGCGGGTACCAGAACATCAAACACCCGCACTTCTCACAGAACACGAACCACTCTTCATCATCGCCCCACGAATACGTTTTCGTTGGAAGCACCGAGGTGGCTGAAGAAGTGCGGTCCTCTCCCCCCGCTTCCATCTTGCCATCTTCACGCACACGATAATCCGTAACTTCGATGCTGTTGACTTTTATGCCGTGGCCGTCCTTGTCATGGTAATAGTAGGCCCACTGCGCTCCGTGACGACGGCAGAGCGAACATTGACATTCGTTGAGGAATTCTGGTGGGTGTGTAGTGGTGACGACAATGGCGTTGCAATGGCAGGAGGTCTTGAGTGGTGGTACAGAAGTGGACATGGTGTCGAAGTTGCTGAGACAGATTGTATTGCTGAATGAAGAGGAAATCGTAAATGTTCTAGTTCTTCAGCCGAGGTTGATGTTTATGGAGTAGTCGTTGCGGGGAGCTATTGAATTTGCAACGACGATCGACGACGTGCACCGTGTACGGGCGCGTAAGGCCGCGTTCTTGTATCTTCGCGCGTTGTCGTACCTGGTGCCTGGTCGCTTACTAATTCCATGCTACGCAAACAAAAGGCAGGTGTCACTCATGCCTCAAATATGGTGCCTCGCACAGTGCATGCTACCGGCTCTTCTGTCTCTCCACCCCACTCGATCGCCTCCGAACAACCTTTCACCCAACGATCTGCAGGTCATAGTCAGTAAACATACTTCTGTGGCTTCAGAACACAACTTTGCATAAAGTACTTACAACAGGATTCAAGAGACCTTGGATCGACGAGTTCTCGTCTCCATTGTCCACGTATGTTGGTCCACAAGCCTCAAAGTACGATCCATCTTCTGCTCCTTCCAGCGTATCGCTGCAGCCCATTGTAGTGCCATTGGCACAAAACTGCGCGACATGTCAGCAACAATCACACAAAGAAACTTGCCAGTCACCGAGAAAAGCCTACCGAGATCGGCGTCCAACCCAAGAAGAACATCTGCCCTGTCGAGACGGCCACGCCTCTAGTGAGGTTTGTGGAGCTCATCGCGGGGAATTTGCGTCCTTCTGTTGCATTGCTGAGAACGTCGAAGAAACCGTCGTACATGGTTTCTGCAGCAGAGCTTCCATTGAAAGTGCGATTGTTCTCGCTCAAGGGAGTCTGGACTTGAAGATCAAAAGTGCAGAAGTTACCACCCGAGTTAGTGCAGTCGTAATTGTCGCTGACTTTCTTGCTTCCGTGCACAAGTGACGAGTAGGTCCGGTCAATGTCAAGAGAGCAGCCGGAGTTGCCACTCTGGCGCTTGACTAGTGCTTCACTTGCAGCATCCTCCAGATCTCTTAGAGAGTGAACAATAGTCGCTTGCGTGGGTCCAATGAAAACGAACGCGAATAGCAAGGCGGAGATTATCCAGCTGTATCGTGGCATCGATGAGCGGAAAGCGGAGGAGCTGAGAGTCTCAGTGTTATTGGACATCAAGTCTCCTTGACAGAAAGGACCCCATCCATATCCGGTCTCGACGCCTTCGTTCGCACAGCGTGTCCAATCGCTCATTGAGTCTGTCGTTTCACAATAAAGCCAGCATTGGTATTCTTGAATCGTGGCAGAGCCGCAGCAGCGTTCAGCTATAGTGCGGTTCGTTTGGACACCGCAGACGCGGGTGCCAGTTGCGTTGGCGACGATAGGAGTACCAAGGATGCCTGAGCAGTTGAGAGGTTGTCCTGACACTGGCCAGAGCATTTGTGCATCGCTGTATGAGCCGTCCATGATGGCGAGAGTGACTGCCGGTTTTCAAAGTATAGAAGAAAAGTCGGTGGTTGTCGAAATGTAGCAGCAAGCCTTGTGGTGAGGACGTGTCGAGAGGATCAAGTGGAGGTCGAAAGCTGTAGATATCACAGAACCAAGTGACTCTGACGCTGCAATGCATACCGGTCAGGCCAGAGATCTGCGTGTATATGAATCCTTCTCTGTTTGTAGAATAGAGGTTGGGGCTCCGCGGTGATCTGCAACACCAATGCCTTGTCTCAAATGCCAAGCTTCCTTCGCGGTTACATTTGGACTGTGCCTCTGCTTATGACGAGCATCCCACAGCCGCGCATCCGAGGAGAACATTGGCATAAATGCTTTTGTAGGCAAATGTGCTGTCATGTGCTGTTGAAATGCTGGGACTCTAGTCGAGTCCTCACTCTTGCTCGATCGTGTCCGGATAGAAACTACGGCGACCCAAAGTTTGACATACCACATTTGCCGAACTTAGCCACTTGGTGCATTTGTTCAAAGAGTATTGAGCTCGACACCAAAATCCCGACAGAAAGCTTGCTTTGGATCAACGACTGCGTCTCCAGAGGTTTGAGACGGGCCACTCGAAGTCACATGGGCCAAAGTGCTCATCCTTCCAACAGCATATTTCGTGGTATCGAACGAATGGCTTTGCATGTCCAGTAGTCTTCGATAGCGAGTGATCTCAGATGACCAGAACTGTATGTCATCGTCAGAGCTTGAGGCGTGCAGCACAGAAAACATGAAACCTGTATCGCAGAAGTCAGAGCCTTGGATAAAAAGCACCCAAATATTGCAACATAGCTTACCGCCTGCCATCGCAAAGTTGAGCTGCGAGATTGGCGACCACCAGAAAGCCCGCAGTCTAGTCACCTGTAGATTCTCGAGCAACTTGGAGATGGCGATAACACATTGCCTGGACTGAGTGCGGACATGCTCCCAGAGTGGTTCGGTGGGCGGGAGGCACCGCAACAATGCCCGATACAGCACAACTTCGATGGTGTAAAACGCAAGATCTAATGTGCCTACCTTCGGTAAGTTGTCAAATCTCAGTCGATGCTTTAGCAAGGCTTACCAGTAGGGTCGAGAACTAGATTAGCAATATGTTCCGGTGGTGCGAGGCACCGTGTACGGAGGTCAAGGAGCTGTTGCTCAAAATGAGCCTTCATACTTGACAGCTCAGTGGGCGATGTCTTGGTCATTTGTTGCGCAGCTTTCAGCGTGTAGAACATCGTCAAGACTTCGGCAAGTATCTTCGTCATAGCAACCATGGCCACGAACATTTGCGCACTCGTTCCAGGCAACACAGCTTGATTCACAGTAACAGATGAAATCTCCCCGGGCGTGAGCAAAGCCATATCGAAAGAAGCTTCGTGTATGAATGGCGGCCGTCCGAGGCCTAATGCTACCCACTGGTCGAAGATGTACGCGGCCGACCAGATCCTCTTCCGTCGATTGCGATCTGTAGAGGACAAGTTCCACTGTGCTGAGTCTACGTGGAGACCCGCATCATAGCACATCGCGACCAGAGTCCCAATCTCTGCATGGACACCAGCCGTTCCAGGAGAATGACGGACGCGATCACAGCGCTGAAGGAACAGGAGTGCAGCTTCTATGGTGTCAAGCCGTGGCGTCCGGGCTTCAACTGGAAGAGCTTGCGAGACGAATGCATCGATTGATGCAATGGACAGACCCGCAGCCGGTGGACAGAGTGGCTGTGCTAAGATATACATTGCCGCCAACAGAAGCAAATCGATCTTGTTGCCTTTGACGAATCGTGCTGGATCTAGCAAGGGAAAGGAAGGGTGCACGACCTCGAAATAGGTTGACAATAAGTCGTGATGCAGCGGGTATGCTGCGTCCAACAGCGAGCTTGGCGGATAGTAAGACGACCTGGGGTTGAGAGAGCTGTCTGGCTGGGCTGTGAAGAGAGATGGAATCCTGCTGTTACGTTGCAGCATCAAGCAAGCCCAGTCTCCACTCTTGTAGTAATCCGATTCGTTGAAGTTGGCGTGCCGCAACACGAAGGGATCTTGGTCGCTGGACAGACCCACGTGTTGTGATATCCATTCAGAAGAATCTTGGCTATTGGTCGGGGGTGGTGGCAATGGTGCTGCTTCACAAGCATCACCTTGATTCGAGCTTGGTTCAGTCGTCTCAGCTGGGCGACGTCGCCTGGGCGTGGGCCCTAGATCATAGCTACAGTTCTGTGACTGCATTCGACACAAAGAGCACGCAGCATCGCCAGGCTGGCGAATACAGCAGACCTTTCGCCTTCTGCATATATGTCAGTATCAAGAATCTGACCCACAGGGTTTGGTGTGCTACTCGCCTGCACGCATCGCAAGGCCTTTCCTTCCGGCTCTTATACTTTCTACCCTGGGCAGGCGAATGTGCTTGGATTGGAACCTCCATCAGCGACTCGCATCCAGATACAGCCTACCATTGTTTGAACAGGCGTAGAACCAGGTACCAGGCATGTTGACACGAGACATTGTGTTGCCCGTCGCTGGCCGATACTTGTCTCTTGCACTACGTACAGAGTGCGATAAGCAGTAGGAGTAGAGAGATAAGGATGCCGCGGCCTAGCATGATCGGCGTAGCGTAACCCGACTGGCGCGAGAGGTTGCTGATAAGAGATATACCTTCTGTCGCCATTTCGTGCCTTTACATTGTTATTCTCGCTCGCTGTGCGACTTGCTGATGTTACTGATTATTGTACGCGTTGCCCACACTCCAGTCAGGAGCGAGACCTGCGAGAGACATTATCGAGGGGGCATGATACGATCGTCATTGATCTTCGGAGTGGCATGAGGTTCGGATGCTGGGTCTCTGACCTAGGACTTGGCCGTCGAGAGAACGAAGCCATCATCATGTAAGACTGACAACAGGACCTCAGATGAGGCATCTGATGAATAATGTTGTGGAGCGAAGAGGAAAGAGAAGCTCAGCAGCTGCTGCTGCGTGAGGTGCAAACGCGCCAAGCTTCCAGCCACGCGGCAACCACGGATGGGGTCACATCGTGTGCGTCGAGACATTGATGAAGCATTGTTCAAGCACTGAATAACTTGTCATTCCAAGCGATCTATCTTCGGGTATGGTATCGTGATATTCCTCAACTCCTGCTTATCCTAGCTCACTCAGCTGCCGCGCCGAGAGCAGGTGGTATCAACGCGCAAAAGATGATGCAGCAGAACAACGAATTGTCGCGCTGAAAAACAAGTCATAGCCGCCCCGTCATATACTGACGCCATCCATGTTGTCAGAAAAGTGACTCGCTGCTCCTATCGACCTTCAAAGTCACTCAGATAGTCTCCGGTGGCGTTTCCGCCGTACGCGCCAAATTGCGACTGATTTTGTTGCTGCTGCATTCCTCCCATGTGGTTCATGCCCATCATGTTCATTTGATTCATGTTGTTCATGTTCATATTCATTCCGGTCATGTTTTGATCCTGCTGACCAAAGCTGTTTTGTTCGTTTTCCGAGTAGTCCTCGTAGCCGCTGCCCGTTGCATCGAAAGAGCTGCGTCCGCTGTATGCATCCTCGTCCGGTGGCGCGCCTGAGGGTATGCTGTTCCAATCAATATGCTGTAGAGCAGGATATTGTGCAAGCAATGCTTGCGGTAGAAAGTTGCCCATGTTCAGCTCTGGTTGTACCATCATAGGCTGAGGTGCAACAAGGCCTTGCGCGACTTGTGCTGCTTGTTGTTCTTCCATGAACGCCTTCTGCCGCTCTGCCGCTTCCTCATCTAGTAGTGGCTTGATACACACTCTACCGGCCTCGGATCGGAAATGACGCCCAAGAGCATCGGCGCGCGCGAATCGTCTGCCACAACCCCACTGCGATCCAGTCTGAAGTGTGCCTCGACACACAAACTTCTTTTCGCCGGAATGCAGGCCTTCGTGTCGTTTCCGATCATGCTGTCGTGCGAAGGCTTTTCCGCAGACTGTGCAGACGAATGGCCTCTCGTCGGTATGTGTCCGCAAATGTGACCGCAGATTGTACGCACGAGTGAAGCGTTTCGGGCACAGGTTGCATTGGAACGTGGCTGGATGCTTTTGCACACGCTTACTGTCCCCACCTGTGCTAGGCGATCGTGCCGGGTCGGCCAGATCCAGAATGTAGTCGCGCTGGTCCGAAGCATTGCTTGAGCTACGCGCGCGACCTGCCGATCCGCTCCGGCCTCGAGCAGGTGACGAGGACCGCGAGCCGTTGCGAGAATCATCGACAGCCAGCAGACTCTCACTGCCCGCTGATGGTGAGCGCCCCCGCCCTCCTAGCAATGCTGGAGAAGGAGATCGAGATCCTGCGTGCGAGTCTGATTTGGCACGCACACGATTTGCTATAACGGATTAGTAAACGCAGACGAACGAAAAATAAACGAGGCTTACTTCGGATTGGAGGGCTCAGCGCATCTGCCGACTTCTCTATGCCCATATTCTCCGTAGGAACTCTTGAGGGAGGCGCGAAGTCGATGTTGATCTCGGGAGGACTCATATGGTCTGCCATCCCACCACCGGGACTTTGATTGTCGAGATTAGCTGCTGGAAATGCTTCTTGTCCTAAACCTGGGAACATCTCAAGGCCGCCATTCTGAGTGTTAAACTGTCCGTTCATCGTAGATGTCAGTCCAAAATTATTGTCAGCTGTGAATTGCGGCAATGTCTGTTGTGACTGTGGCATGAGATGTGGAGAGTGGCCGGGGCTGTGTCCAGGACTGTAAAACTGCTGCTGCTGCTCATTGAGATTGAAGTTCTCAAAGCCCAAACCAGTGTTAAACGTCGGATCTTGGGCAGGATTGAGCATAGGCGATGAGTGCTCAAAAGCGTCCAGCGTACCGATGTGCGGCGACGCTGCATGGTTCGAGGAGATATCCGAAAGGTTGTCTGAGGGTGTCCGCTGGTGCGATCGATATGCGCCCATGTGCTGCCACTCATTACTTCCACCTTGGGGATACCGAGCACTCGATGGATCGAGCGACTCTGAATTCATTCGCGGTCTGTTCATTTGCTGCGCATAGCTCGCTTGCTGGAATCGTGGGGAGGCATGTGGGCTGGGACTGCCTGACAGCCGTCTGGCTTGTTGCTCGGCGAAGAGGTGCGGTGGGGTGGGCGAATGCGACTGTGTCATGGCCGCCATAGGATCGAGCGTTTGGTTGATCGTCGTGTTGGTCCCGGGTTGCTGATTGAGCAGATCTAGACCGGAGGGATCGACGCCGTCCAGGACGTTTGGATCGAGACTCGAGCTCGAGCCAAAGTTCGCGTCGAAGGTGGGAAAGGCGCTGCTGACGCCGTTGGGATCCTGAAAGCCTTGCGACTGCAAGTAATTGTGGTTGGACGTGTTGTTGGCCAGCGTCTGCTGTTGCGACTGATCTGGGAAGGCAGTGTAGGTGGGGGCCAGGCCGAATTGCGCCTGAGACGAGAAGTCGGTGTTGAAGGTCGGGTCGCTGAACTGGCCCGACGTTACATTCAGGCCTGTCGCGAAAGCATCGGTAGTGAGGCTGGTGTTCTGGAGGGTGGCACTGTTTGCGGCGCCGTCGAAGGATGATGCCAGAGGGGACGGGTGCGGCGATGCCGAAGTCGAGTGCCTTATATGGTTGCTCGTCTGACCCGCCGAGGGCGAGCGTCCGCGGTGTGCGTCCATCTCTGAGCCCCGGTCGCCTAGCAATGAGGAGAGCTGGGTTCTGGTCGTCGCGGCTAGGAATAGAACAGGCGTGCTTTTGGCAGAGGTGCAGTCAGAGCCAGCACACAGCGCACAAGACCGCCGGCGCTTCTCCCGCCTCTGAAGGATTGCGGCCTAATCTGAACCTGAACTAGGATGTCACAGCTGCAGCAGCTACGCCAGCGCGCAGAAGGGACAACAGGTCGGCAAGAGGGCTGACGCGCTACTGCGATCTGTCGCGGCGTGTCGGTGGGCAGATTGGCGAGGGTCTTTGCTTGGGCGTAGTGGGCGCAGTCGGCGTGTGTGAACCTTGGATTGTGCTCGCTATGGGGCGAAGCACCTGCACCACCGCCCACAGCCTGTCGGCAGGCGCTAGGAGGGAATGTGGCCAGCCGCGAGCATCAAACGTGACCTCCGTGCGACTGCGAACGCACTGCAGAGCCTGCCATTCGCGCGCGCACTGCTGTCCTGCATGAACTGACGTCTGACCGCTGCAATCAAGAGCACGACCAGAGGGCTTGATAGTCGTGGCTCTTCGTCATGGCCGACGGAGCTAATTTTAAACTAGCACATTTCATCTTCACCAACATATCCGGTTTGTGAACGATAGACGACGAGCGCAATAGCAGCGAGCCAAGCCCGAACTCGGTCGCGTCGAGTCGAGTCCATCTACAGACCGACATTTTCTCATCGCACTCGTCCCATAGTCCATCCGCCGTCACGTCTAGCGGCAGTATAGCCAGATGCCAAACACCCCACAATCACTAACCGAGTTATCCGATATCCGACCTACTCTGCTCACGCTCACGCTCACGCCAGGCAGCAACATTGCACTTCTCACAAGTCTTCACTCGTTAATGCACAACTCCATCATGACAGCATCACGCACATGCCAGGCATTGGAGCTAGTCCCGTCTTCTCGAAGCTATGGCCCGCGCTACTCAGGAACGCTTTCGCGCTTCGTTTCATACCTCTAGCACAGCCTCCTTCCTTCCGCGAAATCCTTCGAGGCTGTGTAAGTCTCCCCTGGCCACCAGCGAAGCCGCCAGTCCCACAACGAATCAAAATTAGAAGAAATGGATACAAGCTCGCTAGTGTTGCAAGGTACAGAAGTCATTTCCGCACTTCGCTCGAGGCCAGGCACGAGGATCAGGCAGCAGTGGCTGCACAGTACACACTTCCGTGGCTACTCGGCTTGACAATGCTCACGAGATGCGACTGACAACTGAGTGCTCCGGATGTCATGGGAAGTATAACAACGTATCTCTCCTTGGCACCAACAACATCTCCGGCAAACGCAACTCGAAACCTCCATCACGCGAGCAACGCGCAACCCTCAGCTGTTCATGGTCATGGTTCGTATCGAGTGTTGGCACATCGGTATGCAAGCTATGCTCTCACCGAAAGCTGAACCATGCTAGTACAACGACGCCACAAGCATTGGCACTGCAGTCAGGAACAGGCACTTGAGATGAAACACGCGTTTGATGCACTGACGCGTGGCTAGTGATGCGGAAGGCTTGGGATCATCTGATGATTGCTTACTACGAGCTTGAAAGTAAGCCGAATACGGCAGACGAGTCTGCCTCAAGGAGCTGTATCGCGAGCTTCTCCCAACGCAAGAAGTCCGGCAGATTGCAGCCACCACTATTGTGAAGAGCACCACTGGCTCGACGCTCCATGTTCAGCCATCGATCTTGTGGCACGCCTCATGGTAGCCACAGTAGCCTCGAGCACACGCTCACCCAGGCTTGTCTCTCCCATCATGACGATATGATGCTAGCGCCGGTCTACGACATTGCTCGCTGTTTACTTACCGCTGACGATCGAGCTTCGAGACTCGTGATGGCCTCACTCCTGGTACTTGTGACCTCATCCACGCCAGGACTGCTGTTCCGAATGAAAAGGCCCTTTCCACACTAGTCAATGAACACCAGCCGATGTGTGCTTCGCATTCGGCTCGGATAGCTGGCAACTTTCCGACCGGAAATCTAGATCTTGCTGGTAATAAGCACTAGAGCACACACCATCGACTTGCATGAGCCGCCAGAGCCTCCTCTTCCGAAGGAGAGTAACGGCCGGAACGAAATCTCGCTGAAGTAGACGTTCGCCATGCAAGGCCCAACAGGCCAACGGACGGAGCTTCTCATTCCGACGTTCGCCTCCGGGTAGTTGCGTCCAGGCATCTCTTGTTGGCCCTTGTATAGCGTCTCCGCCGAGCCCACACGACGTCAAGGTGAAGTCGCGGTGTCAATGACGAATAGCGTTTCTCTTCCTCATTCGGGCAGTATGGCGTGGACCGCACTTCTCTCCGCTCGCTGGAAGGCTTGTCGGCGTTTCCTGGTCTTGTGAAGACGGTGATCCGCGCGGGTTGTCATTAGCGTATCTTGGGGAAAGAGTGGCATTGGCAATGAGGTCTGATCCAGTAAGGTCGCCAATGCGGAGGTTTTACGCGGCTGACACAAGCTGGGAGTTGAGAAGTCTGACAGTGAGATAAGTGTTGAGTATAGCATTAGTCTCTACGAAGCAAAGATTTTGCATTGAGGGACTGATACAGATATTTCGCTGTGGCAATGCCGGAGTCAAGCCTTTGCAGTAAGAATATGGCCGACTCGAACGCAGGATTTCTTGGCAATGTGGTCCATTCGATTGATATGAAGAGTCTATTCTCAAGCTAAGACTAGTCAAGGCGTTCTTTCAGTTACCGTCGTAGATTGTCAACAAGAGCAACTATGACGCTTCCAGTGAAGGAAGAATCACGCCGCGTTTCAGTGCTTGACTCTATGGTTTATCATCATTTGAACGCCCTTGCCATGGCAGTAAGCAATGTATGTAGTGGATCGAGCCCGGCTGCTTCGACACAGCAGAGGCGACGGCTTGGCCATCCCTCGACGGACCCAAAAAGTGTTGTGAACTCCTCGCATCAAGAATAAGCCCCATCGAGTTACCCGACATCTTTTCATCTCCATCAGCCCTGAACGAGTGTAGCAGGATGATGAGGGTGAGAGACGTCGAGCAATCGCATATCTATTGACCTTGACGAATGGACTCCTTACCTGACCTTGAATCCAACTTGTCCCTCACCAGGAATCCCATCACCTCCTCCATCCTTTTTGCCAGCCCTCCAGCAAGCACCGTCTGAACAGAAGCGCAGACTCATATCCTCGTCTCCCCTCTTGCGAAGGGCACCTTGCGGCGGGCGTCCATCCAGGTGCGATGCCGAGTCGAGCAGCCGTCGAGATGGAGTGCGAGCGGTGAAAAGGTAGTGAAGGAGGATGGAGGTGCAGGAAGGACTGAGCCGCATGAAGATGCTTCTATGGCGGCGCTTTTCAGCTTGCCAGTGACGGAGCACTGGAGTTGTCCGGGGACTTTCTCCCAAAGCTGTGTGTACAGGACAGTAGCCCGAAGGCCACGTCGGTGTGTGAGCTTTGATTGCGATTTTTTGAGCGAGGAGTTGAGGGAAGAAAAGAGGAAGTGCGAGGCTGCAGAAATTTGGATTTTAGGCACAGCTTGGTTGGTGCCTGATGGTGCCTGAGCGCGTCTCTCCGCGTCAAGCAAGTACTTCAGGCGAGCTTCACTTTACCTGCACAGAGCAAACGGGCAGCAACGCGACAAGCCGCTGCAAGTGCGTCAATCGAAGCAAACAGTCTGTTTGGCACATAAGAGGTACTTTCTGCGCATATTGAAGAATGTATCACAACACCCACTGACCATCATGGCGTCCAGAGGTTTAGCAACGTCCATATTCGCGCCGCCCGCACCACCGACAGTCTCGACGAGGCCGAAAACAGCCACCATGTCGGGTCTATTTGGCTCTGCCGCGTCGAGCAACTCCAATCCCACACAAGGCGACCTCAGCAAAGATGTTCCAGTCGCCAACCCACCCGAAGACAGCATCTCGGCGCTTCGATTCAGTCCCGCATCCGACCATTTGTCAGTCGCGAGTTGGGACAAGAAAGTGCGCATCTATGAGATCGATGCGCAGGGACAGGGGAAGGGTGTGGCCATGTTCGAGCACGAGGGACCAGTACTAGACACTTGCTGGAGCAATGTAGGCACAACACGGGCAGAAAATATTGGGCATTCCACTGACAGTGTTACAGGATGGACAAAAGGTGTTCGCCGTCGGCGCTGACAAGGCAGCGCGCATGTTGGACCTCGGTGCTGGCCAGACATCAGGAGGAACACAAGTCGCCGCACACGATCAACCCATCAAGTGTGTAAAGGCGTTCAATGCAGGAGGAACACCCATGCTGGTGACAGGCAGCTGGGACAAGACCATCAAATACTGGGACCTACGGCAACAACAGCCTGCCGCCACCCTCGACGCCAAGGAACGAGTCTACGCTATGGACATTCGAAACGATTCAATGCTAGTGGTTGGGACAGCGGAACGCCAAATCCACGTCATCAACCTCTCGAACCCAACGGCATTCTTCAAGACCATGCAGAGCCCGCTGAAGTGGCAGACAAGGACGGTCAGCACCTTCATCGACGGTTCTGGGTTCGCAGTGGGCTCTATCGAAGGACGATGTGCCATTCAATACGTCGACGAGAAAGACTCTTCCAGCAATTTCTCCTTCAAGTGCCACCGTCAGACCCCACCCGACAACCGCAATATCTCGAACGTTTACGCCGTCAACGCGATCTCGTTCCACCCTCAACACGGCACCTTCTCCACCGCCGGCAGTGATGGCACATTCCACTTCTGGGATAAGGACGCCAAACACCGCCTGAAAGGTTACCCCGAAGTCGGCGGCACCATTTCCGCCACAGAGTTCAACCGATCCGGAAACATCTTCGCCTACGCCGTCTCATACGATTGGAGCAAAGGCTACCAATTCAACACACCGCAAACCCCGAACAAGATCATGCTCCATCCGGTCGTCGGGGATGAGTGTAAGCCTCGCCCAAAGACTACGAAGCGGTAGTCTACTTCTCTGCGTTTTTGCCTCACTGCGTTTGCTTTACGACACGAGCCCGAACCCAAGCACAAGTACTGCCCGAGCACCTTGATCGAGAACCCCGATGCACACATGCACGCACGCTTCTTGCACATATCTGGTTTCCCACGTGCTCTACGCGCAGATCGGGTCAACGCAAGGCTAACGGGAATTCGTTGTTCCAAAGGCAACAAGTACCAGAAGAAGTAACAGTACGCATTTCGCGAGGCCAGACACTTCAGACGGAGCAGGCGAGCGTATGGAATCAGAAGACCGATTTGGGAAAATTATCAGCGCGGCGTTCTGGGGCGTTTTAATGATGGCCATGCGTAGAGCTGGGGGTACGTGTCGAGAATTGTAACATCACGAGAAGAAGAATTGAGCATGGGCGACGATAGAGCGTCGAGGACCAGAGGAAGAAGTAGATACCACTACCACCGCCGCAAATGCAAATGCAAGGTCGTATGATGAGCGTGCTCTTCTCCCCTTTTCACATATATTCCAGGTTGGCAGGAAGCTCTACCTGCAATGGTGAGTTACTCACTCCCACGTTAACATTATCACACATCTAATACAACACGGAAATGAACTCAGGCAGAAGAGAAAGTATTCAATTTCCTCTCGTCACCTTCCATCCTAATAACCCCCTCCCTCCCATCATCAGCGTCAAATATATACAAATGCAGGCTGATCTACATGCAAGTGCCAATCTATGACCACCTTCCCGCGACTCGCCGGCCTAAGCTACCCTGACAGCAAATCGCCCACATGCAACGAACTTCTTCGACCCAGCCAGGGACTGCGTTTACCCGGCGAAGCCGATGAAGAAGAAGTCGAAGACCTTCGCGGAACCTTCTTCCTTCGAATCCTCACACTCGAAGACGAAGGCGAAGAAGAAGATTCTCGACCATTGATATTGCCCGTCTCAATGACAAGTTGCTGTTGTTGTTGCGCCTGCTCCTTTCTACGGAGTAAACTCGCAATCGTCGGTTCCTCGTATCGGTGCGACAGCGGGCGGGCCATGCGGGAGAAAGTATTGTTGTTATGAAGAAGTGAACCGTCATCATCGTGTCCACTACTGTGAAGTGGACCTTTGTTATGTTCTTCATCATGTTCCTCGTAGAACTCATCGTTGTTGTCGTCGCCATAATCGTCAACCTTGACCGTCGTATCTTCCTACGATGCCGCGGCCTCGGAAGAATTTCCCACCTCTTCTTTTGCGTCCACGAACGTTGCGCCTTCGCCGTCCGAGACTGCTTCTTTGTCTTCAGCTGGGGCTTCCAGTGAAGTAGCTCCATTGTCAGCTTCTGTGTCGGCGTCAGTTCCATCAGCAGGCTCGGCTTCGCCATTAGCTGCAGCCTCTGCGGCGGCTTCTTCTGCCGCTTGCTTCTCGGCCATGATCCGTCGCCTTTCTTCCATCATGCGACTTGCTTCTTGGCGTGCCTGTTCCTCTCTGACTTTACGCAGGCGCTCAACTTCTTCATGCCCACCGGTCTTTTTCAGCTTGCCTTCTTCGACGAAATTGCCGAGCTCACGCTGGAACTCGCCGCCTTTGCGATCCTCCAGCTCTCTTTGGCGCGCCTTCTCCGCACGCTCGATCGCTTCCAGTCGAGATTCGTGATTCGGTTGCAACGCACGAACTTCGCCGAGCACACTGTCCTTGGCTTCGTGCGGATCTGCGACGGGTTTGAGCGCAATTGTGCGTGATGTCGATCGAACTCCGGTCGACGCAGTGGCATCTGGATTCTGCAGGTTTTGCTGCCTGGTAGCCTCCTCGACGAGCGCGAAGGTTTGCGAGGCTTTTTCGAGATCGTCCTCGAGATCTGCTGCGAGCTCCTCTTGCATGGTCAAAAGATCTCGGTCGTCACACACCACCTGCAGCTCCTTCTCCCAAATCTTTGTCCAAACAGGTTTCTCACGTCTGAGGAATTCTTGAAGCTTCTTGAGATCGGATGTTGCAGTACTGATATCCTTGCTGACAGCTTCAAGCTGCCGAGGAAGAGGTCGGACTCCGCGACTGACCACATCCTTCCGGAGATCTTCAACAAGATCTTGAAGGTCATCGACCTTATTGACGATCTTTTCGCTGTCCGCAGATAGTGACTTCTTGCCGTTGTTGACGTACGAGCGGCCGGTGTTGTTGTCCATATCGGGAATGGCCGTATCTGCTGCAGCCTTCTTGACCTGGGTTGCTTTCGTGCGTACGGTGTTCATGGAAGCCTGCATGTCCTGGACGAAAGAATTGTATGTCTGACGAACCACGGCAAGATCACGTCGAAGACTTTGTACCTCCTTGAGCTGTCCTGTCATGTCCTTGCTACCAGTGACTGTTACACTCGCTGTTGACACGACTGGCGCGGAAGGTGGAGCTGCGGCTATGCTCGCAATCTCCTTCGCTGTTTCTTGCTGCCTGTCGGATACTCTTTGGATCGATGATTTCTGCTCATCAACGCTGGATTTGATGTCTTCTACGACTCGTCGCAGACCACCGAGACCATCATCAAAGTGCCGTTTGACCTCGTCGAGCGCTTCGACGTTGAGGACAAGAACAGAACGTTCTTTGACATCATTCAAATCCTCGAGTTCGTGCCTGACACCCGAAATAGGATCCTGGATGTAGATCTCGGGCAAATCGACACCATTGTTGTGTGTATTCCAGGCGAATTTCTCGATGAAAGCCAGCTGGAGTCGAGCTAGACTGAGATCTCCACCATCCGGCAACATGAACTTCTTGATCTTGCTCTTGTATTGCAGAAACAACGTGAGCGGCACGCCCGGCTGAGGTGATCCCTCTGGAACATACTGAGAGGCGGGTGGGGTGTACTCCCGTCCCTGCCGTATAGATTCACGTTGGGGCCGTTTGATCGTGGGCGCACGCGAAGGGGCAATGTAATCGCCATTAGGAGCAAATGGCTCATCAATAGGGCCATTAAGCGTTGCACTTGGCTTTTCGGTGTCAGTAAGAAACGAGGGACCAAGCTTGTCGTCAGGCGTCTTCACAATCTCGTCGTTGATGTCCTCCGCGAAAGGTTTGTTGGGTGGTTCCAAGTCATCTTGCAGCTGTGAAGAACTTTCTTCGGATATCCGCCTCACGTCATTTTCTCGATTGGGCGAGGAATCGAACTGCGTTCGCTGCGACCGGGACTTGACGCGACTGTGCATAAAACTTCCGCGTGACCGCACCGCGTTCAAAGACTCCCGCACATCTCGACCTCTATTCGGGATGGGTGAGTTTTGAGCCGGTGGAATGGCAGGGATGCCATTGATCGATGTGCCCAGATGCTTTTGTATTTGGTATGCCGAGAAACGTCTGGATGCCCTCCTCTCGAGCTCTCCGCCGCGTTGCAATGCTGACAATGCATCGTTGGCCTTTGGAGGTGGTCGCGGTGGTTCAGGAGAGGGTTCCCTTTCAGCAGCGTTGTTGGTTGGTATCGTGTCAGTTTCTGGATAAGGCGCAATGACCGGCATATTCTGCATCGTGTCGCTAGACATAGAGGAGCCCGAGGCCGTAGAGCGCGCATCTTGCTCATTAGGCCTGTAGCGGATGCTGTTCTGCGGGCTGAGGGCGTTGCGTTTCGGTGACCGCTGTCCACCTGCCACGCTCGTGGTGCGAGGTGGCAGATCTGGTCCTGACAACTCTCCACTTCCCTGTCGTGGCGCTGTGGTCTTGCCGCTCGAAAATCTTGTGGGTATATCTTCCAGCTGTTCAGTCAAGGTCGTGCCCGAGCTCACGTTGCTCGCAGTCGACCCAGTCCTTGGGGGCCTGCTACTTGACTCGCCTCCTTCTCTTGTACCGCGCTGTCGTAACCTCTGCTGTTTCTTCTTAAGTCCGTGTAAGAGATTGATGATGATATCCCGTATGCGCGGCAGATATTTCTCCAAGCTTTGTTGGCTCGCGTCCTGGCTCAGCGTCTCTTCCAATATTGTGCGCAAGAGATCTGGTACAGGTCCCAGATCTGACGTGTCCACGCCGATGGCATTAAAAGCGCGACAAGCGATATTGAACTCATAGCCCAGGCGCACGTATACGTCCGACACTTCGCCCTCGGTCGCGCGGCCAGTCGACCACATCGTCAGCGTCTCCAGCAACTGCTTCGTCGCGACCAGCAGATGGGTCACCGATTTCTCGATCGTCGATAGCTGCTGCTGGGGCTTTTGTCTGTCCGTTAGCACCAGTGTCTTGTCACTCCGCCCATCACCTCCGCCCATTGCCTCCGCCGCCGCTCCGCTGAAAAGATATGATGCATCACCTACATTCTGTCTTGACCGACTGCTGCCCGCAGATCGTGTCGAGCCTCCGCTGCCTCGCTGCCCATTCGCGCCATCTTCAGGGCCCACAGGCATGGCCGCGGTGGGCTGTGTCCCGTTCATCTTGTCACCTGCGTGCGCTCGGCCGGCGCGGTGTGCGCGATGTGTGTAGAATGCGGTCGACGCGTGAGTGCCGTGGTAGGATATCGGGCGCGCGTGGCAGATGTCGTCAGAGCTGTTGTGGTTGGCTGCGAGCTGGGAGCGCAGAGCTGGTAGGGGCAGGCTGGCCAAAAACGGGCTGTCAAAGAAGATGGAAGGGTTTCGGAGATGACGCGAGGCGTGCACCGAGTCCGAGCTACTCGAAGGAGTGCACCGTATGTGTGAGAGAGCAAGAAGCGTTAGTGCACTCTCCAGGCGTGTGTGAAGTGACGGGATCGACAACGCGCTGGCCGCCCGTCCGCCGCGCAGCCTGACAGGGACGTCGACGCCTCGCCGCATCTCAAACACGACTGCCAGCGTCGACATCTCCTGGGCATCTGCTACGACTACTGTCTGCATCTTCGCACGCTCATTGAACGCTGCAGCTGGGCGAGTGCGGTGCATGGCCTGCTGCAACCTGTACATTGATTGAATCGAATCGACAGGGAAGCACACTGCTACCATCCCGCCCTGCACCCACACTTCTGTTCGCACCAAGTCGCAACGCAACCTTCTCTCCGCTGCACACGCTCACCAACGCACACACGACCTCCCGCGCACCCTCCCCCTCCCTCACTCCCGCCATCGTTCACGCATTCGGGGGCGTACGGCGTACGGCGTTGTGTGCGGCCTGGTAGTGCCCACCGAAACGCTGTTGCTGGGAGCTGCTGCTGCTGCTTCGACTCCGCGCTCTAGCCTGCCTGCCTGGCACCACCCTACTCCGATTCCTCGCACCAACGACTCGCCCGCCCACGCATCGCGCCGCTCCTGTCCTCCACCACTAGAGGCGCCGCCATGTCGGCTGCCTTCGCCAACGGCGGCGATGCCGTCAAGTCCGCTGCCGCCCACTCGTCTAGCGGCTCGAAGCAGCTCAAGAGCAATGTCAGCGGCAAGACGCTGGACACCACCCGCAAGCAAGCTGGAAGTCCCATTGACGGGCCAACAAAGTAAGCCACACCCATTGGCACCTCTGCACACCTCATTCCTGCCCTGCGATCGTTGTGCCATTGTTGGCAGCCCTGCACGTGTGCTTCGTCCCACTGCATTGCGCTGATCCAGCTCCCTCACGCCGTCTCAACATTGTCCGCCATCAAAAAAAAATGCACACATGCGAACAGGCACTAACACACCTCTCAACAGGAAGAAAGCATGGGACAACACGAACGCCTCCATCAGAAATGCAAACGGCAGCGCGAAACCCCCGTCTCCAGCACCATCGCAAATGCAGAATAAGCAGCTGCACGACCGGACTGTCTTTCTATACTCTCAATTGATCGTAAGTGACGAACAATCCCAAAGCTTCCATATAAGAGCACGCCGGGTCCACTTCCATGCTCCACCCGGATGCGTTGCCTTGGCTGCATGAATACGACCGAGCGTGGCTACATAAAGCAGCTCCTGTTCCCTCGTTAAACCTCACTGCTCGCTTCGATCTAGCTACGGACTTCATAAAAAGATACAGTCTGACTAATACCCCGTGCGCAGGGTCAAGATGTGACAGTGTCCCTCACATCCGGCGAGCAATTCACTGGGGTGTATAGCGGGACCTCGGACGGTTATGAGCATCACATTATCAAAATGACCAAACAGACAAGGCATGCAGGCCAGTCGCAGGTCAATGGCAACTCAGCATCTGACTTTACGGGAACTGGTTCCGACCACGAGCTGACCGTCCATATCGATGATGTTGCTGACATTGCTGTGCCGAATGTGAAGCTCGCTGCGGCTGTCACCACTCAGCAGAATGGTACGTTCCTTGTGACGAAGTGTACTCTGCTAGCATAGGCTAATCCACCCATAGGCTCAGCAGGATTTCGCACAGACACCCAGATCTCGGGGCAGGACTCACACTTGTTCCGTGAGCGTGAGCTGCAGCCCTGGCAAGCTGACCCGAGCACGGATGTGGATCTGTCGCTGGAAGTGACCAGCGGTGGGGAATGGGACCAATTTGCAGCCAACAAGAGATTGTACGGCGTAGATACCGACTACAACGAGGAGATGTACACCACCTCCATCGACCGCAGCAACCCAGAATATCGAAGGCGAGAATTGGAGGCTGAGCGCATAGCCGCGGAGATTGAAAGATCGGCGCCAGCCAATGCACATATTGCTGAAGAACGGAGAAGAGACGCACAATGCGATGATGCTGGGGGTGATGAGGAAGACAAATACTCGGGCGTCAGGAGAGATGGGAGTGCCCTGCCCAAGCGCACTGCTGGTGCGTACGTGCCTCCCTCACAGAGACCTATCACTGGAGCGCCCACTGTGCCTGGAGCGCCATTCGATCCGGCCATCATCTCAAGCGAGATCAAGATTAAAACACCCACACCAGCAATCGTGGCACCACCAGCCGATCCGACTCAGCCGGCGAGCAAACCTGCTGCGCCAGAACCTCAAGCACCTGCGGCAGTGCCGGTCGGTGCCGTGAACCACGGACCAGAGTATCATGTCTCGGCAGCACGGGACGCGTTCAAGCACTTCGCCAACACCGAAAAGCTTCGCATCAAGCAGGCGCAGGAGGCCAAGCGCAATAATGTTCGACAGGAGAAGAACGTGAAGCTGAATGATCTGAAGAAGTTTGCCGCCAACTTCAAGCTGAACAGCAGAGTACCCGATGATCTTGTGCCCATCCTAGCCAAGGATCCAGGCAAGCAGGTTGAGATCCAGACGAAGGCCGAGCAAGCTGCCAAGGAGGCCGAATTGAGATCCAAAGAAAGGTCCGCTAGCAAAGCATCGAGTGCGGCCTCACCAGCCGCATCTTCAAATTTAACACAAGCGGCTCTCGCTTCGACGACTTTACCATCATCATCAAATCAGCCAAATCGCAAGGGCGTGCCCCAACTACACACTGGAGTGCAGCCTGGACAGAATCAATCGCCCCGTGGTCAATTGAACGCTCAGTTCCCATCTCGGCAGCAGATCCGCGGTCAGCCCCCAGCACCGAACCTTCGCATGCCCAGCGGATCACAAGGCGCGTCGTCCGAGATGCCACTCAGTCCAGCCTCAGCTACAAGCTCGCGAGCACTGAACGTGAAGGCACAAGAGTTCGTTTACAGGCCAGGTGCGCAGTCGTTCGCGCCAAATGCATCTCCAAGCCCTGCCCACACCACCAGTGGTGTGGGACCCTCGCCGAGCACACCGAACCAGCCAATCCCCTCATTTTTTGACTCGAAAAAGACTAAGGATACCATTCCACTGTCGGAGTGCTTTGACGCTATCACATTCCTTGCTGGAGCGGACTACACTGAAGAGCAGAAGAAGAAGTATGCTCCTAATGGAGGTGTTCCATACAGTTATAACACACCCGTAACCTGGAGCACTACCAAGGAGAACGAAGCGAAGTCCATCGACGAGTTGTACCAGAAGTTGTACCCTCCATCACGAACTGCAAGTCAAGGGCCTTCACCGATGCAGACTCCTCTGCCTGGACAGATGCCTCAGCAGCTGCCTCCACATGGTATGCCCGTGCAAGTGATGCCGGTGCCCAACCAGCGCCAGCCCTACTACGGCCCTCAGTCTGGACACATGCCCGGATACCCGGGCCCTAACATGCCTGCACATTTCCAGCAACAGCATAGCGTTCAGAATTCGCCTCGTGTGCAACCTATGGGACCTTTCAATGGACAGGTTCCGATGCAGCCATTTCAAGGCCAAGGCATTCCGGGCTACGGAGCGAGCCCTTCGATGGGCCACCGCCAGCCCATGCCACCAGGAGGAATGATGCCATATCAGCCAGGACAGAGTAAGTCGAATGTGCGCCCATTTCGTCAATCGCCGCTGACAGCATCGAAAGTGATCCCACAACCGCGCCCTGGCTATCCTGGCCATGGCTTCCCACCGCAGCAAATGGGCGGACACATGATGATGCCCAACCCATCCGCTGGTGGATACAGTGGTCCAGTGCCGGGCTTCTCGCCCATGCCACACCAAGCACAACCACATATGCCATATCCTCAGCACGGCCCTGGCGGGTTCATGGCGGGTAGCCCCAGACCGCACCCGATGTCGCAGCAGGGATCGCAACAGGGGTATCAGCCTCACCCTCCGCCTGGTGGTCAACATCCAATGCATTTCCAACGCACCATGTCTGGCGGCTACCATCAGATGACGCCTCGCCAGCAAGCAGCCATGCCTCACCATGGCAGTCCGGGCATGGGACCTGCTCAGGGCGACGAAGTGAAATGAGAAGCTACCTCGGCATCGCGCACCATTCTTAATACCTTTGGAGGCTCTTCTATTCGTTTGCCATTTCGAGACCCTCGATTAGGTCTCGTATGCTGCGAAGCCAACGATGTCATCCATCAGGCTTCGTCTATATTGTATGGCGACACTGCCCCGCGGTTCAAGACACATCACTTGGATAGCGCGAACGTTCCACTACTCGTCCAATGCTTGCGAGGCTCAACATCCCCTCTGGGCAGAACCTGAGCGCCTTGCCGACGTTATTCTGACTGTGCTGCATTTGGCGCGCACTCAGAAGATGAAGCAAAGCATTTGTAGGGCTCTCCAGGCCACACCCACCCGCGGTTTAGTCGAGCATACTCCGGCCGCTGGAGTCGAAGCAACGCACAGTCGTGGAAAAATTGTTGGTCACTGGACAAGTATCAAAAGAGCACGATCCCTGCCTCAGTGCATGCTCTGCTGGCTCGGCCAGAATGTGATGGGGAAGAGAGCAAAGACCTTGGGCATGTGAGAGGAAGACTATGGCCACAGAGGTAAGGCTTGTGTGAAGAAAGTCTCTGTTCTGATCATCACGGCGAGATGTATGTGCAAAGAGTGAGGTAGAAAGTGGACGTTTAAGACATTTGAAAAATCACCTCATGTTCTGCCTATATCTGACGCTCTATGTGACTTCTCTCGGACCGGATGTGTAGGGTAAGCATGCGATGTTCGTCGGGCATCGCTCCGGTAGCGTGCGAATCTTCAAATCCAACTACTGAAACGTATACTATGTGTACATTGCCATCATGTCCTCGTGAACCACGGCATCTCCACGATTTTCGCAGTTTCGTCCAGCTCCATGTGACGAGCTCGGTCTGCATAGACATCCACAGTTTCGGCTTCCTTAACTCCTATATGCTTTCGCAAAGCTTTTCCACGTCTCCTCTTCCGCTTCAAAAGCACCTCTCTCGTAAATCCGAATCTTCCACTCAACTCTTCCTCGGCCTCTCATGCCCCCGTAAACCTCAACACAAAATTTACCACAACAGCTCCCAGCAATGCCACCGCCAGAACTGTTGGTCCAAAGCGATCGTCAAAGCCTCCACTCCCTCGCATGCGAATACTCTTTGCTCGCCAGTGGAATGTAACGAGTGCATAGGCCATGGCCGCCAGGGCGACGAGCACGAAGAGGATTGCACTGATTTGGCCAATTCGGTCACCGAAATTGAGGAGACCCATGGCCAGGCCGCCGAGGATTACGCTGAAGTTCAGCCATGAGAGGAAGGTACGTTCGTTGGCGAAGAAGACTTTGGGTTCGAGGCGGGTGGGGAGGGCGATGCGTTTGCCTGGTTGAGGACATTGGGGTTAGCGATATGGTGGTCATAAGAGGAACAAGGAAGGATTGGAGGAGGATCATACCTGGAGCTGTCTGGAGGAGTGGTTGGGTGGACATTATTGAGGTGTTTGTGTTGTTGTGTAACTGGTACCGCGGTCTGTAGCGGTCGAGGTGGGTGCGAGATGGTGTGGGCGGGAGAGAGGTCCGATGTGCTGCTCCGAAGCTGTAGAAGGATCGTGTGTGGACAAGCTCTCCGGCTGCGAAGTACAATGCTTGTCAGGCGACTGTGTAACAGAAAGGAAGCAGCTGTGTCTACGTGCAGTGATGCGGTTTCTCTGCTCAGATCTCACGTTCCTCGCTCCTGCCTTTGATTGGAGGGCGCAAGAAGTCAAGTGCGGGCGCGGAGCTTGTTTTGGCCGGGCATCGTAGCTGCCGTCGCTACGTGCATGTGCCCAGGCCGCTAAAATCCGCTAAGGGAAAGCACGACCCAGGATGCGATGCTGGGTAGCTCTCACTCTTGACAGGCGCCAACTCGCAATTCTCCCCGATTACTTCTCTAGACCCGACCGACCAATCTTCCTCACACACTCTCAACATCATCATCGACGAAAGACGGCTGCTGGGAAGCGTTTCTGCTCTCTTGCACTTTGGTGTTTCACTTGTTGCTCTTCTGCTACATTGCTGCTTCATCCCCTTCGATAGACGACCGCCGCCGGGCCACCGAACAGAACACGCGACGACCACCACGAGACCCCGCCAGAACCATTACCAATCAGCACAACAACAACCAACACGACAACCGAATCAACAATGGCCTCCAACTGCGTCAGTCTATCCTTCCACCACTCCATCGCCTCCTTCATCGTCGCCGCCGCCGCAACAAGACTAATATTCGCCTAGCCAATCCCCACTACTCGCCTCCGACAAATCTGCTCCGACGCCTGCTCCTCCACCATCAGCACCACGACGTCATACGAGCACTCTCAAACCCAAGCATGGAACAACGCCATCATCGGTAGCATCCTCCAGCAACTCATTTCCGAGTCCCAGAAGCCCGAGGATAAGGGCCAACCACCAAAGTACAAATTCATTGTGAATACCACCATCATTCAGCACCTCTCTGATCCTCGAGGCGGAGGAAGCGCCGAGGAAGGCGCTGTAGCCGTCGCAGGCGAGGGCACGAAGAAGGTGGGACGAAGGGGCATGCACTCCGCCAGCGGCGCGTTCTGGAACAACGAGAAGGACGGCATGTGGTCATACAAGTACGAAGGGGGCGAGGGTAAGGGGATGGACATTGTGGTCAGCGTGATGTGGGTGGCGGTGTAGGATGCTGAGGCGACGGTGACGGGCTAGCAGCTGCTGGGTTGCATGCTGGTCTTTGTCGCGCTGGTGGCATGGGATTGGTTACGATGGATCTGATGGAACGCGCTGACTACTGTACGATGAACGTGGGCACGCCGTATATTTGGTCATGTTTTTGCACATTGGAGCAAGCAAGGCGTTTGGCGGAGTTGGTTCAATGCTCTGTTCGCAGCATGCATGAGATGCGCCCGATCTGCTTGTACTCTGAGGAGGAGCGGGATACTGCTGGCCATCTCGTTTCGTGTGTCTACGTATGTTGTATACCCAGAAAACGAATCAAATGACATTGACTCTCCCAACCTCCTCTTTCTGGTCTCTCAATTCGAAACGCGGACATACTTTACGGAGCTCCTGCATTTTCGAAGCGACCGGTGAAGTGACACCAATGCGCGCACTCACACGACACCCTCCATCAACATGCAATCAACCGTGCAGCTTGCGCTTCTTCGCTCCACACACACTTCTACCCACCTCCACATCGGACGAGACATCACAACACCCGCACCGCAACCGGCCGGCCGCCTTGCTATTTCCCCGGAGACATTCCATGACATCCAAACACGAGCTCTCAGAAAGTAAAGATTGATGATCGGCGACGCGGGCGGCCCTTATCTCATGTGGCCCAATTGAAATTCTGAAGTGTGACATCAGATTTGACGTAAACGAAATTCTGCGCCTTTCACATGCTTTGCATGTGCTTGCCGCCACCAGAGTTTGGGCGATTGCGGAGAAGGTTTGAGGGTGCAGGTGTAATTTGCAGACTTGCAGTTGTAGTATTTTGGGTGACGCCAAGGGAATGCAACAGATGTATGGAGCTGTGTTGGCGAGATGCGAGGTAGTTGATGTGGTTTCAAGTTACGGGTGAAGGAAAAAGGGTGTTGTATTGATGTTTCAGCAACATCGTACATGGACGTCTTGCTGATCGAACCAGTATCTTGCCCAAACTGGCACCTCGTACCCATTGATACTGACAGTTCACGAGCGCTCCAAACACTTATCGACAGTGATCATAGCTCGAGTACTCTGTCAGTTCAGCATGTTCTGTCACCAAGTCAATGACTTTTTGATCGCGTTCGTCCCAGGCTCGATTTGTTTTCACGAAGCTTGAGAGTACATGAGCATAATGCTGACCGAAACTGGGCTCTATCACTTACATTGTTTCATATGGATGCAAAGTACTGCCTTCATATTTTCCGGAGTACAAGATATCGTTACCTCCTAATGAAATGCACATTAGCCACATTCGGTCCCCTTTGACATAAGTAGTACTAACCGCTTGTCACCGTCTCTGGAGTATCGACGCACCACTCCAGGAATGCCGTTGTATTCTTCCCGCTTGCGCCAGAATGTGCTGCAAAGCGTCCTTCCATTGCATACACATCATATCCTGACTCGGTGATCATACCGGCAAGCTTGGTCTCCCCATTCATCACAGCGTCGAGCATGCTTTCGTAGCATTTCATGTTCGGTAATAACATCGCGAGCGTCGCGTTGGTGAAGGCTAGGACCATGCTCTGTAAATGGGGTGGGTAAGGGATCCCGTTGGCGCAGTTCCAGCTCATGCCTTAGCATTCTATCAGCCAGAGGGTCCGAAATCTATGGAGGACGAGGAAACTACTCACCAGCTAATCTCGTTCTCTCATCCAGTTTGTCCCAATAAGCATCACTCCAGCATGTCCTTTCCGCCCACGAAGGCAAGAATGGCCCTCGGACGGAGTCATTAATGAACATGTACCGTTTGTAAGCCACCTGCAACGTGGTATTCGCTGTGAGAACTTCATGGTAGGCCCCCAGATCAAAGCAGCGATTTTCTCGCTCGACAATTCTCACGTTAGGCAGTTCCACCAAGGCCGACAAGTCTTGCGTGTGTTCACCATTGATGATGAATATGAAGTCAGCTTTTGCGTATAGGGCATGCTTGATGAAAAACTGGAGGTTCTTCGTTGCGCCTTCGGTTTCATGGAACGAGAATAGAATCAGATCCTCATTCGGCTTTGGAATCGAGGTCTGCGATGTTGAAGATGGATCTGCGCTGAGTAGAGCGAGGGCTTCTTGGGCTTTATCGAACTTCTCGGTGTGTATTGTTTCGCGCCAGTAAATGAGAACTAACATAAAGATCAGAGCGCAGATCAGCACGCCCTGAAGCGGGCTATCTTTCGTAGGAAGCATGATGCATTGTCCAATTCATGTATCGGAGTGTGGTGCAGCGAAGATGGCGAGAGAAGAGTCGTTTGGTGACGTGCAAAGGGATTGCATGCCTCGCAAGGGATGCACATGCCACCGATTGTCCCCCTTGTGCGAGCGTGAGTTCCATTGGCAGAATGTGTATCAGCGGTTGCAACAGCACTGCAGTATCTCTGCACCATGATAACCCTTCCAGAGCTATGCTTCATGCGTGCGGTGCTGCTAGGGTTTCGCGATTTTTCTCTCACTGACATTTGAGGCATCTACGGACTCCGCTCAAAATACGATTTAAAGCGTCGTTTGCAAGTCGCCAGCTGTTGAGTGTTGGCGAATTCGATCTTCAGTCTTTGCGCCGTACGTGTTACGGAAGGAGTGTCCGAAGTGCGACGCGCTCTTCGGGGCCGATGGGAAACATTTGCGATGTTGACAACAATGTACATGTATTTCAGTCGGTCAGCTCATTGTAGGCCGCAGCACGAGATTTGTAAAGGCAGAATGGAAGAGGTGCAGGAGGAGTGAAAGTAGAGTGGTCGAATTGTGATTGAAAAGCCACGCCAGCCGGACGCGTTCTCACGTGCGGTTGTGTTCGTGATCAGGCCAACATCATCTCCGTCAAAACTCCTCTGTCCCTTCCGACGACCTGCATCTCTTCATCACCTATCAGGCCGACTCGCCTTCAAAGATGGCATACACGACCGACACCATCTAACCGAGCTATCGAGAATAAATGAATACTAATCATGTAGCTTAGACCCTCAGCCGGCCATCTCGCGAAGACGCACCGCAGTTTCACTTGTGCAGGATCAGGGCCATGCACCCTTCGGAATCCTCTCCTCGTTCAGCTGATTCCTTCCCCAGATCTTGTTGAGCTTGTTCTCAAAGGCTACCATTTTATCTCGGTGCCGAGCGGACCAAGGATCCTGGATTGCCTCGTCTTCCTCTTCCATGTACGTCGTCCGGGCTACGGCTATCAGAAAACTGAAGGAGCTCTTTGCCACCCCGCCAAAGACGGAGCAGCGTTTCAAGATTTCCAGGTCTACCAGCGCTTGCTGATCCCAGTGCATGGCTTGCAATGCGTCTCCCTCTGCCTCCGACAGAAGATCCCACTTGCTCAATACCGTGAGAGGTGGCCGATTCGCTGCAGCCACCTGCTTGAAGCGCTCGACTTCGGATGCATTTCCCGATGCTGCAAAAATGATGGAGAGGCCATGCGTCACTGCTGCTTGCATGTAGTAAGAGGTCTGGAGTGTAAAATCCAGACCAATTTCTGCGTCCGAAGGCGGCCACAGCCAACCAGCGGCTATCGTATCGGCCTCGGTGCGCAAGTGGGCGCCATAGAATGCTTTCCTGTGGATGCGGTCTGTAGGGAGGAGATCAAGCCTTTCGGTCGCAGCCATGTTGAACATGGCAATGGCTGCATAGCGACGGACATCCGGACGGACATGCAGCACCATACCCAAAGCACGACGAAATGCAGGTCGCTCTCCTCGGCAGTTCGTCTCCCACATAGTATGCTCGATGGCAACCACAGCTGATACATCAGCGGTGATCTTGCGACCTGCAAGCCAGTCCGCCGTTTGTTGTTTCCATTGTCCCTGCGACAGGTCTTTGCGAGACCATGGAACTCTCGGATCATACGTCTGCTCTTCTTTCTTCCAGCCGTCTCCTAGCTCTTCCGCAGACTCGTAGATCCTCATTTGCGGGCACGCTTTGCGCATCGCCTCAAGAAACCAGAGCTCGTCGAACATGTAGCTGAAGTCAGCTTCTTCGGCACCCACAACCTTGGACAAGTCATCATCGCGCCGTATTGCCATACTCGGCAATATGATTGAAGCTCCAGACTCGATAGCATAGAATAAGAAGTCCAAAATCTCCGCCCGGATATTGCCCACACCGCCATTGGCATTGACAAGGTCAAATACCAGGTTCGATATCCATTTTGTCTCGTTGCATTTCATCTGAATCGGGAGGGGGTCCCACGGTTGCAGCAGGTCGGTTTCGAGCCATTGCTGCTGCCACTTAGTTCTGTTCAGTATTTTTGAAGCTTTTGTGGTGGGATGTGATTTGTTGGATCGAGAGATAAGCCTGTATGAGAAGTAGTACAGTGGTATGAGTGTCAATAGTACCGTTGCGATCTTAACCTGCGCTGATGAATTTGCAGCTTTCGCCCACATATCTGAAGAGGCTTTCAGCTACCAACAAGCTCAATCATCGGACTGCTCGCGACTTGCTCAGCTGATTCACAAGTGAAGATTCTAGCAGATGCGCTTCCATCTTCTGGACCTGGCTTCGCGAAGTGAAGCAAGGGATTTCCGATCATATGCCCCGCTTGATACTTCACTCCACTACCCTTTCCAGTGGCAAGGAGTCTCGCGGCACCTGCGCTTGCAGGACGAGCATCAAATGGCGATTGAACTCAGTCGGATGGCAAAATGTCTCCTCATGACACTGCAATTAGGGGCCTTCTTGCATCAAGTGAGTCAAGAAATCTCTAGGCTGCCAACTTCACTACTTTGCCAAGCCCGAGATTCTGCGTAAGTGAAGACTGGTGAGCAAGAGCCACAGTGGGCCAATGAATCCGAGTGCTTCACTTGAAAATAGTTCACTTAGCTCGGTGCAGCCGACTGCCTAGCACAAAAGGCGCAACCCCCCACCTACATCCACTCTGACTTCTTCAACATTACATCGACCACAATTTGTCTCGACTCCAAAGCGACTCTTCTTCAGCCTCTCACCTTCCTGATACAGCGACACAATCCAGCAGCGCACACAACATCATCCGGCCTCGCTCAAATGGCACGCGGTAAGACGCGCGGCGCTCGCAAAGAAGAGGCCAACAACGAATCAGCTATGGTGATCGATACCGCCTTTCTAGACGGGCTTCAAAGCGAAGACGTGCGTAAAAGCCTTAAAGTCGTGAACGAGCTTCAGACCTGCGGCTTGGGGGATCTACTGAAGCTACCGGAGATTGTCGTATATGGCGATCAGTCAGCTGGCAAGAGTTCACTGCTTGCCAGACTGACCTAAGTCCCATTTCCGCAAGCTGAGGGTGTTTGTACACGATTCGCCACTCAGATCACTTTGCGTAATGCAGATTTTGAATCGGTTACGGTCAAAATCATGCCTGGCCCAAAGAGCACCCCAGCAGAACGCAAGAAGCTCGTAAAGTTCGATAAGGAGCTCACAGATTTCAAAGACTTCCAGCAACTGATCGATAAGGCGACCTCGTGGATGGGCTTGAAGAAATTAGGCGACGGCCACAACGCTTTTTCGGTACACAGACTATGCGTTGAGATCACGGGCCCGACGCGCGGTCATTTCTCACTGCTCGATTTGCCAGGCCTGATCCGCACGACTACGGATGTTTACACCAAAGACGACCTCAAGTTTGTTAGGGATCTGCATGCCGAGGTCCTCGCCAACAATCGCGCGATCATTCTCGCAGTAATGCCTGCCACTGTCGATCTGGCTGTGCATAAGATCTTGACAATCTGCTACTAGCACGATCCAACGGGAGCTCGTACTCTCGGAATCATTACAAAGCCGGATAGACTAACATCGGGTTCGAAGCAAGAGCAATCGTATCTCGACCTCTTCGCAAATAAAGGTATTTTACTTCAGCTCGGCTGGTATGTAGTTATGAACCAGCCTGTCGCTAGCAGTAAGGAAGACTTTGAGCTGCGCTGCTATCAAGAGCAGGTTTTTACTAGCTCCGGTCGCTGGGAGGGTATTCCCTCTAACAGAAAAGGGATCGCCGCCCTTCGTAATCGAGTATCCAGATTGAGAGTCGAGCAACACAAGCGCGACCTTCCTGAACTGCGAGATGAGATTACGAAACTACTTAGGAAGACCATGGATAAGCTGCAAGAGCTCGGGGGCAAGCGTACGGATCCTGATTAACAGCGAAAGATCCTCAGAGACGTCAGCTTTAAGGTTTTCAACATCGTGCGCGACGCAGTAGCTGGAAACTTCTATAACGAGTTCTTTTACCTAAATGTTGCAAGTGCTTCGGAAATTGAACCAAGACATCTTTCTGTAGTTGTCGCCGACCTCCAGGACCGCTTCGCTGCCCAGATTGGGGTGTTTGGACACAAGTACCACTTCGCCTAGGACGGGGTTGCTTCTGGCACGGATACTTTGAGTAAGCACGACTGGAGCAAAGCTGATGGCATCGAGAAGAGGAAGAGCGACATAGATCGCAAGGAAGCTATTAATTGGATTGCGAAGCTACACAAGCGCACGCGCGGCTCTGAACTTCCCGGAACACCGAGCGTGCTGCTAGTTTGGGATGCCTTCCACGAACAATCTAAGCCTTGGGAGAGGTTAGCCGAGGAGCACATTCTTAGAGTCGAAGGCGCTTGTACCATCCTTATAAAGGAAGTTATCTACGCAACCGCTCCGCCCGATCTCGTAAAGAAGATCTTGGACTTTATAGACGACGACTTAGAGCACCGTTTCCGCTTAGCTCAGAAGCAGCTTCACGCCCTCGTCGACGACAAGAATACCTCGAACACCATGTGCGATCCCTCATACTTAGCCAACGTAACGAAGCTGGCCAACTACAAGCTTGATAAAGAACTTGCTGCAACCGAGACTTCGTCATACTCAGACCGCAACATGCATGTTGCTGCGCTGAGTGTACGTCTCGGCTTGAATAACAATGTCCGCAGCACTGCAGAAAACGCGCTGGACCATCTCCTGGCTCTCTACGAGGTACGTGACTAACATACCACATTTCCTCATCGTAACTAACAAGATATTAGAGCAAGCGCACTGCGTTCATCATGAACGTCACGGAGCAAGTGATCAATCGCCACCTCATTCGAAACCTGGCCGAGGACACCTTCTCCCCCAAAGCTGTGGACAACTTGTCCGACGAGCAGATCACTGCCATCGCAGCAGAGCCAATCAGCGTCACCAATCGGCGGAATGAATTGGAGCGTAAGAAAGAGATCTTGGTGAACTCTCGCAACATCTTCCAAGCTCTGCTGCATCCCCACAAGCGCCCTGCAGAGGATCTCGATGCCGCCAATGCAGGTGGCGCAAAGAAGCGTATGGCTCGCAAGACCCTCTTGGACATCAGTCGTTGAGGAATCAAAGTCATCGGAACTTGACGGCTCAGCACTTCATGCTGAGTCATGAGATATTGCATAAGCTCATTCTCCTTATTGTTGCTGAGTGGCACTACATCCCGTCTAGAAATACAGACAGTCTCTTCATCGAGCTACGCTGTTCTACGACGTACGAAATGTTTCCTAGAGCGATTGCAGATTTCAAAGACGAAATTTGCTGCAGCTCAGGTAGTTCCTGCTACTAGATCCAGGGGAGTTTAGTACAGAGAAAAGTCCTTGATTATTGTTCCAACCCAAAGCCTTCCTTCCTTGTAACCTTCATCTTCGTCGCCAACAAAGCAAACAATCAATCGAGAAGTCTGCTTGTTATCTTCATAGTGAAGATCGCATCAGATTGCCTTTATCCTCTGTCATTCTCGCCAGGTGCTATTTGGCTTGCGGAGTCCCGAGTGTGCCACGAGCAACGGCTTTCCGTGGACCAACATGACCCGCATCTCGTTAAAAGTGTTTGAAATTATTCTCAGGCGGTTTGGGAACGTCAAGAGCGCGGCGAGAATTAACATTCTGTGCGACTTTTGGCACTTGTGGGTAGTTCAGTATAGCCTACTTAATTACTTTCCTTGCATACCTTCCCAGACCAAATGCTAACCAATAAAACTGTTTCCGGTGAGTGCACCGAATCGTGAGTTTCCTCGTGCTTTCTTCATCTCAATATACTGAGAATGGTCAGAGAAGATTTTGTTCACGATCGGAAGAATATCACTCACCAAACTTGGATTAATGCCCTTGCGCTCAAGGCGTTTTAGTTCTTTCTCACTTAAGCAGCTTGTGTCGACATCGCTGCTGTGCCAGTTCCCTTGCCTATCGTAGGTCCCACTGCTGGTCTCAGAGCCTGTTTTGTAGGTAGTGGTGCTTCCTCCAGCCTCACTGCCGTGCTCACTATACTGTTCCACTTCAGTCTTTTTCAGGATACTCTTGATCGGAACTACCGGTTGAAGGCTTCCAGATCTTTGGGTACTTCCAGATCTATCGGTCGTGATGGTGTCACCATCGCTACTGTGGCTCGTGCTGAGTTTGGAACTGCTGCTTGTACTGCTGTTCTTGCGAATGCCCAATCCTGGATGCCGCTGTTCCTCTATCCGAGAAGGCAGCCTCCGCCGGGACACCATCTCACCGCGCTCGCCATCCCAGGCTAGTTCCTGTGTTTCGATACGTCTCAGGTGACCGCTATCACCAAGAGCCTGGTTAAGGCCAGGATCTGAGTCCAGGGAGAAGCGCGGTTCTTCGGGCCAGGTCGGCAGGACGGATTCGGGTTCATAGTAAGCTTGTACTGCTTTGACGTGGCGTTCTTCGGAGTGGCGTTCCTGTGCGTAGACTACTCCAGCAGAAGACCGAGCGACAACAGGGCGAGAGAAGTTAACATGTTTTTTGAACATTTCCTTGTGCATTGAGCGGCTGCTTCTTCGCTGGAGCGCTGGGTTGCCGAGTGTTGGAGAGTCCATCGCACCCTGAGATCTCCACTTTGGCCGTTGGATAGCAGCTAGCTCGGGCAGGCTTGGTTCTTGGTATCCAATAAAGGCAGTTCAGACGAGATGTGGTGCTGTGGCTGGGCTATGGCTTCCCGCTATGTCAGCCAGGCACCGCCCTCTACGTAGCGATTAGATCTCTTCGACATGTCCTCTCTCACGTTTCTCTACAGCAGGACAAGGAATGTGCTGCGCCTGTCAATATTATGTGTGCAGCGTGCAGACTGCTGCTCCGGCCAACGGCGACGTCACACGCTGAGCCGGACGAATGGGAAGCTTCATCCCTTCCTTCCGTACCATATTCCGTCTGTCTGGCTAGTGCCCAGGGCTCTGTTTGACTTCACCTCTGATCTCTGCTGAGGGTAGATCGATATCATGCTGTCCAATCGATGGACCCTGGTCAGCGCGAGGAGTGAGATTTCAGCTGGGAACAAACCACCAAGTACCTTTGCTCGCCTGATAGCGATTTTTCCCGACCCACCACGTAGTACATTTGCTGCTTTAGCAATGCTGTGCTTTGCTCCGTAGAGCTGCAGTGTGTGCGCCTACAACGTGCGGACTTTTGGCCTCAATTCTTGCATCAAGTCGTGTCCATAGTGATTGCGCCCGAAGTATTGTTTCATCGGCAACTCTTTGCTTGTGGTTTGAGAAGCAAAGATGAACAAAGCCCGGCCGTCCCTCCCACTGCATTCCATCAGACCATAGATTCCGAGAGGCGGCTACAGCGGTTAGGGTAGTCTTCACCAAAACTGGAGGGCGGTAGGAATTCCGAAGAACGAAATAACGTGAAAGGTCTGCCACTGCCACCCGACCACTTCCCCGTGGTCTCCTGATGGATGCGGACCCTTCTGTCTTCTGGGACAATGCATAATGCCTGCCTGGTCGCAACACCACAGATATCATGGCCAGGATATGCCAGGTCCCGCACCACAGAAGACTCATTCTCCGCGTTGGAGGCCTGTATAAGGTATGCGGACTGCAAAGCCTATTTGGTAGTCCATGCACATTCGAAGGCCTTATACCATGTCTGAGCCTGGTGAGGAAGCTACGCCGACCGTTGCTGATACATCGACATCCTGGAGCATGGAAGCAGAGTAAGGACAGCCTTGCTTGGTGCAATGCCCAAGCTGACCACAACCTCGGAGGATCAGCCTATAAGAGGGCGACTGTCAACTCGACTTCCTAGCTGTAACTTCTGCAGTATGTGGTATGACCAGCTAATCGTTGAAGACAATGGAGGGATTGACTCGGCCTGATTTGACGATTTGCTACGGCCGTAAACGCGAATTGGGCATTTTCAGTCCAGGTGAGTCCAATTTGCCTATAACTTTCAGCTCGTGGCGCTGACTTTTGAACGTCGCTCATCAGCGCAAGAGCTGCAACGTGTGTGTTTGGCAAGATTAGTGCTGTAGGAGTCCTGTCAGCGCTGCGACCGATATTATTCACATAGCCTTTTTGAGCATCCCATGCTAGGGCTGAAGTGTAGCTGGCCACCCCAGTCTTTGGCAAAGCCAGTCTTCCGGGCTTCTCCTTTCGATAGCATGCACGACATTGTCAACTTTAGGCTCTGGCTTTTGTGGTCTGAGAAATTCTGCTGAGCAGTGCCATACCAGCAGCTTGGGTCGGAACCGAATGCCTTTTTGTCGAAAAGCGCAATTTTCAGCGCGCGGGTTTTACGTGGGTGAATGTGTAAGCCAAAGGTCTCTGCTTTGGTACACGATTGCGAGTGTGTTGAAGACAAGCCAAGAGACTTGTCTTGGTAGCCGTAGATGTGCCCAGCTATAGCGGAACGCGGTACTTTGCGCTCGCCGCCAACAGGCCGGGGAGCTGACTCGCCTTGTCGTTGTCAATGCCATGTCTTAATGCCTGTCCAAACAATGTCATCTTGCTTGCCAATGTCAGAGTCGCGACCTGTGAAATACCAAGACTGAAGTCTAGACCTTCGAAGACTTGTCAATGCAGAGCAGAAAGCAAGAGGAAAAGTCAAAGAGCTCAGAAGAATTTGTTGGTGAGCCTCAGAAAGTCTCAAATCATTTGTATCGACCTCTCGGACTGCATGTTACCGAGGACTTTCACGGGACGCTGATACGTACCCAATCCTCCGGGACAACCAAGTCCATGCCGCCGAGTGGTGTATGCACACACTAAAAATTTGGTAGAATGCCGCTTCCGAACAGATATCATCATCAGGTATCTTTACTCATTCATGCTCGTCAAGTCACACCAGACCGCGCCGGGCCAGGTGCGTGCTGTGCCATTCGCAAAGCATATCAGGACCAAACGCCATCAAACTCTCTAAATTCGTGGGCCAGAAGTCGCGGCAGATCCTGGCCGTCATCAAAAACGTGAACGCTGGCAAACCTGGGCAGAGTTTATGCGAAGGCGTGCTGCTGCTCAAACACCCTGGGAGACGCCTTGTATGATGTTCTGCGACGGTAGCTTCCCTCTTCGCAAGGCCTTGACCCGTGTGTTCGGAGACGTGCACCAATCGCACAGGGAACGAAACTTTTCTGTCACATTTCGTGCGGGCCGCTTCACTCTTCTGGAGTGCTCAGGCCGCCGTGACTTTTCTTCTTGCCAACCTTCATCCCACTCAGGCGGCCGAGCTTTTTCCACATGCCAGAGTCACGCTTTGGACTTTGTGAATCACTCAAAGGCGGACTGACAGGCGATGTCATTGGGCTGTCTGCCGTCGGGCTGCCTGTGCTGCCGCTATCGTCTGTCGCACCAGCCCCACTGACTGCTCCCGAACCGGACAGTGTAGCATCAGATCCGGATTCAGTCATTTGTGAGGTCGTGCTGCTCGAGGACGGCTGGGAGGTGGTGGGCAAAAGTTTCATGGAGAAGCGCGACTTGTGTGGCGATGTCAGCGGGAGAGGCGCAGATTGCCGGGTTCGTGTACCAGGTGAGTAAGAGTGGGCATGTGGTTCGACTGCAGACTGGGGATAGGTCTTGGGTGGCGGTGAATTTCGCTGCCCTTGTCGTGATCGCCGGGTGTACATGGATCGATCCTCGTACGTCCTGGATAGCATGGACATGCTATCTTCCGATGTGTTGTATGGGCATGAGTTGACGGCAGCGACGGCAGTCTGTGGATATACGCTATTGAGGAAGGGCACCAGCACGGACTCTTCCATCAACTCGTAGATCTTCGCCACGGCCGGGTCCAGTGTTTCGGGCGAAGGTGGCATTTCCTTGGGCTTCAAATTGATGATGGGATCCCGAACAGCGGAGGGCAAGTTCACTTCGCGTGAGCCGTTGGGCTGAATGTATGCCTCCACCAAGCGTTGCCAGAGCGCCTGAACATATTCGCGGTCCTTCGCGGGCGGTATCCCGTCTCCCTGCGCTCTCGACATCATCTTCGCGTAGTGCTTTTTGTAGCGTCCGGCGTCCATTGTGAATTCCAGCGTTTCCAGGCAGTGGTTATTCGAAAGATATGCCATGAAGGCGGCCAAAGTCCATGGCGGCGGTGATGTGTTGGCCAGTATTTCTCTCAGATTCGGTCTGCGTGGGCAGTATGGGCCATGAGCGCCCATGCCGGGTATCGCAACAGACAGCGGTCGGCCTGGAGCGTCCCCACCAGACATTGCGTCGTAGTCGTCGGCGCCGTACTCCACGGTGCTCACCGACGAGCTCGTAGAATACTTGCTGGACGATGTCGACGACGCGGAGGTAGACGACGAGGAAGTGTAGTGTGAAGAGCTCCTTCCTGATCGGCCAAGCATACTCTTTCCTCTTCTCCCACCAGTCAGACAAGCCTGCCGAAACGGCGCCTGTATCGACGCCAGTTTGGATTGGTGAGACAGCACGTCTCACGGTCGTGTGTCGTTTGTCGACAATGTTGGTGTTGTGCCCGTGCCGCCGTCTCGATTGCCGGTGGGCCGCTTCTGCCCAGCGCTGTTCGTCGCGGTGCAAATCAACAGCCGAACGCCCACTGCAGCGTTGCACGAGCCGGCCCCAAGCAGCGGCGTGCAGGCCAGACCTCAAGGAGAAAGCGTCTCAAAGGCGTCCACGGCGTCGGCCACAGAAGTTTCACTGCGACACCGGATCGATGGTAGTAGCCGCGGGCAGTCGGCGGAATTGCTGGATCGTGCAGTGGCCGAGCAGACGAAGTGGGTGAATGCGATCGCTCGGTGTTAGTGCGCGGTGTGCTTGCCCCGCCGGTGCGTGTGTGGTGTCGAATTTGTTATGAGCGGAATGTGAAGTCGCATCGAGGGCTCGTTGGGCAAGGCTGCGGCTCTATCTCGCACCAAGGAAGGCTTGGAGTGGCGTGCGAGAGCGGCCTGCTGACAGCACCTGGTCGCTGTCGACGATGGTACAGCAGTACATGAGACGGGCCCCAGGGTCAGCGAAAGGAGGGCAGGGGCAGAGGGTGAACTCTGCCGTCTATTGCGCGCAGTGTACGTATCGTATAGGCCTGGGGGGAGGACTGAGAGACGCCCGACTAAAACAAGCAGCGGAGAGGCAGCGGTCACTTGGTCGCAGGGAATGGAAACGCTAGAACGTCTTCGCACCTTCGACAATGCTTGGGCGTGGATGGCGGCCAATGACATCTTCACTTGTGAGCGGCACTAGACGACGCTAGAGCGCTGGCCCCGCTTGCCCCATCCGCCCCTCGCTGATTCGCTTGGGAGCGATCGAAGCTGGGTTGCACATCAAGGCTTCCATTCCTTCTCGAACAGTATGCGTCTCACATTGCCAGGCGGGCACACCGTGTCAGTGCTGCTTGCAAATGCTGAACGCCGCCTGCCACGCCGTCATGCGCGCATTGTCTATTCGGCCCTGCCGAGCCATCTTTGTCGGCCAGAGCCGCGTTCAAAGCCGATCGGCGATGAGGACAGCACGAAAGAGCCGCACCGCTCTCACGCAAGCAGAGCAAACGGGCAGGGGAGGGCCCACCCTGCTTGCATCATGGTCCCATGCAAGGCTCGAGCTTCTTCGTGGACAGGCTGCCCCTAGCAGCGGTTCCATGCAGATGGTGTACCACAGCGTGCCTTCGCGAGCGACACACGTGCGTCGACAAAGAATGCGAATCAATCGCGGTGAGCGAGAGCATGCAGTCAATCCCGTTGCTGGAGCTGCACCAGACAACGCGCTTGCCGTCAGCCTCGCGCGCAACGTATCCGCAGGCTCACTCGCGGGAGCAGTGCAAGGATCGCAAGCCGCAAACAGGGTGCTGCCGCGGTGACTGGTGTGAGAGTCCGTGACGGCCGCGTTGCATGGAGGCTTCGATTGATTGTTCGAGAAGCCTGCCTCAATCGTTTAGCATGTCCCCCTCTGCACTCCTCCGTAGGCGCACAAGTCCCTGCCGCTTGGGCATTCCACTATCCGGCGGGACAAGAGGGACAAGAGATTTGCTTGTCTTGCTTTGGACAATGCGTCCGCAGTGCGCAAGCACCTGGGGACGCCTGTCTCAGAGAGGAAGCTCACGGCGTTCGAGCAACGCCGGCCAGACGAAGGATCTGTTTTTCCGTCTTGGGCTAATTCAAAATGCCTTGCGTCCCGACTTCACCTGGTCCTGCGCCAGAGGGCCGTGAGGGCTCTGCATGATCCCCATTGACCATGACCGTCACCGTCTGGCCTGTTGGCGACGGACGTCGCACCGTTGAGCCTGAGATCCACCTCAATGGAACACTTCGTCTCGAAAACCTGCCTCAAGAAGAAATCTTCGCGCGCCTCGGCCGATTTCTCGGTGTTCTGACTCGGTGTTCAACACCAGCTGTTCATACTGCGGACATTGCGTCCGAGCCCGGCTATTGCGCAACACGCAACGGCGTGAGCGCTATGGCGACGAGCCGAACTCCGCTCTGCACTAGGAAACGGGGCCACTCCAGCTCGCGGCTTTCAACATGGCAGCATGCAAAAGTGACTCAGATTGATGAAGAGCCGCGACGTCCTCACAAGATCTGGCCAGCGCGCACGACAGCGACGCACTTCCTCACCTGACATTCGGAAAATGCCATCTGGCTTGCATCGCACACGCCGAGTCAGAAGGAATGGGTATTGCGGCAGACATCCGCACGCAAATATGTGAATATGTCAGCACGTCCAGATGAAGCGCGGCAAAGATGCTTGGGGAATTGAGGACATCCACGTGTTACTAGCTCTCTAGCTAGCATTTCGTCCCGATTGCGTTGTGAATACCACGGCCTCATTCTGCACCTACCAGGTTTGGCATGTTCTTGCCCGCGCCCCAACTACGGCACACCAAGATCCTGCAAACCACCCTAGTGTAAACGGCAATACTGCATCAAGAACGGATAATTTGTTCGCTTTGTGCGGGTATTTGACAAGAGATATGCTGCCTGACATCTTCCATGCATTGCACGCGGTCATGCAGCAGAGGGGAGACATTTTGCCTGTACAGCAGCCAACAGCTTTTGCAGGCTGATGACAAGGTCTCTGGACCCAATAGTGTGGCACGCCAATTCGGACAAAAGAGTGTCTCGGCAGCAAACGAATGCCCGCATCCGAGCGTTGCGAGGACGAACCGCCAGCGCGAGATGGGCACTTTTTCTCACATCATCACTACCACTACATACACCTTGCTACGGGACTGCTAGACCGCCTCCCTGTGGATCGATGATCTCAAACGCCTGTTAAAGGCAGCGGGCCGAACGAGGTTGTATCCAGGCGGTCGGCGCCATTGGAGGCAAGCAAGCACGTAAGAAATCGGGACGCCATGTATCGGCATTTGCTCTCACGCCTGACGGAGCTGGACTTTTTTCGTGATCGTGTCGTCCTTGCTTGTATTACACGAGCGGCATGCAAACGCTTGCATTTGCTGTTGTGCATCACAGTGCGATCGACAACGAAGCTCTCGTCATTGCCTCGTGAGAAGTTTGCTGGCGTGGCTGGGCTGGGTGTGCGGCTGCACACATATGAAGCGGGAGCTATCTCTACTGCTGTGCAACGTGTGACCGAATTTCGCGCCATTCCAACGTGCCGTCCCGTGAGCTATCAGGCCATTGATGATGATTGATCATATCCACGACATGTGGAAGCCTTCATGAATCGTGTAACTTCAATGGCGATGCTATATCTGTCACGTACACAGTCGCATGAGCCCGACACCACATCCATGCTCCACTCGCATATCACTCATACCAAAGAAGGAAGTCAGATACGCACGTGCTTTGAGACCTCGTAACGATCTCTCGCGCCCAGAAGCCGAGACAAACAACAACAACAACCAAGGCGCCTGCCGGCCCCGAGAGTTTGCTAGACATGTTGACGTGCAGCTACGCTAACTAGCAATATCCCAAACACAAATGTACCTAGGAGGTAGGCGCGGATGCCAGCTCGGCCCCGCGGTGTACATTTTCACGGCTTCCTCTCTGTGTATAACACCTTTCCATGATGGCAGTAGCGGTGTCAATGGCGAAGGATCAAGACAAGTACAATAGCCATTTGAGGAAAACAATAGGGCAACAGTGCATTAGTGCGCAGATTTCCATGTCAATTACAGGTCTTGCGGGCTTACGCCGACAGGGTGATCTTCAATTATGATACTACGTGTAGACATCGAGGCCTTGGCAAGTAATACCGAGCACTGTCTCCCTCTCAGTCAATTGCCACTGTCAATTGGGCGCTGCCAAAAATCGTGCGTCGAGATCATAGACAACTACAGTATCGTTCATCGGCTGACCTGCGGGCATATTCGAAGATGTTTCGACAAGGGATATGGCTGTCGGACCTCATGTCACTTCGTGATCGATACTCGTTCCGGACCGAGCTTGTTGAGTCTGGACGCGATCTCTTCGGTCGTGGTGGTCTCGATCTGGTGGTCTAGGTTCGGTGGTCTTGCTGCAAGAGTTCCGCGAGACCATCTACAAGATTCAATAGAAGGACTGGGCTTTCACTCCCATGCATTGCCCCAATCATCATTGTCTTCTTCTACTGGCTTGGGCTTGGGCTTGGGCTTGGGGGCTGCGAGCGGTCTCGCAGTCGCTGTGTTGGGCCTCGAATTTGCCGGGCTTGAGGCCTTGCTGCTGTTCGATGTGGACTTCGGAGTGAGCACCGACTTTTTCGATAATCCTTTCGGCAGCGGTGCTTTGCTGACTTTCTTCGCTTGCGCTTGCGCATTGAGCCAGCCCTCGAAATCAGGCTCCCCGCCATCGTCGTAGGATATGCTGGGTTTCGACGCAGGCGGCTCGGCCCATGGATCTTCTTCAGTGACTGTGGTGTCGTCCACATCGCCCCATCCCGAGGCATCAAAATCTTCCTCAGCAGCTGGCGGCACAGACGATGTTCGCAGACCCGACGACACCTTGGGAACTTCGGGCGCCGATGCGGTTGTACTGTATGAAGGCCGAGCAGTGCTGCCGGCAGGAGTCGCTACCTCTGCAGCAGTAGGTTTCGCTCCGGTGCCGTTGGGTTGAATCTCACCAGTCGCAGTTCCCAATTTATTCGTGAATGACGAAATCGCCCATCCTGCCCATCCGCCGCCTGCTTGCTGTCCAGGCTGTGGTGTGCTCATCCTAGTCGCACCGGCGGATGCGGCCTCGGGAGGCGGTAGAACGGTGTCTGGCATCGTGGCCTGATGCTTGCGTACACGATCGAGGTATATATTGAGGGTCTTGTTCGCCTGGTCACGTATCATCTTCTCCTTGTCGACCAATGAAGGACATAATGCGGGCAGCATCTTGGTCGCGCAGTCGTCTTCACTGAACACATCCGCAGTAGCAGCCAGCGCCAGCAATGCAGCGTTACGCGCATGCACGAAAGGATCTCGCAGAGCGCGAGAGAAGGCTGCTGCGAGGACTTTCGCGCGAGACCCGACGCCGAGATTCCTGGCAATTTTGCCTAGACAAATAGTGGTGTTGGTCCTGATGCCAGGCTGCTCATCGTTCGCCGTCTTTGCCAGATGTCGAAGAAGCTCGCCATTGATGATACGGTCCGACAGCTTGGGTACTACCACCAGTACAGCCTTGACTGTTTGTTCGCGAACCAACGGTGCCAAATCACCGAATCCTGTTACCATCTGAGGGAAGATCTTGTCACTGACGACCTTCTGGCTCAGGTGATCAATCATGTGCGGAAGATTGTCGAGTAGGCACACGCGCAACGCTCGATCTGAACTTGTGAACAGTCGGATGATGATTGGAGTGATTTTGGAGTTGTATTCGTCGTCGGGAAGCTTCGGAGCTATGCGCATTGCCAGAGCGAACGGTCGTGGGCCACCACCACCAAACTCAACCGACTTTAACAGCTCTGGCAGGACCTTCACCATAAAGAACTCTTCTGGGAATTGATTGGAATCAACCAGTTGTTCCAGCTCGCTGCACACGCGTTAGCTCGCCACTACGATTATCTTTTCGAATGCGCTCACCTGAACAAAACGTCTTTCTCATGGTCGCTCTTGAGCCCCATATTGTCGATGCCATCAGTGAGTTGTATGAGGGGCGTGTCGAAGAAGCCACCATGTCGTGCCCCTTGATCTAGAAAGTGAGCTATGCTGAGTCGCATCTTCGGCGCTGCATGTGTAAGTCTCTTGTAGCTGTTCTGCATGTTTGTCGGGATGTTCTTGGTCGACCCGATTTGGTCCGTTCCAGAGAAGCCTCCATTGAAGACTTCGGTGACTACAATGCCGTAGCAATATGAATCAACCGCATGCGTCGGACCCGATCGCACGCTGTCCCAACCATTCTTCACAATTTCGGGTGGAGAATAGCGCCCAATATCAGGGACTAGACTCCCTTGAGTGAAGATGACTGCGTCGTCCTCCTTCATAGAACTGAGCAGTTCTAGACCGCCGAGCTTCCACTCCCCGCTCTCACTTGTGAAGATTGAGCTTGCTCGAACATTGCCATGAACAGAGGCCGCCTCGTCGTTGATAAATTTCAGTGTTTTGGCAACGTTGTGAAGTCCCCATTTAATGCTCTCCTCACTCAGTGCCTTCCGCCTCGTTGACCAAGTCAAGGGTGTGATGCGCTCCGTGGCAATGTAAATCACTGAGTCTGTCTACCTTGTTGTCTGGTAAGCCCGCGCCTTTTATTCCGCTCCGACGAGCAGCACCAACCTCGACCGTATCCAGCACTTTCACCACGCCGGGATGTCGTATCGTCTTGAACTTGCGTACCGCGTTCCGAGCGATGGGCAGTCGTGATCGATTCGCAGTGATGTCGAAAGTGAAGATGCTGCACTTGGAGCCATCTTCCTGCCCATAGTCAGTCTCTCCATCGAAATCCCATCCAATAACACCATCGCGCTCACTCGTTTGGTGCCGTTCTGCAGAGTCCAGATGGACTGGTCGATGTCCACGCGATCGCCGAAGGTGTAGGGAAATGCTGGGCCTTGGGCAATTGAGGCCACAGCCGACTTGAGAAAGTTCATAGTATCAGCTCCGCCAGGTGACGGATCTGTCCAGGCCGCGCGCACCACTGTCGCCGAAGATGAGTTCGGCAGCGACGAGAGTACAGCTGGTGGAAGTCGTTCGGAGTATTCCGCCAAGACGTCAGTCCCGCGCTAGTGGGAACCCCGGTCAAAGGCCCAAATAAACTGCTCCTGCCGACGCGACTTCAGATTGCGGTTGCTCGCCACACACAATATGACATGAACCTCCGCACGAGGCGGATGCACGCCGATACTGCCTCTTCCACGCCGAATCCAGGACTGTCTTGCTGGAACTTTCACTCGTTATTGCTCGAGCCTTCCCGACGCGTTCGAGATCGCTGAAGTGATGCGGCACGTACTTCTCATATCTTGACGCGGGGCTCTGACTGGGCAACACACTTCGCCGTGCCATTGACACACATAACAACGACAGCACTCGAATGGCTGGGCCGGGTGCCCACCCCTCTGAGTGGCAGCATGCAGGTGCCCAGGCCACGGTGGTACATGTAAGTCACACCCGACTTGCTCATTAGACACAGGCAAAGATGAGAATCATGGTAAAAGGTCTGAAGGCGGTCGCTGTGAGGTTCTGGCTATGCACTCAACCCCAGTAACCCGGCATTGACGACTGTTAAGAGACTGAAAAGAGCTGAGCGAAGCGGAATCTTATCATCACGAAAGGGCCCATTGAGGGAATCCACCACTAACAGCACGCAGGCAGGAGAAGACCGCGAAGAACTCTTCCCTGGTCGCAAAGTGAAATATCCAGAAGCGCGACCGCTTGCACATCCTCCGGTTCACAACGATTCACGTGCACAGGCAGCCCACGGCCACACCCTACCGCGAAGCTACGACGATCATGAGCCACCAGCTAATGTGCGGAATTCCTTTCGACGTGAGCGTAATGACTCCAGCCCAGATCATACGAGAGGTCGGCAAGTTGAGTGGTCAGGCATGCGCAACGGTCAAGTCGGAAGTTCGTATTCAGCAAGGCGGCCATCGCCACCCCTTCGTACGAACCCGAAGGACTACCCAGTCCTTGACGACTACACGCGCCCTCCAAGGACCGTGTCTCCCCTTTCAAAAAGATGGCCAACCGAAGATACAAGTCGTCCTCTGATCCCTCGGAATCCGTCGTGGACAAGACAGGATCACACACCGTTCGCGACCACAGCCACGATCCCTTCTTCAGTTCATCCGAACGGCATGCAGAGGATTTCCTCTGAGCATCCCGACAGCGCAGATTTACACTCGCATCGTCCAGAGCCACATGTGTTCATTGCAGCAGCAGACTTGCCCACGAAACCTTCCACGATTAAGCATCTCAGGAGGTTCTTCCGTAAGTTCGGTGTTCAAGCTGTTTTGATGGATTCCGCGGGTTTCTATATCACCTTCTTGGACACAAGCGCCGGGGTGCAACAGTTAGTACGGTGCGCGAAGAGCACAGTCAACACCGTTCTGTTCAGTCAATACCGTCTGCACCCGAAGCCCTACTATAAGTGCCAACGTGTCACAGACCTCCACCAACTCAGCGCGACTCCTGCTGCCTTGCATTCTCGATCATCGTCCCCTGGAATATCCATCCTTGGTCGAGCGGCAAGACCAGTGGCATCTACGGTCCAACACGGCGACGAAGATGGCATGGACGAGGTGGCGCCATCAATCACCTTGCGACCGTTGAGTGCAAGCCCTGAAGTTCAAGCTGGGACGTTACCGACTGATCACGGCAAGGTTTCATATGACTTGCAAAGTGTTATTGCAGAGGTGGGTCTCAGCGCGATGCCACTACCTTCCGCTGGTCCGCTGCCCAAGAGTGCTGGCCAACCACGCAGCGATGATAACGCATCCATGATCAGCGGCACGACTTCCTCCAGTCGCTCGAAATCTACGAAGTGCCATGTCTGCCGCGGCTTGGGCGGATCCATGTCAAGGTGTGGGACATGCTCGTCCCATTACCACAAGCATTGCCGCCCAAATGGGTTTAAAGCTGAGACCGCAAATCTGCATTGGCAGTGCGAAAGTTGTGTTCGGAAAGGCAAGAATCCAGTTACCAAGGTCATTAGCAGAGAGCCGAGCACGACGAATGGAGTTGAAGAGGCGATTCCAAAGCCGCAAAATGCGCAGCGGGCGATTTCAAAGGAGATGGCCGAGCTGGCTACAGTTGACATTCGCGATGCAACTGCAGGTACTGGCGGCGATTCGGAGCAAGCGCGAGCTCCGGTCCTCGCAGAGCATGTCAACGAGACCGTTGAACAGAGGAGAGGAGACCTCAAGCGAGATGCCGCGGCCATGCAAGCACAAGACATGATGGCGTATGATAACCACAATGAGCCGAATCCTAAAAAGAGGGCTCGCACGGAAACGCCAGGGCACATACCACAGTATGTTGTTGAGCGATCGCTAGCGTCCATGGATCTCGATGAGCCCTTGCTCCCTCTCGCGTCAGACCATCTCGACGTCCCTCCCGGCACCGTCGAGACAGCCACTACTGGAGCCAACCAGCCCGCTCCGGCTTTGGCTCCGGCTCCTGTTCAAAGCGTCGAAGAGCCAGCACGAGAGGATAGCGCTGAGCTCGAGCTTGAGCTGTCGCAAGAAGCACAATTGCTAGTGGAAAAGAGCTTCGCAGCAACACCTGCATGTTCAAGTAACGTTGCGCCCACAAACAAGCTCAAATTTACGCGCGTCAAGCTATCAGAAGTGCAGCCAAAAGCCTCTCACGCCGCTACCGAGAACGAGCTCTCTGGCCTCACGCGGACAAGTCAGCAAGCCAACAGCGTCGCAGACCAGGCTTCTGATTACGCGCTCGAGGCAAGTTGCCTAGAGCCAGAAGCAGATCTGCTGGGCTTGTGGAAGGATAATCGATCAGGTCCAGAAACTCTGGAGTCTACCGAAGCAACCCCTGGGAAGGCTTCATTGCTGCAGATCCGAGAAGACACTTCCAGTGTAGCCTCACCCGCCGACAGCGTGATACAGCCTGTGGCTGTGAAGTCGGCGGCCCCAGCCAAAGCACGTCGATCAAAGTTTACAGTAGTGAGATGCAATGGCTGTGGCAAGAAAATCCCTTTTCATCCCTCTGGAAATTGTTCTTCATGCAGAACCAAGGCTGCCGATGAATCACTCCAAGCTGACGTGCCCACTGCGCAAGGTGAGCATGAGCAGTTGGCAGCGTGCATGGGAACAGCGGCAGAGCAAGTCGCGGAGTCTGAAGTAGTACCCAATTTTGGTGTCACTACTGAGCAAGCCGAGCGTGGACAATCAATATCAGAGGATATTGGAGCAGAACATGGACGATCAACGGCACAGCAACGAATTACATCAGGACTAGACACAATAACTCCGGCAGTCGACCCATCCGACTGTGCACACGACCAGACCACTCAATCCGTAATTGAGCCAGCCGATGTTTTTGAGAGCGGAGAAACATCAGCCGAGCATTCAAACACCCCATCGTGGGAAGCAGCACGGTCCAAACCGCCTTCTGCCAATGTCGAGCGCATTGACAGCCCTGAAAACATCGGAGACGGCTTGACTGATGGAAACATTATGAGGTCGAAGACATATGGGCAGCGTCAACCTCAGAGGATGAAGGCGGCCGACGAGCATGATCTAGGAGACTCCTTGCATCGGCCGAAGAACACATACATACGCCTTATTGGAATGGCACTATGCGCTGCGGAAGAGCACGCAGCTACCACAAAGTGGGTCACGAATTGGGTGGCCAACAACATACCCAATTACCACATCGAGGAAGGAAGCTGGGCGAAGCACATGGAAGCTGTCATGTGTCTAAATGCTACAGGACGGAGTGGAAAGATCATATTGACGTCGGCAGAAGCGCAAATCGTAGAAGGAGGCAAACACAAAACCAGAAAACTGTACAGCCTGCTTCCCGGATTGGAGGATCAGCTGGAACACTGGGATGAGGTTCTACAGCAACCCAGATCGCCTATAACGTCGCGCAAGCAAGACATCACGGACATTGCCACCACAGCAGTCAACGACAGTGGTGTTCCGCAACAACGCCTTCCCATGAAAAAGCTGCCGCCTCTCAAGCTCAGAGCGCAAGGATCATCTCAAGTGCCAGAGGCCAATGCATTGGATACACTTGCCTGCGACACGGCAGAGACTGCACTTCCAGACATGGACAGCTCAGATACCGACACTGATCATCGAACGCAGATTCGGCCAAGAAAGGCCACATCGGCGACCGCTGCTGTCAACCACGAGCTAGACGATGACAGCTCGGAAGAAGATGTACCACTCATGAATCGGGTGGGACAACATTCCCCGTCTGAGCAGTTAACTTTCGCAGCAAATGCCCCAGTCAAGCGAGTTGACCGGTCTATCACAACCACTCCATCTGCTACTCTGCAAGAGCACGAATACATTGCTCCTGCAGTGGCTGCTGCTGATCGCCAAGAACCCGAAGCTCCCTTCCTCCACAGGGAAGAAGAGCTAGCGCTGCTACAGATGATCGACAACGACAACAAGAATCGCAGACATGCCTCCTTATCGCTTTTCGCCGACCGCCCCCAATACCATCCGAACAGCGACGACAAGCGACGAGTGAAAATGGCAGAAATCGCGCAACGCCCTCGGCGAAAGGAAATCTTCGGCAAGCCCGCTGGACATTCTGTCCTTGGCTTCACCCCTCTCTTCCAGCAGTGGTCCCGTCCTTCGTCAGCTCTTGCTAGTGACAGCGAGGCTGGTCCTCTCGGCAAGAGAACTTTCAATACCGGGAAACCAGAGTCTCGACTTCGAGAGCCGCGCCCGGATGGGACCCAGATTGAAGAGTTTGCGACTCTGGAGGACTTTTTGAATGTCCCGGATGACCTCGTCCCTGCCATCGTTGACAAGCAGCTGGTGTATCGACACCGGTCGGGCATGTCGAGGACGATGTATAAGACGGGCATTTGAGTTTTCTGCTTTTTCTTTCTGCTTCTTATGTTTTGCTTTTCTGCTTGCGGCGGATTCTTTTATGAACAGCGTTATGAGCGAGCATCGGGATAACGGGATATTTTGCATGAAATGGCGTTCATGATTAATGACACATGCGGTTATGAAAAGGCGTGAGCCCAGCCGCGCTTGTGGGACTGTATACAGACGGGGGACAAGTCTCGTCTTAGCATAATACGATAATGAAGAAGCAGTACGGGACTTTTGCCTGGTGCTACTCAACATATCCACGATCAACCCTCTTCACGCTCCTCCGCCTGTTCTCTCGGCCTGAATCTCACTTTGACGCCGGTCAACATCGCCATGAAGTAGTATTTTATTTCCTCCTCGTTCGGCATCTCCACCTCAATATCAAACTCTCGAAATAATGTCGCTACCACCTTGTACAAGATCAACTGTGCCAGATTCTTTCCCGGGCAAGTCCTCGCTCCGCCACCCCAGGTGAGGTTGTATCGCTCCATTTCTCGGACAGATTTACTGTCTGCAAGCCAGCGCTCGGGAATGAAGTCTTCGGCGTCAGGTCCGAAGATTTCTGGGTTGCGGTGTAGAGATACGGGATTACAGCCAACACGGGTGCCGGGTGGGATAGGGAAGGAGTGGAGGTGGAGGCCACCGGCTTCGGTGGAAGGCACTGTGCGGGAGGGACTCATGCCGAGAACTGGATAGAGTCGTTGAGCTTCTTTGATCGCGGCTTGCGTGTATGAGAGATCGATGACTTCGGAGTATGAGATTGGTCCTTTGGATTGCTGTTGACGTGTTTCAGTCTCGACCTTTGTGAGAACAGTGGGATGTGAAGCTAACATCGCAATGGAAGAAATGAGTGCCGAAGTCGTCGTTTCGTGCCCAGCGCCAAAGTTGGTCATGGCCATGCGTTTTAGATACGTCAACGTGAACTCCGGTTTCTCTTTGTGCAAGTCGATCAAATCTGCTATCAAGTCTTGTCTCTCATCTTTGGGAGGTTTTGGATGTAAAGCGGCTGCGATGCGTTTCGTGATCTTGGAGTAGACGGGTGTGAAAAAAGGTTTGAAAGGCGCAGGCGTGACGAAGGTGACTCTCCAGAGGCGAGCAAAGAGTCTTCCGGCGCCTTTGGAATAGCTTTCTGCTAGCACAGCCCAGGTGAAGAGGCCAAAGACGGATTTCCGTCGCCAATTCATGTATGCGTGGTGGGACGAGCCGAAGTCGTTCTGTGCTCTCAAATAGCCTGGCGAGTAGGAGAGTACGGTTGCGGAGAGACATTCAACGGTGATGATGTGCATCCACATTTTGAGGTCGACTTGAGAGCCATTGAGAGATTTCAATTGTCTGATGACTTTGATCAACACGTCTTCGACGGCTTTTTCATATCTCTGCACGTTGTGCATTGAGTACAAAGGTCCAATGAGTCGACGCTGCAGTCTGTAACGATCCATGTCTCTTTCGGAGAGGAGATCGAGAGTGTCGGGACAGTGAAGGGTGAAACAAGAGAAATCGAACTTGGGACGATTGAGAGAAGTGGCTACTATTCTGTTGTCAGAGCCGCATCGCGATGCAGAGCCAAGATGGACAATGCTGTTAGAAGCTCTGGATCACTTACAATAGAAATTCGACTTATCGTAGCCTTGAGTGGCGCCTATAGTACAGCATGAGTCACGGTCTTCTCCAGCTCATCGTCGTTCTTCTTTCTTTCAGCACCACCACTTACTGTAAATTTTCGCAAAGGCCTTTTTGCTGTCGAACCACACCTCGTTTGGTCCAACTCTCACCGCATGACCATATTTACGATGGAGCGTCTTGCCAAGGCGCAACATGTCCCCATTGCGGGCGTGATAAGCATACCAGACATTTGATATGGCGGCGAGTCTGGGTCCTGGAACTCTCGCCAACGGGTGGAAGAAAAGGCGATAGATCACGAGAGAAGTGACAGAGAAGGTCAGGAACAAGGTTGACGGCCAAAGGACTTTGAAGAGTCCGGTGAGGTAGTTTGAGAACATGTAGGTGGAGGTGAAGTTTCGTCCCTCATGGTTGATTGTTCCATGACCGTCGGCAGGCTCGACGAAGCATGAGAGAGGAAGTTGCGTTTAACGCGCCAAGAGCCATGTCTGCCTAAGGTTGCAGCAACTTACACTCGCGCTCGCGCTCGCGCTGAAGTCACCTCTGGAGGTTATGTTCGCCAGGGGAGTCTTCAGATGAACGTGCCCAATACAGAAGCCTCTCATGGAAGTCCAAGAGCGTGAGTTTGCTGCTGTCTTGGATGACGCGCAGTACAGAGATACGAAGCCTGAACGTATTGCATGCTATCTCAACCAAAGCAACAGGCGCTGGCTCCGCAGCAACCACGATCGGCAGGGGTGGACGTGGAGGACAAGATAGCCTAATAGGGAGTGCAAAGCGTCAGCAACACAGTGCTGCGTCACATTGGCGAGACCGATATGCGAACACGGTGTGACTCCTACTCTCGGGCTGTTTCGTCTGCTGTCGTGTGATGGCATCTTGGGGCTCCTCAACCAGCAATCAATGACAGATGATGACACTTCAACGAGTTCATTAATGTTTCCCAATGCACCGAGTGTCGGCGTCAACAGCAGCTCAGCGCAGTGTGCGGTATGCACAGCGAACCATTGCGTGTCTCACATTCGCGAATGCGCGTTTCCCCAATGCGAGAACGAGCAGCAGCAGACCCTGGCACGTGTGAATTATCGGGATTGCCCAAAATTAGCTTTATCGTTAGATCCCGCCAAGTCGACGTCGGACTTTGATAGAGGATCGGTTGCTCCTCATGGATGGCCTCATTATATCGCGCATGGCGGTATGACGACTGCGATGAGATGCGACAGCAGTAGATGAGCTTCCCACGAGCTGGGAGATGCGACCAGTAGGCTGTAGAAAGACCTGGAGCTGCGCGCATGATGGCGGAGGAGAGACGACGGACAAGCTCCGACGATCCCTCTTCGGGCTTGAACTTGCTGCTTGTTTTGCGGGGAAGAACGTCCTCAACACTCTCACGTGTGCACAACGACGGACGTCTGGCCCAGCGGCGATGTCGTGCCATTGGACGATGCTCCCATGTACACCGCTCAGTCTGCGTGCTTATCAAGGATGACAGCGGTTGTGCGCAGAAACAAGGCGCGCGGCTCCCGGGTTCCGCCAGCGAGCTCCCACCAGCCCGCGACATGCTGCATTGCGCGCCCTGGCCTGCCACGTCGGAATGATCAGGAAGTGGCTTGACGAGCTACAAGAACCGTCGCAAGTCGTTGTACCGTCAAAGTTGTACTCTTTCTGCCTTTCCATCCTCCCGATACATCACTTCCTCTCACTCACATCCCTCGCTGGCTGCTCCCCCAACTGCACTGGTCGTGCCTACCTCATTCTCGCCAAGCATACCTCTGGTCACAACCTCACCACCTCAGCTACAAACCACCCGCGGTCCATCTTGAACCCAATCTCATCATGGCTGCACCAAGAGCAACTCAGTTCATTGCCCTGCGCAACCTGACCCGCGGCACTCACCAAGTCCGCCATCTGTCCATGACCGGACCCAAGACATATGCCTCGCCGATCTTGGAACGCCCCGTCTTCAACCCTCCTGCCGTCGCAAAGATCGAGCGACCTACCATTGAGCAGGAGTCCAAAACCAAGCCAGCGACCCGCCACTTCAACACCTCGCGTGAACTGAAGGCAGTCAAGGACACCTCCACCATCGACTTCGCCTACTTGCCAGACTTGATGTCGCCCGAGAATGTCGACATCTACGCACAAGTCCGGGTTCCCATCATCCCTACCGGAGCCGAAGCAGCACCCAAAGTGATAGAACAAGAAACCGTGGTCATGAAACCACAAATCAACGTCATGTCCGCTGACGCCGTCTACTTGCCCATGTCGGAGTCAAGTGATGGCCACGCCATGAACATCGACTTCCACGCCATGGCCGAAAAGGTCGCGGCCAACTTACGCAGAATTAAAGTCCCGGTCGAGGAGCAAGCTGGTATTGCCAAACAGATCTGGGGAGATATGATTGACGACATGATGGGATTGAAGAAACGTGGCAGTGCGGCATAGAGTGCCGACAATTTAATTATCCGCGCAAAGTTTGCCAACTTTTACTCTCGATGCCAGACTGTATTATTGGAATTTGCGAGTGTCAAGATGGCTTGAAGCGCTCAAACCATCTGAGCATGAAATGAATTGAAGCGGGCAATTCAGATGAGAGATCTTTTGACGGCCGAGAACAAGGTGGCAACATATTGAATCGTAGTAGCTTTACTCGTTACTACAGCAGCTGAAGAAGCTAGCTAATGAGATTTCCTTCTAATTCTCAATACTCGTATGTTGCATTTCACCTTGCTCTGTTCAACGAAAACAAAGTGCCTGCTCTGTTCATTCACTCACGGCTCTCCATCAACGAGTAGCATTCCCCCGAAGCATCGCTTTCCGGGATCCGAGTGCAGAACACATCCGCAATGATCCAATTGGAAATCCTCCGGAATCCCGAATGCAAGGGCTCGCACGCGCATGCAGCTATGGCACATCGCTATCGCTTTCCGCCACGTGCCTATTCGAGTGAACGGACGTCCAAACTCTCCTCAAATTGCATCCGAACGGCTGATATCTTGGCCTTATCCTGATCCGTGGTGCGGGATAGGAGAAAGATGTGGTTGTACTGGAACATAAAATCACGTTGTTCTCTTCTTCTGATCATACAAGCGAATCTAACGTATTACTTACTTCATATTCGAATCTGATTAGTATATACCGAGACGGCATCGCAAAAATGACGAACCTCTTCCTTAAATCTCTGGATACCTTACGCACGCAGCAGCAAAATCGCATGCTTGGTGCAGTAGCTATTGCTACAGCTGCAGGATCACGTATTATATGCAATAGCTCCGACGATGTTTCACATTCACGATCGCTTGACCAAGGATTACAACCAAAGTTGAAGAAAGTCAAAGGACCTCGATTACTATCTCAGCATCACAGCACCTCCAGGATGCCGAAGAAAGCCAGCTACAATGAAGCCAAAACGGATGCGAGCGGGAACGGAAGTCGGTCGTTGTTGTTGTCGTTGGTATCGGTTTAGTTGAGTCTTGGGGCTGGAGAGAGTAGAGAAGTGATGAAAGAGACATCAACGATCGCCAAGTTGGGGCTTGTAAGTAAGCATATCAGGTCGAATGCATTCTGAAGCTGTTGCAGCATCGAAATCGTAAGCAGAGCAGCACACCAGAAGCGGTGTGGTTGTGGAAGTCTGATCTGCTTTCCCCAGACGAAGGAAAGCTTACGTGTTTAGCTGCAGTCATGACTTGCATGTGCCGCATTGCATAGCAGAGACGGTTCTACTTGGGCTTTTGCTAAAGCTACAGCGATCATGCTAAGCATGGGAGTAGGATTCATTGTGGATAGAGACTCGTGAGCAGCATTCGCGAGGATGGGTATAGCGTGATTTCTTTCGCGCTTCGACTAATGTGCTGGGTGGTGATGAGTGACGGCGAAGCTGTCTATCGCGGGATAGAGAGGTTAAGAATTCGGAATACTGCAATACGTGAACGGATCTTTCGAAATGGGCTCGGCCAGATAAAGGAGTGAGATTCGTAGCCCTTTCCCACGCTTTCACTTTGAAGATCTTTGAGACGAGCCTGAGTAGAGTCCATGTCCTGGAAGGTAGGCCTACCTCGGGCACCAGACCCGAGCTTGAATGAATGACTGCCTCAGCCCGACGGGATTCGTCGCTTGCTTTCGCAGTATCCGGGATGCACGTGTACGTTGTGCTTGATATCTTGTCTTGTGGAAGAAAACGAGGAGAGAGAAGGGGTGGAAGGTAGAACCTGAAACACACGGTTTGCCGGAGAGAAAGTGTGGCAGCCTGATGCCAACACATCCGGGAAGGCTCACAACCAAGGCTGCTGCTCCATGGTGACAACCACGGCGGCACTACACGATTTCCCAATGGTCACAATATCTGGCACCCTTACCCTGCTGGACTCTTGGAGAGTAGCGATCCTCGAATATGCTGCCGGACCTTACCCTCCGCAAGACAGACCCTTCGTGCTCCGGTCGCCAGCTGTGAACGAGACCCAAGAGCAGCAGTGAAGCCTCCAAATGCACGTCTACGTGCTCTGAACCATTCAGAAGCAGCACTCGCTACACCTCTCCGCAATTAGGTATCGCGATAACGAGAGCGGTGAGGATGTCTGCCCTGCTTCCCCAGACGCCACAAGCTGCTGTTGCTTGTTGCTGTTCCTGCTACACATGCATCTGCATATGCAACCGTAACTGCACCGCACACACTCGTACAGAAGGTACCGTCGCCTTTGTACCATTTCTTCCTGACTGTTTTCGTGGCACAGCGTGATGATTGCTGCTTATGGCTTGTTCGTGTCAGCGAGCCATTGTATGGAACCCCGATGAATCCCGCATGAGCCGGTTCGGACATCGGACGGGATATCAGTGAGACAGAGGTTGGCTTGTGAGGTTTCGTTCCTGGCTTCTGTTGCTTTTCTTCTGATTGTTGAGACTTGTGAGTTGATCTAGAAATTGCTACAGATTCGAGAACCATCGTCCTCCGCCGCTGTCAGACCTGTCTTCGAGGCCAGCGTACAACATCATCGGAAGTACACAAGCAATAACTGGGGAACGCAACGCCCTGAAAGCAGAATCAAGCATCTGTCAAAACAGAACAAAAATGTCCACCGCCTTGCTCCTCAGCCAATCCTTCCGCGGCTTCAACTTCACCAAGACATTGATCGGCATATCCGCCTTCTCTGCTCCGTTTATTGCCCTGGGAGTCTTCGTCGGACAGAATGTCAAGCCTCAGAGTAAACGTGAAGAAAGCTTGAACAGATTTGTGGAGTGGAGGAGTGGTGGAGAACGATATATGAGATTTGGAAGCAGTTAAGCTCTAATGTCTCTAGCATTGGAACTATGGATCGGGTGCTGTGAGCGAATGATGAGTGGGTTGACAGGGCAATAATTTCCGGAGCAAGGGAGAGGGGTAGGATGTCCAGGAGTCTATCTCCGATTTCTAAGAGTCTTATCTGTGGCTGTCTCTTCGACACCTGGCGGCATACAAACCATTATACATTCGGAGACAGGCATGGAAAATATGAAACTATGACTGATCCTGATTTCAGTACTACTTGTTTGTCGCCAGCTACTTGACACATAGTGGCATGACAAGCCTTCACAAAATCAGAGAAAGGAGGAGGAAAATCAAATGGAAGTCTGTCTCAAGTCTCATCACCACGAATTTGTGGCTGCTTGTTTCATCTGTGTCGGCATGTAAACCACCATAAATGTAGAGAAAGGAATCGATTTTATGAAAATGGAGGCCCGACTCCGAATTCACTACCATTATCTGTAGCTACCTTCTCCACATATCGTAGCGTGCAACTTGTCAATAGTCCCGAGAAAGGAAGTGGAATTCAGCAACAGAAAGACATTTCCAATTTCAAGATACATTTACTGTGGCTGCCTGTCTGACATATGGTGGCAACAGAACGTTCGTAATTCCAGAGAAATTAACATATATCATCCTTCTTCCGCTGACTAACATTTTCGCTCGCATTGCCAAAGTGCAGATCAGGTGCCATCATCGTTGTAAGAAAATTGGAGAAAAAAAGAAATATTCATGCCATCTTCTCTCAAAGTCGTGGCCGGCCGTTATGGTACTTCGCCAAAGCCTTCCAATCCCTTGCTTCTATCAGGTCGACCAACCGATCGAAGTTCTCATCTTTGAACAGAATCTCTTGCTCCTTGCCATCACCATTCCTATAGCGCAAGAGGGTGGGAGTACCACATTTCATCTCCTCGTCCCTCTTCGTCTGGCCCTTCATACTTTCCGTGCCATTCTTCTTTGTAGTTCCAGACTCCACCGCTACACCACCACTCTGGGCTCCATATCTGCCACCGTTCATGTATGGCATGCCGTTGTTAGGATGGTAGCCATTCACAAACGGTCTTGCAGCAGCACCAACAGGAGAGCCAGGTGGGCCGGGTGGGCCACCAGACGATCCCGGACGACTTGAGCTCAACTCAGAATCCGTTGTATCACCATAATCGAAATGCTCCGGAACAGTCCCATCCTCCCTCGCAGTCTCCAATCTGATACTACACTCTTGCATCTCAGCACCCAGCTCCATCCGCGGGTACTGCCACCAGTTCTTCGAGCAGCATCTCGAGTCGTGAGTGTCGGCCATTGAGCAGGAGTCGAAGTTCCCTCGAACACATTGGTCTGCTTTGAAGAAATTGACCATTTGGTGATTGTTTTGTAGATTGCGAGCTTCCATTGTGCCGCACCAGCGTGGACCTCGAGTGTTGGTGCAGCAGAAATTGGGGGTGACGTCGTTACAGCAGTAGGAGAGTTGGAGGGGGCTGCAGGGATCTAGATGGCTTTTGGGGTAGAAGCAGAGGTCGACGCCGGTGTTGATAGCGTTGCTCTGGAGAGGGAGGAGTAGGAGGCAGAGAAGGACGAGCAGAGTCTTCGACGGATTTGTGACCACCATGGTGCCTTGGCTCTGTGGTGACACGAGACTTTGTTCTTGTGTGAGGGTAGACGAGTTGTCGTCGTACTCGAGAGCTTGTGCGAGATGGTACTTGGTGAATGGACTTGACTTGTGCTTATGTGCGAGCTTGGTGTTCGCACGATATCTGGGAAGGACAGAAGAAGCGGGGGAACCGAGGGCTTCGTTATATCTCTTCCTGAGACCAGAGTTCGTGTTGATTGCTCCTACTTGCGTGTCAGCTTTCAAGTCATACTTGTTTGTTGTCCACATGCCTCGATGACACATGAAGCTCAGCCATGGGGAAATGACGAGCGCAAACAGTTCTAGTCATCTGGAGAATGGTGACCTGACCAATGCTGAATATGTCCCATTCGATGTATCCCAGACCACGCGATGTCCAGCCACGCGCAGGTGCCGAAAACAGAGGACTGCAGCCATTGCGAGGACATCACGAGAGGAAAAGTCATAAGAGTTTGCCCCCAGCCCCAGTGTCAAGCAGACAAATTCTCCTGCTGATCGAGGACATCGCATGCTCAGCTGGACTGTTATACGCTGCGCAAATGTTCGTGATCGTGGCAAGGTCATGCACTTTTCCCTAGATCATGTTAGCGAGCCTCCTGCCGCTATCACGAGCAAGTCCGAGGTCTACCATATTACCTCTCGTCGGCCTCTCTCCGAACCCCCTCCTATACCTTCACAAGCACCACGTCAACAAACCACACTCATATCTCTCCAACCCCATTCACAACACCACGCCAACTCGTCAGCCTCTCCACAGAGACAGCAAGCTCTTGTGCTCATCAGAAGCAAGCCATCATGGTGGTTACCAACCTATTCGCTTCTATGGCCTTCCTCCTACTTCTTCTGTCCGCCTGCTTCGTCCCCGCCACCTCCATGCCCGGAGGGACCGGCTCCGACGTTTGCTTCTACGCCAAGAATCCGGGCGCCGCCCCCTGCCACCAAGAAACCGAGTACTTCTGTTGTCAGAACTTGAAACCAAACGACTGCTGCAGTAACGATGGTCCTTGGCAATACTGCGATACCATGGGTGGCGATCTTCTCCAATCGCAGTACAGAGTCAATTTCTTCAAGAAGACCGAGTGCTCGCGCGGCAATTTTGGACAGTGTACTGCAGCCGCCCCCCGAGGAACGCACTGCTGCTCGAAGCGTTGGTACGAGTATGGAGGAGAGCTGACCGGCGAGATGGAAGAGTGTAGTATTCGATTGGAGGTCGGGACTGATTATCCGCCGAACGCACGCGTCATTGATAAGAGGTCGGCAGGTGCGAGTGGGAATGTGACAGACAGCGCCGAGGGGAAGGAGGAGAGCAAGAGAAGTGTGTGCCGGAGACCGAATGCTATCGGCTATCGTGATGGGGCTGGTGTCTTCCATCACAGAGTGTTTGCGGAAAGTCAGTTCGAATATGTCCTGGCTTTGAAGGAGTGCGGGAGCTGGTCGGGTCTGGCGAGGTTTACGGGGGTCCTGCCACCTCGTCGCTATGGGGCATGAATATTTTTGATCGAGCCTGACTTCTCTCCGAATGTGTCCGGCCCGTGGCAGTTGGACTCCCGTGATGGGACTGGAGCGACTTGTACGGCAACCAGAGACATCGATATTTTGTCTCATCTCTCTCGAAATCCTGCACCGATTGAGGCACCTGATCTCCAACAGCTGATCAGATCGGCATGGGTGGCGATCAGCGGAGCCATTTCTTGTTTTTCTTTCTTGTTTCTCTGGCTTCGGTCGAGAGGCGAGACGTCGGGTTTCCCTCTCATGGGCTTGGCCGTTTGGTATATTGTTGGGAGACAAGAAGCAGTTGCTTTCTCTAGTTTTCTGGGATGTACGACGGCATGCGGTTGGAATTTCCTGATTGACAGCTCTCTGTGAAATAGAGAGAAAACCATTTCCCCATATTGACGTCCCTCTGTGTTTATGAGACCTTTCATGGCATCACATGTCGAAACGGCAGCTAACAGCCATGTCCATGTGCCGAGAAATCCAGTGATTGCTTTCTCCGAGTTTCTTGAATGTTCGAAGGCATCCAGCATGCCTTTTCCTGGAGCAACTCCCAGAAATGTAGGCAGAATACCAAGTCGAGATCTCTCCGAATCCATGAATCATGTCATGCCATCAAATATCGGAAAGCCATCCAACAACCACCAGCATTTGTGCTGAGAATTGATCCATTTTGAGATCTCTCCGAATCCATGAACCGTTTCATGCCATCAAATGTCGAAAAGCCAGCCAACAATCATGACAATATGTGCCAGAGATCAATCAATCACCATCCTCCTCCCCCTCTCTAACCCTCCCCTTCTCATCCTCCTCGCATGATCTAATTTGACTTTCCGGCAGACATCTCTCGTATATCTCCAAATTGCTGCGTTTCGGAATTTCTGATATCCAGCACGACACAATGCTGACAAATTACCAGATTTTCTCGGTTGATTGAATTGATAATGTTGGACAAACCGCCACTCTTCGGGAGAACTGGTGGAAATATGTATAGGAGGTACATCAGCTGGTGAAACACTTGGAATTGCTTTACTTTTTGGGCTGAGAGGCGTGTCGCTTGCGGGACGTTGGAAGTTGTTGTGATGGGTCGTCCAGCCAGGTGGAGGCCAGTCTGATGTGCTGTGAATTGAAGTGGCAGGTGTGCTGGTGGCTGAGGAATTGGGAGAAGCAATCTCAGAGTGCTGTCTGCATTTAGGAGTATTTGAAGACGATGTGGCAGTAGAGGAAGGAGACTGGTTTGTGGGTAGGGCAGGGTGGCGGGCGCCGGGGATGCTTGCAGTAGTCGCGGCGAGTAATTCCTGAGAAGGCGACCGTGCTGCAGGCGGAGGTGGATATCGAAGGCTCGCGCGAGTCGCGGCTGGGGGTGTTCGTGGTATTTGATTCGGGCTTTTCGTCAACGTCGGTTGAGGTGGTGCTTCTATTCTGTTCTTCAGGATCGACTTGAGCACCATTGGCTTGACTTTCGAGGGAGGGCCAGGACGTAGACCACGAGGAACTGCTGAGGCGATCACGTTCTTGCCATTTGCAGCAGGAGAGCGAGATTCTTGACGCTGCGTCGCGCCATTGTTGGAGTCCAAGCCACTTTGCAGTGCGTTGATTTCCATCTGCCGGCGTCTGTCAAATTCTCTGACATAGTATTCTGCTTCATGCTCGAAGACGGTCGGCGTGAAAGACCCGTGCCGTGCAATGTATGGTAGTGTGTAGTCGGTATTGGGTGCTGGTTTTGTTTCCGCACGTCTATCTTCCGTGGATCCCCGGGGCGGCGGACTCTCGTTGCGCGGAGCTCCTGCAAATTGACTGGATGTAGCAGAGAAAGTGCCATTCGCAGAGTCACGTTCTCGAGCTTCTGACATGCTAGCGGACGTATTCACAAAGGTCTCGGCTGTCTCGTGAATAGTAGGCATCTTGTTAGACTATTGAATGTCCAACGTGGATGCAATGTGGTGCCGATACGCACGACTCATCGCTGTACTTATGCTGTCTGCTGGATAGTAGCTGTCCGTTCAATCGTCTCGCTGAAACATGCATGATTTTTGGCTCATTGATTGTCCGGTTAACAACTTGCTTGCAGTCTGCATGGTATGCCAGACAGTCTCGTATGCATGTGTCCGGCCCTGCTTCTTCGTCAGCGCGTACTGTGGATTGTGCATATGGTCTGAGCGACGCATAGCGTGCTGGAGATCTGTATCGTGCAATCTATTCATGTCTGTAGCATTATTCGCTCTTGCTGCTCTTCGGCTGCGTTGGGCCCAGCATCAGCTCGTCCGCCCTCTTTCGTGTGTGCAATGCCCTATGCGTTCTTCCGAAAGGACACTTTCTCCACTCCCACGTTCTCGTTCCCTTCGGCATCTTTCTTTAGCTGGTATACATAGAGCACCAGAACATCTCCTTGTACATCCATCAGCACGAACGAAGGAGTGTTGGCGTCGTCTTCATCATCCCCGCCCAATGTCTCGTCTGACCACGACACAGCACCAGTTGCGCTGCCTGGGTTGACGAAGAATTTGCCCTCCATCTCGTATGCTTCGAATTTGCACGTCCCACCCCAACATAGCACATCCACATCCATCTGTCGTGCGGCAATGAGCAGGGCATCGGGGTCTCCGGGCGGAATGATACTGTCGCCGTGTGTGAAGCCGATTCGCAAGCTGCCGTGCGTGACGACCTTGCTCAACGCGGTGGGAATGGGAAAGCCAGCGCCTGGAGCCGTATTGGGTCCATCTTGCGCGCTCGTGGATGCAAGGGGAATATCAAAGTCGCCCTTTACGAGTTGGAGATCGGGTGCGAGGTTGCGGAGGAAGTGGTAGACGGAGGGCGAGGTCAGGTTTCCGAGGCAGAGAATCTGCGAGATCTTGCCAGGCGTCAAAAGTTTCTTGAACTGTGTGCCGTTCACATCAGCAGGCGGTTCGCGTATCAAGGGCTACGAGAGGCGTATACCTTTGCGGGAATGTCCTAGCAGCCTGTCAGCCAGGCCACACGCAGCACCATCATGGCGGCGTCGTCAAGCTCACGATTGCGCGATCGGGGATGAACAGGTCGCCAAGGACCAGTACTAATCGCGAGGCCATGTTGAAGATGTGTAGTGTTGTCTGTCTACGTTCTCTGCCTAGCTGTGCCTACCTGCTGTGTCGCTGATGCTCGGCCGACTTGCCGCGTCTGCCTTCCGCGCAGTGTCCGATGCCGGGCTCCGAATGCAAATACTCTCTGCCCACTGCCATTGATGACACGCGATATTGCCCCCAAAGGACTCTCCCATTGCCATCACACGCTTTGCCCGCCCTGTATCTAACCTGCACGCCTCGTCCGCGACACTGCGACCCCCTCAGCTGTGTTTTCTTCACGAGAATCGCCTTCGATAATTGACCGGAGCACTGTGAACTGCGCTTCAGGGGCTGGCCTGCACCTGTTCCGACGTCGAGAGCATCCCGAAACGCCAGCGGAGGTCATATACCGCGTCCACGTCGACCGCCATCTCTTGCTGCACCGGGAGACGTGTTCTCCAGGCAGACGGGAGAAAGTCGCGAAGGGAAGTGAAGAAGCTCCAGAAGCAGCACTCACGCGAGCCATTGGGCGCTGCCAGGCCGTTCGCCGGCCGACTGAAGCTGCGTCATCCTGGCTGCCCCACGTCTGCTCTTCCGCTCCGCAATACCCCTCGTCGGCATAGGACTCCGTCATACAACAAAACGAATCATGCCGCCCAAGGATCGCCTAGCTCAGCTCTCCAGACATTTTTCCCATTCACCTGCCCACGACATTCCCCTCAACACCCCCTTCTCCATTCAGAGCAAGATCGTTGACGACTTTGCTGCAACGGGATCGGGAGAAACATTCAACAAGCCCGAACAACGACGAGACTTGTCCCAATCCGCAGTATCACAAGAGGAAGAAGGCAAGCGATCCAAGCCCGCCGCGTCCACCATGTCCAACCAACCACCACACCCGACCCTCCTCATCCCGGGCCCCATTGAATTCGACGATGCCGTCCTTCAATCCATGTCCCACTACTCCGAATCCCACGTTGGCCAGCCATTCGTCAATTGCTTTGGCGATGTGCTGTCAATGCTGCGAAAGCTCTTCATCTCCACCGACCCCAATGCACAGCCCTTTGTCATCTCAGGCTCAGGGACACTAGGCTGGGATCAAGTCGCTGCCAACTTGACAGAGCCTGGCGAGGATGCTCTCGTCCTTCACACTGGCTACTTTGCAGATAGCTTCGCCGACTGCTTCGAGACGTACGGAGTCAAGGCTACACAACTCAAGGCTCCCATTGGAGATCGACCACAGCTTGATGAGATCGAAAAGGCATTGAAAGAGAAGAAGTACAAGGTCATCACGGTCACACACACCGACACCTCAACTGGTGTCCTTTCCGAGATCGAACCTCTGTCCAAGCTCGTCAAGCAAGTGTCTCCCGAGACCCTTCTCATTGTCGACGGTGTCTGCTCCGTCGGTTGTGAAGAGATCCGCTTCGACGAATGGGGCGTCGACGCCGTCATCACCGCCTCCCAAAAAGCCATTGGCTGTCCTGCCGGTCTCTCCATCGTCTTCGCATCCGGCCGCGCCATTCAGACGTTCAAGAATCGCAAGACCCCTCCCAACTCATACTTCGGCTCATGGAAGAACTGGCTACCAATCATGCAAAACTACGAGGCAAAGAAGCCTTCGTACTTCGCCACACCTTCTCCTCAACTGATCCACGCCCTCCACACATCCCTCACACAGATCCTCTCGATCCCACTCGAACAGCGCTTCCAACGACACAAGGAAGTTAGCCAAAAGATCAAGAAGGCTGTTGCAGACCTTGGGTTGAAGCAATTGGCTAGCAAGCCGGAGAACCAGGCCAATGGTATGACGGCGATATATCTGCCCAATGACCTCAAGCCTCCGGAGATTCTGCCCAACTTGTTGAAGAAGGGCGTCATCTTCGCCGGTGGTCTACACAAGGAGATCGCGACCAAGTATATTCGATTCGGACACATGGGTGTTTCGATTATGGATCCTCAAAGGGATGATGTAGATCGCGCATTGCAGAGTTTGAAGGATGCGCTTGGAGAGGTAGGATACAAGGCGCCGTAAATGGAAGATGTGTTAAGAGGAGGACTATGTAGATGAAAGAGAAATGTAGTGGCGCCGCAACGTGCAGGTGTGATGTATCGATCTTCTTCCAATGGCATCAATGATATACATATACCCATATGCAGCATATATGAAGAGATGTTCACTTTCATCTATTCCCATGGGAGTGAAAAGCTGACACTCATGATGACGAGCTAGTAAAGTAAGATCACATGCTTTGATTACAGGTCTACGAAACCGACGAGTAAACAATAGCTGGAGACAGAGGGAGGAGCATCGACCATCCTCACCCCTCGACCAACTGACCAGGGCACGGGATTGACACTATTCTGCCATCTGGTCTCGAGCTACGTAACAAACTGGAGACCAGCGAGAGACTGCTCAAAGAAGGTAAAGATCCAAATGCATATTTGAATATGCTTTCAATCTCGCAGACGAACACATTGATGCTCAAGATAGTTACAATTTTACAATATCCCATCCCACCTCAATCAGAATTTAAAACAAAACCCCGTCAACCACCGAGCTAGTTACTCAAGAAACCAAACACAACTCCCCCGCCTCCTCCTCCCACGTCCTCGGTCTCATGGCAATTTCAACTTCCCGTCTTCGATTCACTTCATCCACTTCCTTCCTCATGAGTACTCTCAATCTCATCGCGATGAGAACTTTCCATGCGAGTTGTTTTCTTCGTTGGATGAGGTCCCGCCAGTGGGAGAGGACGAGTTTTTGGAGGAGGGTGCTGTGGTAGAGGGCTGTTGAGGAGGCTGGTGATGTGGATACTGATGTTGAAGGTTGGCTTGATGTGGTGGTTGAGTGGAGAAGTTGGGCGTATTGGGCGATTGCGCCGGATTTGCGGACTGGTGGGGAGGATGGGAGGGAGGGGGCGGGGGATTGGGAATATGGGGATGAGGAAAGGATTGTGCGTTCGGGGATGTAGCGGTAGCGGGTTGCCATTTTGTTCTTGGTTTGGTTGGTCGGTTGGTCGGTTGGTCTTGTGGTGTTGGGTGGTTGTGGGTTTAGAAGATCAGTGATGCCCAGTAAGGACTGAGAGTCTCGGGATCGATGTTGTTGGATATAGTCTTGGAGAAGATTCCTGATTGATGATTTCTTGTGTTGATTGATGTGATCCGCTTGTGTTGTAGTGAATTGAGGGAGGCGTCCTTGATGCTTCCTCAAAGTTCGACTTGGCGAAGGTATTGCTTCGATGATTGTCCGTTGAGTGATGCGATGTCTCGAGACTGTAACTTGCTGTTTGTACTACCACTTGAGTTGGAAGATGAGTTGATTGATATCGTCCATGTAGCAGGCGTAGAAGCACACCTATATCTCTCTTCGAACGACTCTCCGACAACGCGATGATCTCCATCTTTCCTAGAGCAACGTTCCGACATCTCGCGACGACAGAAGTAGAGCTACATGGGAAGTCACGGAACATCATCGAAAGCTATGGGTTCTGGCCTGAGGTTTTGGTACTAGCCGCGAATGTACCGTCGTTCTCGCAGCGCCACAGGAGACACGACTCCTTCAATCAAAATGCTTGTGAACACAAGGATGTCAGAAGTGATATACTTGAAAAAGTTGGAAAAGTACATACACTGGCTATTCTACAAGTAAATCCGCAATACATCCGATCATCGCCATTGTCATCCAGCAACCCTACCATTTCCATGACAACTTCGCAAAGAACACCAATTCGTGTCATCCCTCGTGCTGATGCCATCGAGGTACCCGAAGACTACCCCAGGTACCCCATGCCTCCGACCTATTCTCGTCACCTCTGCCTCCCACGCCGCCCTCCCGAATTCCTCCTCATTAGTACCACCCACCACTACTTCCCCGGACTCGCCTGCTGCTGAGGTCTGCCAACTCCTGGGACCACCCCACGGGGAAGCGTGGCCCAGTGCGGAGAAGGCGCGGACCTCATTTCTTGCGTGGAAGGTCGCACGATCCCGTCGGACCAGTGCTCCGTTTGACGCCAAGTGCTGAAGGTGTCCTTTGCAGAGACTGATGATGGGGTGGAAGTAGTGCTATTCTGCTGCGCGTTGCTCGACTGCCCGGAAGCGGACTTGCTGATTTCGACAGCTTTGGCTTTTAATGCTGTTGTGGCGATTTTGTCGAGGTTGTTGCTTGTTGCCGTAGTTGTGAGAGGTTTGGTGGCGGTATTGGGTACCACTGCTCTGCGGCCTAGCAGGAATGGGAGGTCGCTTTGAAGAGAGATGACAGAGGAGTGGAGCGCGCGATTTGATGGCATTTTGTTGACGTCGTTGATGAAGACTCTGCTGTTTGTGTGCAATATTTTACGTTGAGGTCAGTGGAGTACAGCATCTTGTGCTTGCTTGGTCTGCAATGTTATAAGGCGTGACCTCGTCCATGGATCGTAATTGAGCCGTTGATCCGAACAGCAGGAAGACAAAGTCCACGCATCGCTTCGATCATCTGTCGCGGGCATATCCGGCATACTGATCAGGTGGCATACACGTCAAAAAAGTGTTCGTGGATCGCGAAATGACAGTGATGTAGCTCTCGTACTGTTTGCGGACCTTAGCTATCCTTACCTCACAAAGCTCCCATGCAAAGTCAGCCAGATGGGAAGTGCAATTGGTCCACGGACTTTCTTGCAGGTGTAGCTTTCCCGATTATGCCAGGGCATGTGGTTGTCCTGTAGTCCAGGTTTTCTATTCGCTGGAGTGAAAGGTGAAGTCCGTATAGGGCGCTATCGTAGCTCCCGAGGACCGGGTGGAATAGCAACAAGTGACAGGGGTGACCCGATGTCTTCCGTCGTAACTTCCATGCATTGTCGTGGGCGATTGGAGCATTCTCACTGTCGCGAAGAAGCAATGGGCTTGATGAACGGATGCTCGTCGCTCAGGCTTCAGAGTCACAATACACACGTGGTGTCAGAAACAGCTAGATGGCAACGGGAGCTTCGCAGAGTCGACTCCTGTAATCTATTAGAGTCATCGAGCCGAAGCCTGTACTGTCAATTGTGCAGTTCGCGGCGTGTAACATCGACACGAATGCGTCGTTCGTCTTTGGACCTGTTCTCCTGCACGTGTGTCGCAAAAAAAAAAAAAAAAAA